ATACACAAAGAATCCCTTTATTCATGTTTAACAATAACAGATTAACAAATAATCCGGTAGATGAAAATAACTTCTTTACTCATTCTTAAGCACTTTTTATTCGCCTGCATGTGTTTTTTGTTCCATTTACACAACTAGACACTGTTCCTTGTCAGGCCCTCTGTCCTACACTACCGACTGGAAGAAACCACATTGCAACATCCAGGGGAACTTTCTTGACCAACACCAGGATCAGTGTACATAATCATAATATTGAGACGAGCATGGTCGCTTCTAACATTGTTTTGGAAAGGCGACAACCCGGCGTCAAGACAACCCGACATCACGACATAATACAAATCAGACACCATTGCAAAGACTATGGCACCAAATTCTCAAAATTCCTTTAATGTCTCTTTAGTTCTGCGCTTTATTCTGCACCCCCCCCCCCCCCCCCACACACACACACACCACCCGGGATGTTTCGGTGAAAAAACACTTTTACGATCTACTCTTGTGACATTTCTACTCGACCTTCGAAAGCTTTAGAGGCCACGGTGGTTTAATGAGTTGTGTACTCCTGGCAAGAAGCAGCGTCTAGCCATAAGGGTGGTACGCAAAAACGAGGATCCGTGAACGAAAACGAACCCATAGCAATATTGGGTTTTATTTTAACAGACACGCCCTCTGATTGACTTACTTAAAAATCGCTAACTCAATATTTTCCATAATTTTCGAAATTAAAAACACGAATTAGAATCCAATATTGATCAATTTCAATCAATATTATCAATTTCAATCAATATTGATGTTGTTATCTTGCCGTAAAACTATGGGATCTAATATCCAATATTTAAGACATAATTAACATTTTATAATCGGTACACTAGTTGTGTACCCCATGGTTTCGGGTGCCATTTTGTAATGAACAAATAAAAACAGATCCTACAACACAATCAGACGAACTCGGCACCTAAACACTATTCTGCAAATAAAACTGATACCAAGCCCAAAGAGTGGGATAGTGGAGTAAGGGGAGGCCACGACAAGACGGGCCTGGCACCTAAACACTAACCCCAAACGATGACATCTACCAATCCAGAAGCAGACGAAATCATCTACCAAACGATATGTTTTATATTAAATAAAGGGAAGAACTTCCCACTAAACCAAATCCATGGCCTAATGCCAAATGGAAAGATTGCAAAATCATATTCTAAAAACAGGAATCAGCTTCGGCTCTCCTATGTCTTGTCTGCGATATCACTTATGTGGAAGCAGACGTTAAACACCAAGAACTACTACTACTACAATTTTGAAGTAATTAGTAAAGGCTCATTCACAAACGACTAAATGATAATTCAAAAAAATGTGTAGAATGCACTAAGCAGGCGTAAACGACCACCGCTCAATTTTAACTGTTCACGTATTTGACCGAACATAATTGATTAGAAATTACAATATTTTTTTCAAAAATTGAATCTAAATCACTTTACACACATTTCATTATTCACATTACATTAATGTCAGCTTTTAGAACCATTTTTGTCTATTTCAAGGTTCCAAAAAATAGAGCCGTACCCCCTTTAGAGAGCTAAAATTTTAGTTTTTATCACGACTTTAATAGTCGACTGTCGAACAAGACACAATCAGTAATATCTCAACATTTGCTTTATCTTTGGACACAAAATTTTGAACAAAGGCTGACTGCCAGTGCCATCTCACTAAAAGAAATCAACACATAAAGGTAATGAATCGACACTTGTTTTTATCCCAAATTATAAAGGGTATGTAATTGTAATTAACTTTCATTCACGCCACATAACCTTGTGCGCTTTTTGTTTTCTATTTTTGAACACACAGTTAAAGTTCCCTGTACTTATGCCACACTTGCCTTCGCCAATGCGAAAATACGATGATTCAGGGTAGCATTTGAGGGACTCCAAAGACGTTAATGTTCTCACATGTTTGGTGTCATTGTTTTTTAGTTTGGGTGTCCTTTTTAGTCTTGATTGTCACGCTAAACTTGTGCATAAGCTAGAAACATAAGACTACCCTATTATTGGAAGCACTACCAGACCGTCCCTGGGCGATCGAGCTTATATGAATTCCTTTATTTACATCTAATAATTTGTACTTTAAAGTCGTGGTACTTTCCATCTTATGGTGAAAAGGTCGGTAATATATTTACTAATTTGACTATATATAAAATTAGTAGAAGCGAACTATAGCCTAAACGTATCCAAATCGTCGGATCCGCTTCAATAAAACACGCCTAAACGACTCTTCGTCGTATAAGCGATAACAGTCCTAAACGTCGAATTATATGGAACATTTAACGGAGTACTATAGATTGAACCTTTGGCGCAATCCCTTCCCCGCCTTTATATATATCAAAATTTGAATGTGAAATCTAAAGAATCAGTTGCCTACTATTAATTAAAAGTGTGGTGTTCTTACCTGAGAGTTCTTGTTGGCCATCTTATTTAATTAACCAATTTTTCCAGTCACTCAACTTTAATATACACACAAATAATGTTTTACCACACGGTAACATGTGATGGGGTTTTACAATTCTTCCAGTTGCAAGTGTCAAGTGAAACGATAAGGCAATGTCTACGAGGAAATGGCCTTGTGACGTGTTATGGCTTTTGATCGTGTGAACATTATTACGTCGTGATGGCAATTAACAGACTGAGGTGTTTTAGGATAACAAAACCAACAAAAAAAAGCGACACTAACGCTATAGTATGTATGGCCTTTGGTGGTAAGAAAACCTTAGAGCTTTGAAACAATCATAAACAATAAGCTGATATCTTAAAATTCATCTTGTTGTTGTCGCCCCACATGTACAGATAACGGAAACTTTAATTGTCGGACCACCAGCGTTATGTAATAATCAACGTTGTAATTATAGGCCTACATAATTTTATTGCTTTAACATTTGAGAAGTTATAGATAGAGGTCTATGTTGCTCATTGATATTGGCGACATGGAACATTGCTGAAACAATATATAAAATTCTGAATAGTAGATCTATCTCACAATTAAATTGTATAACTTTAGTCAATATTGTAAAACTATTTAGGTCATTATTAAAGAAATCGGAAGTAAGTACTAGAGCATTTGGTGCTATCGCGATTTAAATCAAAAGATATTTTTTAAAAAATCATTGATTAAAATCATTAATAATGAAAAATGCATAATAAATTGGAAAACAGTCAGCATTATTGTTAACAAGCACTCCTAAAAAGGGGCTTTTGTGTTGGTGTTGGATAAGATAGATACTATTGTCGACGTAAAATTGGTTTGAAAAGGTCGACCGAGGATCTTCGGATAATAGCTCTGGATAAAATTTAAAAGCCACTAACTCACTATTTTCCATATTTTAAATTAAAAGCACGAATTAGAATTCAATATTGATCAATTTCTATCAATATTGATGTTGTTATCTTGTCGTAAAACTATAGGATCCTAATATCCATATTTAAGACACAATGAACATTTTAAAATCAGTACACGAGTTGTGTACCCTATGATTTCGGGTGCCATTTTGTAATGAACAAACAAAAACATATCCTACAACACAATGTTGAAGTAACTAGTGAAGGCCGATTCACAAACGACAAAATGATAATTTAAAAACGCGTAGAATGCACTAAACAGGCGTAAACGACTGTCATTCAATTTGAACTGTTCACGTATTTCACCGAACATAACTTTGATAGTGTGGGTGCGTAAAATGAACTTCATATTCCCGAAGCAATGGCCCGACAAATCCTTCTCTGACCATTTCTGGATTGACTTATGATACTTGAGCTTTTGAGGGAGTGTGTCTATTCTTCCCGTTCAATCAAATCTCTCCTAAGTACAGCAACATGAAAGCCCTTCGTTTAATCTTGGGTCTTCCCTAAAACTTTGGACTATGGCGGGGTATCAGATTCAAAATGCGATCTGCAGTAGAAAGTAGAAAATAAAAAGCAAAAGAGAAAATTCTTATCCAAAATGGACATTTTCGTGTGGGAAACATATACCGCTCGTGCTTTTCAACCTAATACGTCCACCTTTTCAACTTTAAGTCGTAAATATTTTACTTTCAACAACAGAAAGTTGGTTGTTAATCGTACTACTGACCAGTAATAATTTAGAAGAGAAATTTGCTTTCATTATGGCAGTGCTTGAGTGGGATTATGTCTAATCAAACGAAACACTGCGAGGAATATGCATGCTCATAAACTTCTTCATAATGAAGATATATTATGACTCGGTGAGAAGTGTTCTACCAATGCTAGTGTGATGAACTCCGTATATTTTAGGTGCCTAGTGATGGAAATCCACCTGCGAGAACAGAGATCAGTTAGATACTATTGTCGATGTAACATTGGTTTGAAAGGGTCGACCAGGGATACTCTAAGTGATGTATGTATGATTTTCATTCCGTGGAAACCTGGAAAGAAGAATGCTGATGTTTATCTGTTATCAGAAAGGTGGGGTCAGCTGATGACGGCAAATAGAGGACACTGCTCCGGGCATTCACCAGGGGGACCTTCGGATGTAGACTATGGTTCGGACTACAGTCTGAACTATCCCGACCGTGCTCTATCGTATGGTATGGCTTGTCACGACCACAGGTTGAACTATAGTGCAAAAATCCGTGCAACCGAAGGTCGCCCAGAATACAGTGGTGTATCCATCGAGTTCTTTAAAACCGCACCGAGTGTATGGCACGATACTAGATCTTCCCGATCTGAGAAATATCTATGTTTCTATACCCACAATTCTAACCTTAACCCTTCAGAATAGTTTTTGCCACAATCCACCGTTTTTACAGCTTCAATTTGTACGTTTGACATGTAATTTATAAACCTAACCCGAACCCTAACCCTAGAGGAAGATATTTCTCAGATCGTACAAAGATCTAGTTTTTGCCTGCTCCCTCCCCTCCCAGAAACACTCAGCTACTAGCGACTTATGCCTATTTGACAAAAACGTACAATTAATTATAATGTTCCTTTAATATCTTTTAATCAATGTACACTATTTACAAACCATTTAATTACAGCTATTGGTCTTTTTTATAACATGAGCAATTTATTTAAAAAGTATATAAGAAAAAATATTTAATGGTAAATCTATTTATAAAACATTCAACAAATTCAAAAATATTAGCCATATGATGATCCAAATATTTTATAATACATGTACATGTATTTCAAATGAATAATTAAAACAGGTAACTTAAAAAATTAACTCAAAAATTAGGTATTCATTCTTCTGATATTTGAGAATATTAATTATTATAATTCTGATATTGGTTCAGACTTATGGCCAACCTCACATACAGACTGTTTGTGTATCACAGAGCTTTGAATAGTTTAGGTTAAAGATTTCTGAGTGGCTTAACTAGTTTATTCACTGAAATTTAATCACACAGCTGCTTTACACACACCAAATGGTATCTGTTACTGGATGTCAATTTTATTTTTTTATAACGAAAAAAAAAATGGTTACTTTACCATAATCAAATAACAATACTTTAATTAACAAACAATAAACAGACTTGATAAATATTTAACATTGCGTGCATAATTCTACACTATTGTAAACCATTTGCAAACCCGTAATGGTGGATTTTGCGACCTTTTGCCATTATTACACCCTAAAACAATCATTCATAAACATACAATTTTCGCATATCAGATCCATTCATTAACAAATTCATAATTCATAACTCAATTTTGTCAACAATTACACACCAGGTCACACAAACGTTACTGAGGTACCTGAAGTCAAATCTGTCAAGTCAACAATGCCGAAAAGATGTTTATGCTCAAAATCAGTGTCAAGTATTAGCTTGGTATCTATCTTCTGAAATAAATCGACTGGTGACAGATATGAAACCCTGCGTAAAAATGGATCTCACTTTTGTTTCAGTACCCCCTAAAATTCGTCTACGACCACTGTGACTAACCCAACGATATTAGGTGCTGTGGGAGTATAATAGAATGGACTTATGGTTTAACACACTTGACAAATTATCATCCTAAAACGGATGCTTTCTTTCTCCTCTCTTGAATGGATAATTTCTTTGCTCAATTATGTAGATGGTGTACATCTTCATTCTTCAATAATGTAGATGTTGTTTATCTTCCCATAATGTAGATGTTTCTGATGGTTTAGATATTTAACATGCATGAATTATAAATTATTTTAATAAATTATAACAGATTCGGTAGTTTCATTAAAGTTGATTACTGTAACTTTTAAGAATAATTAACAAACAATGTAAGAAATTACAATTCTACTTTCACAGTAACTAAAGATGATGTGTCTGTTGTATTAGTGATATCAGCTGAGGTTGTATCAGTTTCAGGAACAATAGTGTCTGCTGAGGTTGTAGTCGTAGTAGTTGTAGATAAAACAGCAGTACAATCTACACCTTCTATTTGAGCTGTACCTGTAAGGTGCTGAAATATTCAATAATTAAATACATCATATAAGATAAGATTTAATATTTATTGCAAAAAACACTCTTTTTCTGTAAGCATGTAAATACATATTTATGCCATAATATTACAATGACATGAGAAATACAGAAATGGTGGATAAGAGATAGTATATATATATATATACATTGATAAAGAAGAGTGAAAAGAGAACAGGTAATTACTAAGTTATATACAAAATATTAACAAATGTTATACAATAGAAATACAATAAATAAAACTTTACATGATATTTATTATAAGATAAATTTTCTGGGGTAGAAGTGGGTGCCAAATCACTTTTTTCGAAAGCGTGTTGAACAAAGTTGCGCTGTGTTTATCAGAGCAATGCTAACTTGAACAAGTTTAAGACAAACTATATAAATATCATTTGTTAATTAAACATTCTATTCTATTTGATAAACAGAATAGTTTTTTTGACATTTTCCCCCAAACTTGATGATTATGTTTGGCTACTCATAAGCAGCAAAAAAACCCCACACATATTGCAAATCTCAAGAGTTTTTGAGATGAAGCCATTGCTTCTTTGATTGTGCAACATCCTGTGATGTCCTTGCTGCCTACCAACACAACGCTACTGGTGGGTGTACATTTGGTGTCTGACAATGCTAGTTTAATGTTTTTGTCTATTTTAGTAAAATAAGTATCATCCAGTTTGTAACTGTTGGTGAATAAGCCAATTCTTTTTATAGTCCATGCATTGGAAACAATGGTAGCCATATCCGTCCTACAGTAAGGTAATACAATAATATAGGCACAATGTTTCACCAAAGACTTTACTCAAAGATGTAACAAAGGCTAGAAATTGACAGAACGTACCTGTAAACTAGCTTGTAAGGCTTCTAATTGAATAGGATCAGTAACAACTAATACTTGTTGACCTTGTTCATTGATAGTAAAACCTGATATAGTATGTTGTTGTTCTAACTGTTGAAGGCATGGTAAGGACACTTGTATTGTATGTGCCTGATCATCAGGTACCAGCTGAACGTTTTCCAAATTTGACACCTGAAAATTAAAGGTGAAGAAATTGGAATCTTCATTTAAATGCAGATATGATTCACTGCGTGAAACTCACACATGGCTTGGAATTTACAAAACGTTTCGCGCAGTCTGACGAAGAAGTGACCAAAGCAGGGAAGAATACATAAAAGAAAAAAAACAAAACTTAATTCCACCAAGTGTAAAATCATTTATGCAAATATCTTTTACGTTTGTTTATATTTAAAAAAAAAAAAAAATATTTGTGGAATTTATCCCAAATTTTCTTTCTTCTGGAATATATGAGCCAGGTTATAATTAATAAGTGAATATGATAGAGTACCTGAGAGGCTTCCGATGTATTTATCACTAACATGCCTTCCCCTTCCTCCTGACCAGAACTACTCTCAGCTGTAGCAATATACTGTAAACGAGGACGCTTAGGGTCAGTTTCATCACCTTCAACTGATAATAAAATAAAACTATATTTATGGATGAATACATAATTTTTTAGGTTTGGCACTTGAGAAAAAAAAATTAAGTTTATACACGCATAATTCTAAAAAATATGCAACATTTAATCCTTACATTTTACAGTACTTAAGACATTTATCTACTGGTATTTGAATTAACATTTCATTTCTATTAAATATGTCTATTTATTGTTATCCATGCTGTTGCTGGGGTTTGGGAAGTGTCCGAAATGAGTGTCAGACTATAGCTAGCCATACAGATGATGTCAAAATGCTTCTTATGTCACCCTGGTATTCGATCTTATGAGCCAATGTAGTTCATCATTTGATAAACCCTAATTGCTATGCCATTTTGTGATACTTTAGTTAAATATTGATCCAAACCAAATTTATACAATTATGTTATTATTAGAAAATGTCACAGAGATGTGCGTAATAAGGGTATGGTTTACATTTTTAAAATTCAAATAATAATTACTCCACAATGGAAACAACAAAATACTACCTTGCGTGAATAACTGAGCTTCTGCCTCATGTATAGCTATTTCTTCTCCATGTGCGGTACGTTTGTGCATGGCCAGTGTAGATGTCTGGCGATATGTTTTACCACAGTGTGTACATTCATATGGTTTGGAATGAGTATGAACCACATGATGCTTATATAAACTAGAATATTCTGTAAATCTTTTACCACAACCTTGTACCGTGCAAACATACGGCTTTTCACCTACAAAAATCAGAAAGAAGCTTAGAAGAATAATAGCATAATAATTACAATATTTACTCAATTAAATATAACAAGTTCCTGATAAGAGTATGAAATTTGTCTTCTGTAATGATCTCAGAATGTTTCTTTTCATGACATTTACAAATGAAATGAAATTTAACGTCCTTCTGTTCGGCACTGATTGGGCTAATAAAGATGGTGTGTTTTGAGTGAATATTGCCTGGACGGTGCACTACAACCTACTCATATTTCAAATTTAAACTGTCCAGGGTTCTTTCAAGTGCACGCAAATCAAATGAACAGTAGAAGATTTGTAGGAGCTTTCAAGCTATTGTTATTGAGTATTGTAGTCTGCAATATATTACCTTATTTTATTAAAGGTAAAACAGTGTACCCCTATGAAAAAAGTTGAAATAGATAATGTGAAAATGTCATCTTAAAACACAGATGTAATACTGTTAGGGCAGTTGGCTTGGGAGCTTTATAACATCAAACTTTAAAACCCAAAGTTATCAGTCTAGCATTAACGGTAAGTATTCTTCTATCCTTAATATTTTGGTTCCCAGTATGTTTGAAAAGAAAAAAAAAATACCGGTAATTATAATTTCCTGGTGCAATATTTAAATTCAACAATCTTTAAAAAAACTCATTTACCGCACAATATAAATTTTGCGAAGGTATAAATAATTTGTTACGAGGCTTCAATGGTTTCAAAAATTGGCTCCATGTGCTTTTGAGATGATTTTATGACTGTAATACCAAAATGGACCAAATGTTTAGCATTTCTAACCCTGAAATTGTCCCAAAAAAAACCCAAATTTGAGAGGGCTCATATCCTGAACCCCCTTGATCGGTCAACCACTTGTCAATGCCCCTGTCATATAAGAACTTGACCACCTACCAGTATGTATTCTAACATGATTCTTATAATTAGTTGCACTAGCGAATGATCTACCACAGCCTTCAGCCGAACAAGTGTAAGGTCGTTCACCAGTATGAGTTCTGATATGAACTTTTCTTATATTAGAGGTGGTAAAAGATCTTGTACATCCTTCAAATGGACACTTGAAAGGTCTTTCTCCTGAAATGGAAACATAACCAAGATCAGTATTTTCCTAAATCAAAATACATACACCTCACTTTTGTACATACTGGCAAGAGCTTAATTTATTAATATACTACACAATGAAAATGTACCACCGAATGACTGTAAATCTTGTTAGAGAGATACACTTTAATATTACAATTCTGAATGTAACAACATAAGACATTTCTCGACCATTAAAGAAATTGTATGGCTATCCAATATTCTATTCACAGCAACAATTCATTATCAAAATTTAAAATATGTCTTAAAACTCCTCTGTTTAAAGAAGCGGATGATTAATTATCGGAATGATCTTAATTTATATTTTACTTTGAAAATTTGCAAATTTTTTTTTTTTTTTGAACAATTGTGATATTTTACTTCATGCATTTTTCTTTTACCATTTGTTTAACGTGAAGAGTCTTTGAGCAGTCCTTGTGGAAATGGTGCTATATATTACTAAGCTATATCATATGTCTGTAACTACCATCATGTTGATCAATTTTATTAAAAAAAAAAACCTGGTTTATAATTTCTTACAGATATTTTTAACTACTATCATGTTGATCTATTTTATGAAAATATATTTTCTGGTTTATAATATTTTATAAGATGGGGTGGAGAGAGAGAGAGAGAAATGGGGTTTAACGTCCACTCATCACAAACTAGGTCATTTCGGGACTAACATATGGTTTAATTTTATTTCAATATTTCGCTTGCGCGTAGGTTTCTTTAGCAGTGGGAGGAAACCGGAGGACCCGGCGAAAACCCACGAGGTTGGACAGGCGACCCTACTCCTTGCCACGTACAACCGGGGATTCGAAACCACGCCAGTCGACTCAATGACAGACTTTATGATACAGCGCGCGCACGCTAACCATTCAGCCATCCAACCCCCCTATAAGATGGGGTGGGCGTTGTAATAATATTACCTGTATGTGTTCTCACGTGTTTCTGTAAATCACCAGATGTTTTGAAAGCTTTATCACAATTACCATCAGAACATTTATATGGTTTCTCCCCTGTATGAACTCTACGATGACTCTTTAACCCATAACCAGTAGCAAACGCCTTGCCGCATTGAACAAAATCACACTTAAAAGGTCGATCACCTGTATGTGATCTTTCATGAACCTACAATAAATATATATCCTTTGAATGGCATTTAGTAATTGGGACATAATCAAATAACACACTTTTATGGAATGATAATTACTATGGTTTATTATATTAAAACATTTCAACAATATATATAAAATTATAAAAAGTTTTCATATTTCTAAAGAGCTGACTTTCTTTAATTTTCTAGGCGATAAAAAGTATTAGCTTATTTTGGTCAGAATGTTATGATTTAAACTCATAATATTATTCTTACACTGAAGTGTAGGTTATCAATACGTTCAATACTATAAATAAAATTATTGAATTTGACCAGATAAGTGCCCATGCCCCATACTTTATAACGTGCACATCCATCGTTTTACCATATGCAATACTTCACCACTACAATTTGATCTGTTGCTTTTGATTATTTTCTGTTGCATTTGAATTAATTTGTCTCTTATACATAATCACTAAAATAGCTGTTATTTTAATAAGTACATAGTTCGAAAGGCATTTTTTCCTGAGATCAAAGGATGTATAGATGCTTCTTTTGATCAAATTCCTTATCTTCAATTTTGGATGATTGTTAATTCATTGCATTTAATAAATTTACCTTTAAATGATGAAGAGTTGTATATAATCTACCGCAATTACCATACATACACCGGAAAGCTTTATCACCAAATGGAAGGGTTCTTTCTTGATTATCACGATCTACAATTCTCTAGAATAAACATTAATTCAAATCTTTATACATTGAACAGGAAGAAACAAATATTACAATAATATTTAGGTAGTACTCCTAGTCTAGGAGTATCATACCCGGCCAAGATCACTAAAATTAGATGTCATTATCATTCTGTTGATTACACCATTAACGACATCTGAATTCTGGGCTGATGACAGCCTAATAGTAACTTTGACCTTGATCACACAGGCTATCAAATCAAATCAAAACGATTCAAAATATTTTGTACAATATTCTGTATCCCTGGTAGGTTGATCAAGAGTGCATTAGTGAAGGTGCCCTATACAAGTTGAAGCCAAGAAAACACTTCCCCCTAAAAGCAACAAAAGTTGACTGTGTCAGATATACTTGTATCTCTTGAAGAATTGTAGGACATAAGATAGCCTGATGCCCTGATCTATTTATTATCTTGAAGGCTGTCATTAGCTTTTATCTGTGTTTTTTTAAAGAGATTTATGTGCATTAATTTAATGATTGTTTATACTTACAATGGTTCCTGGGTCGTTGACTTCTGCTTTGATTTCCCCTTCTTCAGAGAGTTCTGGGCTTTGTGTTACCTAAAATGACAATAAAATAAGTATTTAAAAACGCAAAGTTGAATGTATAAATATAGAGCTATAACTTTTGAACGTAGGGCACCCTAGCAATGTGCCCATTCCATACACGCTATGCCAAGAAATAGGTGTACTGGGACTCTCGGTCATTGTAGGGCTATAAAATTGTTGCACAAATTTATTTACAATCCTTTAACAAACAATATCTGATTACTGTTCAGACTAAAAATAATATTCTCTGTGCCCAAAATGTCCTGCTTTGATCAAACAAAAATCTTTGAACAAATTCGTAAGCCCCCTAACCCCCTGACTATTACACCTATGTCAGAGAACCTATGCTGAGTAGTTGACAGAAATTTTAGCAATACCATGCCTGGTAGTTATTCCTTCTGTATATACTTTCTGTTTGAATTAAGGTGGTATAAATGGGACTAAAGTAAGCACGATTATCACTTACCTGAGTCATTTGTTCTAAATTAGGTAAAGCTCCATCCAAACCAGTAGCCTCAGCAAATAAAGCATCAGGATTAGGATGGGCAATATATGCTGTTGTTCCATCTTCTAAGGTAATAGCTTGAAGTCCATCTATAATAAAAAAAAACCAGATTAGGTACTGTACTGTGAAGACATCTGTTGATATTGTGTTATTGTTAATTTATGATGCCAATAAAGCCATTCAAAGCAGTATAATGAAAATCTAAAGGGGCGTACATGACTTGAAACAAGTCATCTGTGCTAGGCCTGAATTCTGGCACAATTCCTCTGGTGCCAATCATATAATCAGGCACAGTTTTAGTAGGGCTATGACCGTGTTCATTTTCTAACACTGAAATAGTTCCAATCATGCTCTAGTTCTTTCATTTTTAATAAACAAATTAACATGTCAGCTGTGATATTATGAGGATACATGTAACTGTCATCTCCACTGTACACAACCAAACAATCAAAATAGTCCTGATTCGATACAAAGCTACAAAAGTTACTGTTACCCTGATGAAGCCACAGCCACCATCTTAATTTATTCATTAAAGGCAAAATAAATGAAATGGGGTTTAACATCCTCCCTTTCTGCAACAACCTTGCTAATGAAGACGGGCATATGTCACACAGTGACCACCACGACTCCAAAGGCAAAATGAGTTGAACATTAGTTTTGCATTGTGGAAACTATTTAAATACCATACCAGATAATAAATAGACAACAAAGAATCTCCATTGGCTGGACGTTCGCTTTAACTGAAATTTTGTACTTGTTCTTTTACACTTATGGTAATAAAGGTTGTTGATCTCACCTGGGCCTTTAGTAGTTTGTAAATAAGCCATGGTGCCATCTTCAAGTTGTATAGGTTGACCTTCTACTATTTTATGTGTTGCTTGTTGTTGTTCTTGTGGAGCCTCTATAAAATATAACTTGCGATATATTTGGGCAGTCTAATGAAAATGAGACCCTACTTGAGAGGCCTTGTTGAGCAAACAAATGATATGAAAGTATTGGAGTAGTGACTTTAATGCAACCTAGTTCCATAAAAGTATTAAAATTAAAACCATAGAATTAGTTATTAATTATAAAAGATGGTCAAGTTATGCGCAAAATAAGAAACCTGTCTCATATTTGGTAGGAATAAAGATCATTTCTTCCCCAAACATTCTGCAGTCTATTACTGCCTAGCCTATGACTAGAATAAATTTGATCAATTTTGATCAAATAAAATGCTATGCTAAGTCTTACAGATTATTTTCAATTGATAAAGCTAACCTCTTGGGGTCATATTTTGCACAACAGCTGTGGTCCCATCTTCTAAGGTTAATGTTTGACCTTCAGTAAACTTAACATCAGCTAAAACAGAATAAAAGAAATATGTAGAAACCTGAGGAACCACTTACAACTAAATACTATATTTACAGTGTAAGTTTATTTCAGCACGAATCCTTGTTGTATGATGTCAAAGTAAAACTTCATCCATTTGTTTATGTTTTATCTATTTTAATATTAAGATAGTTTCAGAACAGCACAAACCAAAATACAAATAATTTCATCTAAATTGGAAAATTAGGATGCCAGCTGTGATGTTATAATGGGACCTGTCAACCACTGTTAATAAACGAAGAGCTGCATGTGAATTTATTTCAAAGATATTTGACAAAAAATAATTTGATTTTAAAATGTTAAATTTTCTTCACTGTGAAGAAAGGGTATATGTGGAAACAAATTTTATTTAAGGTAAAACAATATTTATAGTTTTAGACAACATAAACCTAGTCCCACAAGATGTGCAACAAAAATAATCTTATAGACTTTTTAAACATGTCAGTTGAGTCTCGGTTATCTGAACATAGACTATATTAACGATTTCAATTGTATTGACGATTTTTGTGTTTGTGAGTGAATGTCTCTTGCTCCCCCCCCCCCTGCTCACCCCCACATTAAGCATCTCATTCAATCAAAGTTTCCTTTGTTACCTTTGTTATGTTGTATGAATGCTGTTGTGCCGTCTGCAAAAGTGACCGCTTGTAACATCTGTGGAACATCAGTTACAGGTAAATTATGTTCTTCATGCTGAGATTTTTCTTGACCCTAAAATTGAAAAGTTGATGCAAATCATCAAACTTCATGTCTGCAAATGCTGACCAATTTTACATAGAGAATTTATCAGAAATGTGCCTATTCATATATTGGAATTTATAAGCAAAAAACATAGTAAATCAGACAGCAGACTCCCCTTTAAAGCTATTAAATTTTATGAAATTAAGTAATCTAAGGATGAGACTAGAATTATATCCACAAACCCATCTATGGCAGTGTCCTTAAAATGTTAATTTGAATGGAGTGATCAAAGAAAAAATCCAAAAGTTTGTTGGCTATATGTGAAAACTTTAAATAAGAAACTGTATCCGGTGTTCGTGAGAACCAATCTGCCAAATATCATACAAATTTTTCTTTGTTTGAAATTGTATATTGTGCATTGAGAAATTTCTATCACTGTCATAGTTAAGGCCATATTTATTTAAGCATTCACCTAAACAAATCTAAATATAGTGGCATCCACCATGTCAGAAATAATTTGTTGAGCTGTAGTATTTATTTGTGATTATTCATTGGTGATGGACAATTACAGCTGAATAATCCTTGAAGTACTCAGACTTTAAGTGACTAATGTTTACCTCAGAAGTTTGTAAAAGTAGACCTAGACCTATGACTTGTTCAGATGTTATTGGCGATATAGTTGCAACCCCTGATGATCCAACCAGCGATAAACAAGTAGTTGATGTTACACAGGTTGTTTCCCCTTCTACTGTACCGTATGCTACTGGAGCAGTTTCTTCATCCATTTCTACAATATAATCAAAATTTATTATGAGAGGTTTTGAACACTTGAAGAAAATATAATCGTTTGGAGGATGGAAAATGGGGCAATACTGGCATCTGATAATCTTGGTTTTTCATAACAAAAATTTCATCCAGCATTTCTTGCCAAGACAATTTTGTTGTTAAATTCCATAATGAAATCTACAGCACAGTCCACATGTGTTCAACTGAAGTTAATTCAACATTGACCTCATTTTTGGGGAGATTATATTAACCTTTCCCCCTTTTTCAGTCTTGCTTTCCAACTATTCCCCCCAACTGCAGCCCACCATGTTCCACAATCAGAAACGATCTTAATACCTTGACTTCCATCTAGATATATCTACATTACAAATTTGGAAATGTCCTATACATTTTTTAATTTGTGGACAATCTCATTCCACTGAATCATTAAATTCCCCCAGGTTGAAAACCCCAAGGCAGTATTTTAATTGCATGAAAATACTTCACCAGTCAGTGTTCATGTGATCAGAATTAAACTATTTAAACCTGGTTCTCCAAGAACGACATCATCACATCCTGTGTTGTCTTCGGAATCATGTGATAAATGTCCGTCTGTAAGACATCGTATTGCATCACTGCCTACTCCTGATAAATCATCTAACACCTCTATACTGTCCATCATTTAACAAAAGTATCTGGAATAAAGAGAGTAGGTCTACTTATAAACTCTTTGTCTACTTATAAACTCTTTGAATATTTAAATGTTCTCTATTTAGTAGATTATGTCTAGGAAACAATATAAAAATCTAAATCTGGTTTTCAGGGCTTAATTAAGCTGAGAGAGTGCATTTTGATTTTCTTGTATCAGTGCTCTTGTTTTGGTCATATTTGCCAGTATATATCAATAATCATGGCAGTAAAATTGACCAAACGGAGTACTAATGCTACACATTGACTCTAGCAAGTTTCACACCCCCCAAAATTTCTCAGCATTGGGGGGAGGGTTAAATAAAACTATTTGATTTTTGAGCTCCCATGGGATCTTCTTGTTTCCCATGATGCAGAATCAGTTGTCACCATGCCTATTTAGTACTTATAATCCTGTGAAATAACTTCCTTTTGACAATTTTAATCAAAATATGATATGTTGCAGAAATAAAATTATTTCATTTCAAGATGTATGAATCTCCCAAATGACAAATGTGTCTGTCACCAATCAATCTGATTAAAACACAGATCCTATTTCATTTCGTTTTTTATAGTTCAAAATTTTACTGGTCTTTACCACACTAGGATCTGGAGGAGTTGTTATATAACCCCCATTCTGGATGATGTGAGGGATTAGCCAATGAAACGGTCTGTTACGGCGAGTTTTTGGCGTGAGGTGCACATAAATGCGGGTAACCCACTAGAAACATCAACACTGATTGGTTAATCAAATGTTTGATGCCATAGAGTTCCTTAAATTGGCAAGACCTGAAAAATCCCAGCGAGTTTGAAACAAATCTTAAACACTCCGACCTGCAGAGCATTTACAAGATATCAGGTGCAGGGGAACTGAGTGTTTACAAGTTTTTACCATCAGGCAAAGGAGACAGAAAAACTAGGTCATTTCGTGATTAACATATTTTTCAATTTTACATCAATAATTCACTAGGGATCGTTAGCAGTGGGAGGAAACCAGACGACCCCATGGGTTTCACAGGCGATCCTACTCTTTGTAAAGCACAACCTGGGAATGAAAAGCAGGCCATTTGATAGATCTTATGATCTAAAGTGCATTCATTAGACCACCCACCCCATCCCCACAGCATGCCAAACCTCATTCATGACACCGGTCTCTCTTTATTATGTACATTGAGCTTTGAATCCTGAAATGTTTATGGTGATGCAGAGGTACCAGGATTTGTTTCCAAGATGGTTGACATTAAAAACTATTCATGAATGTGAAATTTGACTTTTATATTATTGACAGAAATAAGACAGTTGGTTAGGCCTAGTGTGAAAATTCCTGTTTAATTGTTTTATGTTATTACAAATATATCATAAGTGATCGTATTATACCATTTTACCCAATGTGATGGGTTTTTTACAAATATTAAAACTTAAACAACAAAAGGAGACTATAAAATAGATGGCTATTTTTCAAACGTTAATTATTTTACTCTTGCATTATGTCGATTTAAAATACAGATGTGATGTCATCCTTTAAAATTGTTGTAGGGCTACCATTATCAGAGGTGTGAACTTGAGTCCCGCGAGCAAAGGACCAGCCTAGTCATGGGAGCGAACATAACTAACTTGCCTTATTTGCCATTAATTGCTGACTCATTTGATGATTTGATTGGGGACTTGAACTTTGTTCCCACCTCTAACCATTATTTCAAATAATGTATAGGTAAAATGCCAATTAGACATTATTATATACCAGACAAAATATTGGACTTGCAAGATAATTTCACTGAAATACATGTGCTGGATAGTGTATCTGTATTTTAAGTTGTTTAATGGTCTTGAGCAAGACATTATATAATATAACTTCAAAAAAAGTAGGGGATATTCAGAAACAATACAAAACTGCAGAAATGCACTGCTGTTTTTATTAGAAATGAAATGAAATGGGGTTTAACGTCCTACTGTTCTGCTCCTATACTGGGCTAATGAAGACGGGCATACGCCATATAGTGTGCTATGAGGGAAATTTGCCCGGGCAGCGGCACTATCGCCTACTCTTATATCGCATTCCAACTGCCAAGGGATCTTTTACGTGCATTCCAATGTATACACGGGACCTCGTTTTTTTGTCTCATCCAAAGGACTAGACAGCTGTCCTTATCAGGCCCTCAGTTCTGCACCACTGACAAGGGAAAACCATGTCGGAAAATCCAGATGAGTTTTTATTAGAGGTAACCGGTGTATGTTAATAACAGGCCAGTTGCTTTCACATGAACATAAACAGTTCATATGCATAAACAGTTCATATGGACGGCTTATCTGACGGCCCCATTTCACTCGCAAAGAGATACACCGTCAAAAGTGAACATGGGCGTTTTTGGTTTTTGTCTTAATAATAAGTAATTGCTCCACCAATCCCCAGACATTCAGCAATTCGTCGTGGTATGCTCCTAATCAACCGTCCAATCACGATTTGGGGCAATCTGACCCACTCCTCTTGCAATGTCACGGCCAATTCTTGCAGTGTTGTCGGTTGATGTTGACGTTGACGAACATGTCTCCCAATAAAATTAAACTTAACACACTAAAGCAAACAGTAAATCTTATGCAAGAACCGATAGGAAAGCAAACATGGATAGATAAACCAGCACGCGGCAGTTTTCATCAACCCTTTCTTGAAGTGTATTTGACAATGAACCCCTCCCATGTGTATGGCGCTATTGCGTGTCGCATGTGCAGCTCAGTGGTTCTGTTGGGGCGATAAATTTTTCATCTGTGAACATACTCTCAAAGCATGTCAAGTGTCCATGACTCTTTATCATACCACAACCTGCATAGGTATTTGCATTTCAATATCCCCTACTTTTTTTGAAGAGTATATATTGATTTAAAACACAGATGTGACGTCATTCTTTGATGTTGACGTATCATTATTTCAAATAATGGTACGGGCAATGTGCCAGGCGTACATTATTTATACTAGTTAAAATTTTGGACCCGTGTGACATATTTTATTGCAAAGCATGTACGAGTGTCTGTATTTTAAGTTGTTTAATATTAATAGTCCCGAGCTTAAGACGTGTAATATACTGAAACAAGTCACGGACAACCAGGGAATCAAATCACAGCAGTTGACTCAATGACAGACCTTCTGATACAGCACGCATGTGCTAACCATTCGGCCATCCAACCCCCCTTCCTATTTACAAATCTTCATTATTGATACTCCCAGCATATGTAGAATAGTAAATGTTTTGTGTACAAATTTGTTTTTAAAAAATGGGTAAACTGACTTTTGCGATGCTGCCCAGGTACAGTGGAATAAGATTACCCCTGGGATATGATTATAGCTTGAATGAAAGACTTCAGAAACCCTTGGCTAAAATCATTACAATTTCATGTACTGGTATTTATGTTAAAAACAGTAATACCCTAGTTTTGTTACATTTACATAGGTAGATAGTAAATGTTTTGTGTGCAAATTTGTTTTTAAATAATGGGTAAACTGACTTTTGCGATGCTGCCCAGGTATAGTGGAATAAGATTACCCCTGGGATATGATTATAGCTTGAATGAAAGACTTCAGAAACCCTTGGCTAAAATCATTACAATTTCATGTACTGGTATTTATGTTAAAAACAGTAATACCCTGGTTTTGTTACATTTACATATAGGTAGATTTGTGGAAAAGAAACAGGTTCCCAAGTGCATCTCATCTTGTTCATGTTGTGCTTGGGGACTCTCTTCGAAAAAGCCTTAAAGGCTCCACCAATTCATGAAACTTGGTATGTTTGTTCCTTGGCCAATCGATTGACGGACTTTGATTTCAGGTATGTCACAATTTCAAGATGGCTGTGGATGACATCATGCTCAGTTCCTGGTTCATAGTACCGTGGTACTTGTTGAAATCATTATATCTTTAATACAAGTGAGGAAAAGTATACAGACCAACAGCTAAATGTATGGATATGGACCTGAGAAAACTAGTCTAATAGTTTATTTTGGTACGGTATGTACAAAAATATGTAATACTAACATTTTAAATAAAACAATCAGCTGTCATGCAAGTTACAACCACACTTTGTAAGAGATTGACAGAGAACAAGCTAAAAGAAAAACAATTTTTGTACAATAAGGGATATAAACAAGCTGATATTAATAGGCCTATGGATATTTTTGTCAATCAGGGGCCATAATCCAGGAAGTTAGGTCTGTAATGCTCCAATATACAAAGGAACTGAGATCTTTGGGTTATAAAGATGCATTTTAAAGATACATTATGGGAGATTAGATGAAGAGCTGGCAGTTCTCACTATAATAGTTAAAAACTAGATAAGGTAAAGGGAATTTACTGAAAATTTAAGTCAAATTGATCAACTCTGGAACGAGAGTTTAACAATTGAATTTTCAACGCTGCCTCGATCATTGTTACTAAAGTCGGTACAATAAAAAAACATAGTCTCGATTACCCATTTCCTGATTAAATTATGAATGAAAATTGAGCAGCAAATGAAATGAAATGAAATGGGGTTTAACGTTCTACTGTTTTGCTCCGAACTGGGCTAATGAAGACGGGCATACGCCATACAGTGTGCTATGAGGGAAATTTTGCCCGGACAGCGGCACTACAGCCTATTCTTATATCGAATTCCAACTGTCAAGGGATCTTCTACGTGCACACTAATGTGTACACGGGACCTCGGTTTTTCGTCTCATCCAAATAACTAGACAGCTGTCCTTGTCAGGCCCTCCGTCCTACACCACTGACAAGGGGGAACCACGCCGCAAAATCTAGGTGAACTTTCTCGGCCAATGCAGGGATCGAACTGCAGGCTAGCAAGCCAACATCTTACCCACTTAGCCACCGTGATCCCCCGAGCAGCAAATGGGATCCTAATCCAGTAAATATCGCAGGCTAGGGTTGACATCGATAGTTGATTATGGTCTGGATAAGTTAATGTTTAATTAATCATACATTATGCAAGACCTAAATCTTCTTACTGCATGTCTTTCTTTAGGCCAGAAATGTTATATAAACTATTAATTAGACATTTATTAACAAAACAAGACCATAATCGACTCTCGATGGCATTGGATACTCGAGATTTTAACTAGATTAAAACAGTTCGCTATTTAAAAATTTAATTTAAAAATAGGAAAGCAAGGCCAAGTCCCGATTATACCAGTGCCCTGGTTACCACTGTGCACATATCTTGTCAAAACTACAAACAATGATAACTTAGCTGAGAATGAAGTAATTTGAATGAAATTTTCAATATTTTCTTTTTTTATCATCTATTTTTGAATTATTGCAAGAATGACCAACTCTTAACTAATGTATCTTTAATAATTTAGATAACATTTAAGGTCTAAAGAAAGACCTGCATAATGTATGTTTAAGTTTTATCAAAATCTGATAAAGATTGTGGCATCTAGAGTGTCCACAAGCTAAAGACACGATTTTTGAATAATCAGGGGCCATAATCCATGATGGTTCGGTTCGATACATGCCAATATGGAAAAGAACCAAGATCTTTGTGATATATAAACCTATATTTCAATTTTCATCAAAATCAGTTAAAAACTGTGACCTGTACTCCTGTAGACAGGGGCGACAACAATACAGGTGTATAAAAACTGTGCGCAAGTTCAAAGTCAATTGGTTAATACTTTGGTCTCTTAAAGTTACAATTTCATATTTTCTAAGAAAGTCAAAACATAATTATTTCTATGTCTTTTGCTCAATAGGTTGTTAACTCACTATTATACGATCATAGGTGTCATTCTCACACTTAAAACTCATTTACACCAGAAATAATAACACAATTACCTCCCTTGTTTTCTATTCTCCACCATGGAGTAGCTATCTTCAAACGTTTGAATTTGACGAAGAAAATGATATTTTTGCCAATTTCTCAACTGGCAATAGTGATTAATAGGATTATTCTTTAACAAGGTAGGACTGTTTATAGATATCATCTATTTTAAGGCTTTATTTTAATAAATTTTAAAAATATAACTTAAAAATATGAAATTGCAACTTTAAGCGTCTACAAGATTTTTCAAATTGATCAAGGACCATAACCATGATAAGCATAAAATCAATCGGCTGAAAGCTTTAGTCTCTAGGGTATCCACAAGACATTACAAATTGATCATGGAAATTTAAAGGCTTCTTCGTCTCATGGCCTTAAACACTATATGAATTAAAAGTTAATACGTTAACAACTTTGTTTCTAGAGCAAGGACCATATTTTTAAAAAACCAGCGGCTGCCAGGCAGGATACGCCCACATTTTCGAGAGATGGATAGAGTACAAGCTAAAAAGAAAGTGATTTTTCCAACAATCAAGGGCCATAATTCAGGAAATTACAATTCGATATGCGCAAATATCGAAAGGAACCAAGATCTTTGTGTTATAAACTTACATTTCAAGTTTCAAAAAAAATCAGGTTAAAATTGTGACCTCTATAGGGTCCACAGCCTTGATATACCATATTTTAACACTATTTGAGAACGAAGGGCGGGTATTTTGTCTTTCAGTTTTGGGCCGATTTTCACGAAATTCGAACTCAGCCGTCCTTAGGGTGTAACGGTGATATAATAATACGTTTTTTTAAATCTGATAAAAATTATGACCTCTATAGGGTCCACAAGCTAAAAACGTGATTTTTCGTACAATCAGGGGCCATAATTCAGGAAGTTACAGTCCGATATGCGCAAATATCGAAAGGAACCGAGATCTTTGGATTATAGACTTACATTTCAAGTTTCAACAAAATCGGATAAAAATTGTGACCTCTATAGGGTCCACAACCTTGATATACCATATTTTTACGCTATTTGAGAACGAACGGCGGCCATTTTGTCTGTCAATTTTGGGCCGATTTTCACGAAATTCAAACTCAGCCTTCCTTAGGGTGTAACGGTGATATAATAATATGTTTTTTTAAATCGGATAAAAATTATGACCTCTATCGGGTCCACAAGCTAAAAACGTGATTTTTCGTACAATCAGGGGCCATAATTCAGGAAGTTACAGTCCGATATGCGCAAATATCGAAAGGAACCGAGATCTTTGGGTTATAAACTTACATTTCAAGTTTCAACAAAATCGGATAAAAATTTTGACCTCTATAGGGTCCACAAGCTAAAAACTTGATTTTTCGTAAAATCAGGGGCCATAATCCATGAAGTTTCGATCCGATACATGCCAATATCGAAAGCAGCCGAGATTTTTTGGGGATAAACCTATATTTCAAGTTTCGTCAAAATTGGATAAGAATTGTGACCTGTAGAGAGTCCACAAACTCGTATAAAAATTAATCAAGGGTCATGGCAGTAATTGTCAGATATGACTTCAAAGGTGTGGGTTCGTATCCCACTCCAGCCACAAACACAGGAACAAACACAGACAGCAACAAATGTTGGTAACTGTAATTGTCAGACAACCATTACAACACAGATAACCTGGATGTTCCATATCACGAGAACTGATGTTGAACGAAGGGGCCTGTAACCTACAGGGACTTGTAACATATATATTGAATATTCGAAGCCCATTTTTTCACGGTAAAATAACATCAATGTTGATTTAAATTGACCAATAGGTCGTGTTTGCAATGTCAAAAACAGTGAATAATATTGAATTAGCGACTTTCCTCCTTTAAAGTCAATCGACTGTTAAGTTTGGTCGCTAGAGAGTCCACATGATTTTTCAATGCATGATCAAAGGATATACCGTACATGCAACTCTTGTCAGTAATTATTGGAAATGATCGAACATCAACAGACTTCTTCGTCTCATGACCTTAACCACTGTACATTGTATATAAGTTTACAGTCGATCAGCTGATAGCCTTGGTCTCTAGAGCAGCCACAAGACACTTCAAAGACAATGTGATCAAGCACCATAACTCTGGTAAATAGCTCTTGGAATGGCTACAGATGCAAGGAAATGACGGATAATTTTCTTGGCCTCCCCCCTTTTCAAAATTCCTAGATCCGCCCCTGAAATCAATAGGATTCTTAGTCTCCCTGACACTCACTGTATAAATTTTTAGTCAATAGAATATTTATTAACTTTGGCTATAGTGCGCCCACAAGCAATTTTGTGGACATTGACAATACAATGGACGGACAGATGCCGATGGGGGTAACTTCAATATACGACCACATTTCAAAGTGAGCTTATTAAAATAAAAAAGTAGGATGGAATGCAGTTGAAAATATGTGTTGTCTTGGGACTTTGGTAAATCTATGGAACTGCTGTATCTAGCCTAAATGTACTAGAAACTTGGTGATCAAATTTAAATTAACCTGGGAATTTATCTACGATCGAAGAGTAGCCTAGCAGTATGATCCCCGTCCTATCAAATTTGTTTGAGCCCTTGAGCTGACATGTATTCTTTGATGGAGACAAAAATAGCCTCAAGTAGGTTGTCTATCCATGGTCATATAAAAGACTGGCATTCTTTCATTTATTTTTATTTATTAAATTAAGTTTTCAGCTACATATTACTGTAGGTAGGCTAGTCAATTACTGAATTAGAAGAAGAGCTAGAAAAGTAGAACAGAAGTAGAGGTCAACGACCAATCGCAGCCTACTCAGGCTACTGAGTTTATTATGTCTGTTTTGGGTAGATTATAGATGAAAATGAGGTCAAGCGTGGTGTTAGGTTCCTCCATTTTGTATCTGTGAAAATTACGATAAGCCATATAAACAATTTAAATGGTAAATTTTAATCGACGTTCAACGCCTTGACTTCAGCTTCCATCACAGAATGCCACACACATTATCATCCCTTCCCAAGGTACTTAGAGAAAATTTACAATGAACACTGGGAAAACTTACCCAAAAATCATCAGAATCTAGACCGCCATGCACCGCACATCGACATTAGAAATTTTTTGGCCGGCTACTGTATAATTTATGCAGGATCTGACCAAGGAAAGAATATTAGTATTTTGCAAAGAAAAAAAACTAGACTCTTCAAAGAGCATATTTTCCAATTAAAAATTATTAAAACGGAATTTATGAGTCGTGGGAAATTTTTAAAATAGATTTTTTTAACCCGATAATTAAATAGAAAGTAGATTTTAAACAATATAATTTATATAATGCTCGACCCAGCGTGCTAAATTATGGAGGGTGACATCTAGTTGAGAAGATAACTCGTCATTTTCAAAAATATATTTTTTGAATTTAATAATAACAGATTGTGACCCTCTTGCATTTCTTCCGTTGAAAATGTTCCTGCCTGCAAAGACAGTATGCAAACGATAGCTTTGAGTTTGTTCTGTTTGAGGGGTGGGGGAGGGGGGTGCTGTAATGACAAGCGAATTTATAATCAGGCAGGCCTAAGAGTCTTAGTAGACTACTAAGAAGAGTAAGACTAAGAGTAGGCTTAAATCTAAATATTATTACAAGTCTACACCCTTATTGGTCCACGAATAGCCCAAACCTACGAGAAAACATACTTTGAAATTAATTAAAACAGAGGATGCGGCACTCACTAATGGTCAAAGGGGGATAAATCCATTTACTAAACCTAATTAACATAAATTATTTTTTTAATATCTTCTGTGAAAATACTAAAGACATTTACAAAATCTGTAGTTGACCAATTATTCAAACTGAAATATACCAAAATATTATTTAATTATTAGATGTACAGTAAAATAGGTCAATCTGAGTGACTCAACATTCGTTATAATTTGACCACTCCCATGATGCATCAGCGCACTTGCATCTTGGGATCATTGAGTTTTTGCCGAGCAGGAAAGCAAGTCGGAAATTGAAGACGAAAAATCTGATTTTATTTGAATGTGTGGTGTTAAAATCAACCCTTATTCCACATAGAGTAAGTATAGTTCCGAGAAAAAAATGTTTCTTTCTGTTAAAATATAGAAAATGTTCCAGTTTAGTTCTGTAAAGAAATGTTTTTTTCTCATGTTTGGGTCTCTTTGTGAAGAAGATGCCTCGACATGAATTCGTTTCGTCGATGACGGAAAAATTGATTCAAGAATTTTCTTAGAAACCACCAGTAGCATTCTAATTTATTTTAGAACGTTTCTTTGTTCATCAAATATAATTGGTTACTACTGATATTTTTTTCATTGTTTAGTATATGAGTATAAATGTAAGTTAGTTAAAATTTATGTGACATTGTTGAATGATTGTGGTGCAATATATATAACCATGACAAATAAACCATTAGCATTGACTTCAGGTTCTGTCATGCCCAACTGTCTGGGTTTAGTTGGGATTTATAGACCAAACCAAGAGTCTGCACTTGCCAGCTAATCATAATCACAACCCATTCCATTTTACGTCTAGTGATTTGGGGCATTTGCCCCAATTCCTCTTTTCAGGTCAATTATGTTAATTATATATGATTGACCTGGAACCATTGAAATAGTTACAGTGAAATCTCTTGTAAGGAATTGGCAGGTTCTACTGGAGACAATTTTAAATCATTAATGTATTTTAAAAGAAAAGTGTTGTGATTCATTAATTTGATCAATCTCACCCTAATTCCTTACATAAATTTTACATGTAGATTCCTGTCATTATGAAAACTTAATAATAATATACTGCAATTTGCTTAGTTAAATTTACATCTAAGAATAAGATGTCTTAAGATGCTACTCTAATATCTAAATGAAATTTAATTTTGTATACTTGGCTTCATTTAAACCAATCTGTGAATGTCCAAGTTGTAAAATAGCAAGTCTTTCAATTACTAACTTAATTAGTTATCAGAAGTTACATAACCAATTATCTTCTATATACATGTACTGTTTGATAATTGACTTAATAGAAGACAGATGTCTACTCATGTCCATTGTGCAAAATGACAGATTGTTAATGTTATGTCAAATACAGTTGATTATTTTTGTCTGATGTAAAATCATCAGGTCAGTAGTTCAAGCCTACATGTACGTAAATAGGGCAATTGATTTTCCTCATAAAAGTTGGATTCATTTCAAGTTGGTTAATACAAAAAAATATATTAATTGTGCCTATTCACATTGACCTGAAACGATGCTGACTGAAGATAGATTCACACAGTAACTTGACTTCCTTACTGATAAATGTAGAAATATAATTATTATCAATTTAAGCATCATGAATTATATCTGCAACTTAGTAAGTCAATAAATATGTCAATCTGATTAAAATCATATTTCCGGTAATTTTTTTTATGTTGTACTCATTAATATTTGACATATTTTAATAGGATTGTTCTGTGTAGTTAATGTGGTGCAACTCTCCTACGCTTTCTTATATATTTGTAAATAGTGTTTTGATCATATGAATTTATAACTAATCAAATTGTCTTTATTAGTGTACAGGTTTCATATGTTTGTTGATTTTTATATGAATGTTAGAACTGCCAGAATGCAGTTGTGATGTCATAGTTTTGATTACAATGTCTAAAAACAAGTAAAAGAAACAAAATTTGGATCTAATCTTAATTTTATACTGATGTGTAATTGGATTTGCTATAGTGCGCTGTAAAAACCCAATTGGAAAAAATTATATTTTAAGGAATTTACTGCTTATTAATTTTTCTTTTTCTATTTCAGGTTATCTAAATAAAATCCTTTATTTCTTTATTTTTCCCTGCTGTGAATCTACATATCAGGATTATAAGAAGCAGCATACTGGACGCAAAGATAGGGAAGGGTGGTGCTTCTCCACGCTCTGGAGGAAGGTTAGTTATTCATACATTTATGGAGGTATTCAGTTTCAGTTTATTTACAAAACTCAAATTTAATCACACTGATACTGGTTTGTGAAATATGATCACATCTATATCGTCATTATTTGGTTTTTTTTAAACAGAGACGTTAGACCACCCACTACCGGCGCAGGTGCCGCGGCCAACCGTGTGACTAAATCCAGATGGATACCACCAAGCAGTATAAAAAGAGATGCCAATCATGGAGAAGAAAAATATGACCAGATTTTCCGTAGAGTTAGAGGGTGAGTGAATCAAATTATCTCAAAAGTACCTATTTATATTTATCGATTTATAAAAAGGAACCATTCCCAAAATCTGGAATCATCAGAAATCATAGTTTCTAGGGTTTTTTTTAAAGTTGACTATTTTAAAACTAGTAACATTTGATAACCACGTCAAAAATTAAGGACTGGCTCATCCAGTGAAAAACAGTGAATTTCAAATTTGTTGAATGGGAATAATGAAATTTGAATTTTTATAATTTAATTTCTTGGAGAAAAATGATTCAGTTTAGCTATTTCAAAGCTATGTAATAATATGTAGATTGATTTTTTTTACTTTTCTAGAATCCTCAACAAACTGAGTCCTGAAAAATTTGATAAATTGAGTCTTGAATTATTGAATGTTGGCATTGATTCTCAAGTTGTTCTTAAAGGCATTATTTTATTGGTATGTTACTTTTTACACATTTAATGAGCTTATCTGTTGTTATACTTGCACAATTTAACACAATACATGACATTGTTTCAAACTTAGTGTTGATTTTGGACCTACGAAAGGGAAGCCGATGGAAAATCTGAATTCTTTAATGACTAAGAGCAGATATCTATATTTTTTTTCCATTCATATTTATAAAGCACAGTGCAAGACTTTTTTTTACAAATATTTTCATAAGGAACACTGTTGAAGTTTAAAACATTTGATTTGTGAACTTGGACTTTTTGCTGGGTTATCATTCTGTGTTTGACTGTTAAAGCATGTGAACATGACAAAGTGGGGCAGCTAAATGTGGCTGTTTCGGGTCATTTATTAAAAAAATCTGTTTAACTCTTTGAATTTTTAAAATGGCGTCATTATCCAAGATGGCTACCATTTTCGACCTTTCTATCACATGATTTTACCCACTGGACTGATTGAGGTTTTGTTGTCCATGTCCGGATGTCTGTTCACATTTTTTTATGTACAATTAAGAGGTCCGATTTTGATGAAACTCAAAATATGTTTGTCCCACATATCCCAGTGTCAATTCCCTTGTTTTCATGTAGTAAGGATGCAACGATACATACAAAAGTAATTGTGATTAATCATGGTTATTGAAAAATGAATAATTGTGATATCTTGGATTATCGTGATGAGATCATTTATCATGATAATTCAAATAGTCATTCTTGGAGGATTCGTTAAACACGATTATTAAAACTAATAAAAGCGTAAACAGTCTAGAATAGAGTAATATGTTGGGTTTAGTGATGTACCGATATGGCTACTATCTGATTTTACCGATATCAAATGTTGACATTGAAACTTATTGGCCGATGCAGATACAATTACAGACAGTGGCTCATTAAAATTCCTCAAAAGTCATGGTAATTGATGTATGCCATTGTTAGTCAGGAAAAGCATGGTACTATTTTTTCTCAGGGAATCAAAGACGAGCACAATGTTTATTGAAGGAATAATTGGGTCACATTTCCTACAGAGTTAAAAATACACAATCTAATGAGAACTTAATTATTTGTTGCGTGATTAATTAGTAAAGCAGGACAAGGCTTGAAAATGCCACAGCAAAAATGTCCTGTGATCTTTAAATTATATTGTTTCTAATGGTAATAAAGAAATATTATCCAGACACATAACTTGTACTATAACTGGATAATCAATGGTCAACAGTCGGACCAGTCGAGTTGGTTTCTATGATTACACTATACTCAGCATTGCGTATAGTGGGGTAACTATAAACTATTTACGCAAGATGTTTTATCATCCTTCATCATTTTGATGAGAATTGGGCCAAAATAATACAAAATTTTATGAATTTGATTCTCAAAAATCATGATATAATGATTATTGAGAAAGAAGGCGATTATTTAATCCCCTGACCCAATAACCGTGATTAACCGGCAATAACCGCAATTCCCCGGGTATCACTGCATCCTTACTATGCAGTAGCTACTGTACTAATTAGTAATACAGGCCAAAGTTCTCCTTACTCAACAAAGTTATACATGAAAAAGACTATAAATTAGTATAAAGTTTTGACTTATAGCTGAGCTGTAATGAAAACAAATGTCTATATTTTCAGATTTTTGAAAAGGCTCTCGACGAGGTCAAATATAGCTCGTTGTATGCCCAACTATGCCAACGACTATGTGACGATGCACCAAACTTTGAACCTCCCGACTCTAACATCACTGTAAGTATTGTAGTTAGATATCGGTAGGAAATAATTTCTGGGTTAAATTCCATTATTGGATTGTACCAGTTACAGCTTTAATTGTGTAGAATTTGTTGCTGAAAAGATTTTCTATTATTTTGATAAACTAGTTATTTTATTTGTATTAATAGTCTGGTCGCCAAACCCAATATTTAGAGCGAACCTGGAAATTGTATACAAAGTTGTTTTTTTTTATGATTGATTGTAGTAGCCTAGGGTGTCCTCTTTCAGAATCTGTCGGGTGAACCTCGGTCAGCCTTGAGCATTTTGAAGATTCAAGATGGCGTCCAAGACGGCCGTCATTTCAAATCCCCATAGTATTTAGTCTCTAGGATTATAATTTTGGTGTCTAACCGTATGTTTCTGGAGTTATGGAATACACTAAAATTGTGTTGTGGGGGTAATTAGATAATAGTAAAATCCAAAATGCCAGACAATTTGGCACTTGAACTCACCAAACCAAACTATATCTTGGGACAAACTATATATTTCTGGATAAAGGAGCATACGAGTGATACAATAACACCACTTATATGCCAATCAGGGGTTCCAGGACCACAAGGACCAGCCCTGAAATGATGGGGGGGGGGCACAAGCTGGTTTTTTTTTTTAAAAAAAAAACAAAAAAAACAACAAATTCTACCCCCAAAACACGAAAATAACCCCCACAAAACTTGGCAATATTCAGTTTAATCCTTTAGTTGTGGTTCTGGCTGTAACCTGCGACTTTACATCCTAAGCCATCCCTTGTGCAGCTACAAGCAAACATACTACTTGTACATAGGATGTCACTCTGATGAGCCACATGACTGAGCAAGTTGGCTGGTTGTATTGTTCTCAGTGAACTATCCTTCACCCAGCAATACAGTTCCGCATCAAATTCCGGCAGATTACCATCTTCCAGTGAACACCACTCAATAGTTTGGTGATGAGCTCATTATCCGTTCTCTGCAAACGCATCATTTGTTGAGCAAGACTTCATGATTTGTTTCTAGATATATTTGGTTTGGTGAAATGAGCGGCTCAGTTAAAGGGCCATATTGTCTGGCATTTTGGATTTTACTATGATTTAATCACCCCACAACATAATGAACGATTTTAGTGTATTCCTTGGCCCCCAAAACATATGGCAAGACAACAAAATTCGCATCCTAGACTAAATACTATGGAAGTTATAGGGGATTATTTGAAAAAGTGGGCGTCTTGGATGTCATCTTGAATTTTTCAAAATGCTCAAGGTTGACCAAGTTCCACCCGTCAGATTCTGAAAGAGGACACCCCGGGTACTAAAATCAATCATAAAAAAAACTTTGGCTTAACCTGGAAATTGTATACAAAGTTCTGCTGGACTACAAATAATAGATCATAATTCAAGCTTGCTTTATGTATAAAATTTGTTGATTTTATTTTTTTGTAGACATTCCGTCGTCTTTTATTGAACAAGTGCCAAGATGAATTTGAAAACAGATCTCGCGCAAGTGAAGGTAATTTAAACAATTTTTATTTGACAGATCTGTTTAACTGTTTATATAGTTTAATGAATCTACAGATTGTCAAACATTAATGCAGTCTAATAATAGATTATACCTGAAAATGTAGGTGCATACATCAAAATGAAATACCACCAGGCATGTTGCTTGCCTGGAACCACAGCAATTAGTTTTTCTTGAATATGACTTGCAGTCAGTTGTTAGGATATTGAAATAACAATAATCGGTAAATAAACTATTACCAAGTACCGTGTGACTTATTTTAAGTAACCAGTTAATCAATAGACTCAAAGGATGTTTTGTGATTGCTTAAAAGAGTATCATATGGAAATTATATTTGGTAGTGGTAGCAAAATTTTTACATGCCAGTGACCATTAATTTTTATTTAACCAATACAGAAAATGAAATAGAAATATCCAATGCATTACGTTTTAAATTCTTTTCAGCATATGACAAACGTGATGGCCCCCTTACAGATGAAGAAGCAGAACAATATCATTTGGCAAAATGGAAAATGCTTGGCAACATCAAGTTTATTGGTAATATTTTTAACCATTTAACACAATGCTGTTAAATTCATTATCCCTCTGCGAAGTCCGGAAAGCTTATTGAATTGGGAATCTTTTCATCCGTTCACATTTTGTCTCCTGGGATCTTATGAACTGGTTATGGTGTCTTAACAACTTCGTTCACATGCACATCAGTTTTTCAGTGGAACTTAAGCATATTTACGGAAACAATTTTTACTGTGGGGGGGGGGGGGGATCACGTGGGTAAGACGCTGGCTCGCTAGTCTGGAGGTCGGGTGTTTGATCCCTGCATTGGCCGAGAAAGTTCATCCAGATTTTCTGGCGTGGTTCCCCCTTGTCAGTGATGCAGGACGGAGGGCCTGACAAGCACAGCTGTCTAGTCTTTCGGATGACACGAAAAACCGAGGTCCCGTGTATACATTGGAATGCACATAAAAGATCCCTTGGCAGTTGGAATTCGATATAAGAGTAGGCGATAGTGCCGCTGCCCGGGCAAAATTTCCCTCATAGCACACTGTAAGGCGTATGCCCATCTTCATTAGCCTAGTATAGGAACAGAACAGTAGGACGTTAAACCCCATTTCATTTTTACTGTGGGTTTGGTATTTAATTATTCAGGAGTATAAACCAAAGATGTCTTTATGAAACCTAATGAATGTTTGTTTTCATTCATACATCTAGGATTGAGAAGTCTGTTGATATTTGATAGAGTACAATACCAAAGATTGCGGTAGTTAGTAATTATACTCGATTTATTTCCACTATAGTGGGATGACAAAATATAGATGTCTGATACAATTTGCTATAATCTTATAACCAGCATTTGTCTATCCATGTACCATCAAAAACATGTCCAAGGGCTGAGCATGTTGATGACCGACTCTTCTTAAATTAATTTTGACAATAAATCATCGTTTTCAGGTGAACTGGGTAAACTCCAGATGCTTCATGAAGGAATTCTACATAAATGCATCAAACAGCTTTTGGAAAAGAAAAGGAATACCGATGTCCTGGACATGGCAGAAGACCTTGAATGTCTCTGTCAGATAATGCGTACTGTCGGCCCTCGTCTGGACACAAGCCGGGCGAAGGTAAGAAATCCATGTTCTATTAGCATTTCAGAGTTACAGCAAACAGTAAAATTCTCTGATAGCCATTTAACCAGGATACAGAGCGACTGTTTAAAGAAAACTTTGACCGAGCTGTGAGCTTAGGCAATACATTTTATACCGACACTCCTACAGCTGTCAATTTATACAGTTACACAGAACTAGGATGAATAATTTTACTATTCTTTCACACAGAATTTACCAGTTTTATTCCCTTGCATATATACTATTCAAAAAAAGTAGGGGATATTTGATTTTTAAGTGTTATTAAAGTCACCTAATGAAACTGACGAAGAAACAATTGACAAAATGAAATGAAGTTCACATTCATCGATTTATTCCAAATGATCGTTAGACTAAGTAAGGCACAGACTGACCATTATAAGGGTACAATGATACCCGGGGTCAAACAGCAAAGTTACCACAGCATCACAACCAAGTCAGTAACGGGTAAATCCTCCTCTGTTTGCCAAACAAGCATTGATCCGACGTGGCATATTCCTAATGAGACGTCTAAGGTCATTTTGGTCCAGATTGTCCCATTCCTGTTGCAACGCAGCAGCAAGTTCTTGGACATTGGCAGGACGTTGTTGACGTTGACGTAACCTCTGTCCAAGCATGTCCCAGACATGCTCGATGGGGGAGAGGTCGGGACTCAGTGCTGGCCAAGGTAATGTGGTGATGTTCTGTTGTTGGAGGTAACCTGTAACGATCCTGGCCCTGTGACATCTTGCGTTGTCATCCTGGAAGATGAAACGGCGGCCATGACGTCGTGCGAACGGCACAACATGGACTGCCAAGATGTTGTCCCGGTAGTACTGGCCTGTAACACGCCCTGCAACAACATGTAAAGCCGTTCTTCCAGCAACAGTGATGCCTCCCCACACCATAACAGAACCACCCCCAAATCGATCATGTCTGATGACGTTAACGTCTTGGAAGCGCTCGTTTCGACGACGCCACACCCTCCTACGTCTGTCCAAAAAATCAACAGTGAACCTTGACTCATCTGAAAACATCACATTGCTCCAGCGTCGATTATCCCAGTGTTGACGATCCCTACACCAACGACGTCTTGCCTGAATGTGATGATCTCTCAAACAAGGGATCACGCGAGGACGTCGGGCGCGAGGGTGACCCCTATGCAGTCGATTCCGAATCGTCTGGCCACTCACTCTCACACCAGTGTCTGTTTGAAGACGAGCGCTGATCTGATTTGCTGTGATGACACGATTTCTCAAGGCCAAGGTACGGATAAATCGATCCTGGGCTTGAGTTGTCGCCCTTGGTCGACCTGAGCGTGGTCTGTCCTGTACAGATTGTGTATCACGGTATCTGGACCATAGCCTGCTTATGACAGACTGAGAAACATTCATCGTCCGCGCCACAACCACCTGTGTTGTGCCGATCTGTAGCATGCCAAGGGCACGTAACCTTTCATTTTGGGTAAGCCGACGCATATCAAAATTTGTTTTCTGGTCACTAAAACAATTAAACTGATGTTTCCACCCTGGAATTCAATGCCACAATGACTGTAACATTCAAAGTCAGAGTCGTGCAAATCTTGGGTTGGACCCCCATGATGATCCCAAGCATCACCTGCATTCCATGCGGTAGCTATTGGTGCGTTTGGGCGTCACATGTAACTGGAAATGTTTCTTCTGTTAGGTTCTATAATGACTTTTTTCGTATTTATTTGCATATTTTAGTATTATGCCCCCAAAATCAAATATCCCCTACTTTTTTTGAATAGTATATTTAGTATTGCTTTTTAAGATGAGTTTTTAATCTTCTATAAATCTAGTTTCACTTGTTTAGTTTTGAGGTATAATCCTAAAAATGATGTTTTGTAGGCATGGATGGATCAATACTTTGAGCGAATAAAGTATTTTGCTGGTAACAGTGAGCTACCGCCTAGAATTCGCTTTATGCTGCAAGATGTGGTGGAGTTGAGAGCTAAAAAGGTAATTATTAAATTATTTGTATCTCTGTGTACCAGAGGACATCAGTTATTCAGAATCTGGGTAAAGATTTGCTCAAATAATGTGACAGCAACTTTAAAAGTAATGAGGAACTATCGTGTGCCTGCTATATCTTCGAATACAGATGCCAGTATAATTCTGGTCAGTACCAATTTAAACAGGCAACTGAAGTACCAGTTGACATGTTAAAAGAAAATGCATGATATTTTGCAGTCATTAATCTTTTTTGTTTATCCTTATCTTTTTTTTTTATTCCAGTGGAAACCACGTCTTCATGCAGCTTCTATTGGCCCCAAAACAATTACTGAAATTCGTCAGCATGCTGCTGCTGTAAGTATAATATAAAATTAATTTTGAAGTGACACTGAATGAGGTTTTACTTTACCAATAATCTTAACGGCTAAATATTCTTTTCACTAATGAAAACTAAGAAATAAAAAAAACAAAGTTCATTTAAATTTATCTGCATGTATGTAATCATCTATATGTAATACGCTATATAATAAATTTTGGTCTCGTTCCATGATTTATAAATTCTAAATTCTAACAGAAACATTTCCCTCTCCCTTGATATACCAAAAAGGAAATAAAGTGAGAAATAATTTTACTCCAGAATTCTGATTTTAATCGTTAACATAATATTTTGTTTGTATCTTTTTAGGAACTTGGTGTGTTTATTCCACCACATCAGAATAGAATGTCTAATATGATCGGTAATCGGGCCATGAACGGGGGTCTGGTACAAAATATGAAGGGGGGCATGGGAGATCTTTTTAGTGCACCAGCTAACTCCATGAGTAAGAAATTACTTTAGCCTTCATTATGTAAATCTTATTGAAGAACTTCAACAATTGTAGATTAGAATTAAGGTGGATCCATGATTTTTACTTGGATTTGAAAAAGAACATTGGAACTTCCATCCATAAACAAAACTAAGTCTTAAAATTTATTTAGAATAAGATTGCAGCTACTAAATGTCTTTTAAGAATTTGATTTAGATTTGTGTTAAAACTTTTTAATATTAGGCGAATTTACATTGTAATTTTAACATTATAGATAATATGATAGGAACCGGACCAGGGGTGATTTCACTTGAAGCTAATAATTCTACATATAACAATGGGATGGGAAGAAACCGAAATCATCAGAATCAAGGTAAGATTTTTACCAAAGTGACATCATTTGCATTATATCCGTTTATGATTTTTTAAACAGAATTCAGTTAGATTGAAAATGAGTTATCCGGTTATGAAAAACAAATAGTTTTTAAAGATTGTCATGTTGGGCTTAATCATTGCTTTTATTTTAGGATACCAAAATAACTACCAGAATCGTCGACAACAAGATGGGGGAAGTCCAAGAGGTACAAGGCAGAATAATCAACAAAATCAACAAGGTTCAACACCTTACCAACAGCAGAATCAACAAAAGCAAGGTACTGTATTAGACATCACAAAACACCTAATTAAATTTTTTTGTGATTCATTATTTTAAGCATTTTCAGAATTAGTTTTTGGACTTTTGGACTTTGCTTCTAATTGAGGTAGAATTTTCAAACCTGATAGTTTTTTTTATGTGAATGCCTTTACTTAGGTGGATAAAATGAGCATTATCTGCTTAGGCTAAGTACAGATAATTGATTTAATTTGTCTCTGCTTTGGAACCATGCTAACTATGCTTCTTATTCAGGGAACGTGATGGAACTTAGAATATTTCATTACATCATGTCATCTATTTGATTTGTGATTGAAGCAGGGAACATCGGCTTGACTGTTGGCTTGTTACACATCCATTTTGTCATCTATGTCTAGATGTGACTTTCCACTTACAATACTATTAATGATTATTTTTATTTTGAGCAGCAGCTGGAGCTAGTGGAAGTCGGGATCTACCACCTCGATTTCAACGTATGGCTGTACAACAACCACCAACGACTGTTCCTACAGTGACAACATCCAGTTCTACTAATGGAATGTCAACACCACCTCTTCCAACTAGGGAAGAAGTTAGCCTGAGACCTGTTAAGAACTTCAACTTCAAACCAAATACACCTAAAGCATTGCCTAAATCAGCTCAGACTCCACCTAACAGCCAGGGCTGGTCACTTAGACCTAGTAATCAGGATCCTTCTACCCACGTTAAACCCATTATGACTATTAAACAGGTACGTTTTACATGTCAAAGCTTAAAGATGCATTATGCAAGATTTAGATAAAGAAAAGGACGTTCTTGATAAATAGTTTCAGAAATAATTGAAAATTTCAGTCAAATAACATTATTCTGAGCAAAATTTCAATCGTTTGAAGTTTTTACAATATAGTCAGAATCTGCGAACAACTGAGGCGCCACATGCTCCTAAATCATGAAGAGTGTTTTTTTTCTTCAGAAATTAGACCTAAAATAAAGCTAATGGTGCATGTTGAACATTTCTATTGTAGATTGTTAAATACCTGTATGCTAGGGAGATGACTTTAATAAATAAGCTTTAGCCTGTTTTCATATCCTATATTTGGTAATATGTAAATTTATGACCAATGTTATACACAAAATAAAACTAAAACAAGCTGTGTATCATTTAATTCTATATAATGTATAGAAGGCATGTATACAATAATGTATACAATTCAAATTAGACTGACATTAAGAAAAAAAGAAAAAACACATTTAGATGAATAGCGGTGTACTTTGGCCATCAGCGTACTGTCGCAGTGTCGGTACTTAGTAGATATGCACATGCAGTTCTTGTAGCCAATAACGCCTATAGTATAACAAATGTTATTTTTTAAATAATATATTATCTTGTTCAACATGAAAAAAACCAATTTTGGTACCATTTTTTTTGCGTTTAATAAAGCTGTCTAAATTTTTCTGCTTTCACCTGCTTGTGTTGTTCTCAGTAGCAACCATTTTGACAGTTTTGATTATCATGACATCAAAAATGAAAACTATAACATACATCTAAAAGAGTCCTAATATTAATCAGGTATATGCTGTACCGTTATAAGATTTTGGGACTCCATATAACTTAAATTAGAGCTGGATTAATTATCATCATTCTCTTCATCTATTATTCGTTTGTACAAATGTACAAGTACAAATGACATAGCACTCATGGATGACAAAACGCTTGTATTTCTTCAATCGGAATCAAGGGTACATTACTTTAACAATAATAAACAATTTACGAATTTGTGATAACATTAATTTAAAATTAAACAACAATTTATATACGTAATATGAGAAATAGACGGAACAAAAAACATCTATCGCAACATTGTATGGTTTTGACTTTAAACACATAATCCGCATTGAAATGTTGGTCGATAATTGACAGTATCGACACAAACATATTTTCAAGACCGGTAGTAAAAATCACTATCGATACACCGCCCTAGTTTCAATTAATATTACACAAAATTATTAAAATTAAAATACTGAAAGGGATGTCTTTGTTTCCATGGTTATTTTAAACATACATTATGCAAAAGCTACATCTGTCTATTGCAGGTCTTTCTTTAGGCTTGAAATGTTTTCTAAATTATTAATTAGACATTAATTAACTTGTCCAGACCATAATCAACTCTCAAGGGCATCGGATTTCTCCGATATTTAATAGAACAGTTCAGCCATATTTTGATTTAAGCTAAAAATGGAGGAGCGAGACTTGGCTTCAAACAACCAGTACGGTGGTTAAAATTATTGCACAAGTCTTGTCAAACCATCAAAGGCAAATACATGTACATGTATCTTCGCTCGCAATTAGAGTAAATTGAATAAAATTTTCAAATTATTCATTTTACATTATCTATTTTCAAACTATTATAGCAAGATTGGTTAGCTCTTTATCTAAATCTTACATAATGTATCTTTAATATAACACTTAAATGGGTTTTTTTTGTATCTTTTATGTATAAAATGTTTTCTTTTCTTGGGAAATATTTATGAAAGATTTAGGGTTTCAGTGTATACATTTTTGGTGTCTCTTTTGGTATTGCATGATATGATTTAACATTTATCCACTTTGCTTCTCAAAATAACTGCAAGTTGAAGAAATAACAATTTTCAATTGTTAATATTGCACTTTATTTGTCTATATAGTATGTATAAATTGAATATTTGTATATTTCAGGAGCCACTACCTATTAAACAGATAATAGTTCAAGATAAGAATAAAACTAATAATAACAAGAAGGGTACAATAAGTAAAGAAGAACTTCTTAAAATTGCTGTAAGTGTTGAATTATTTACACACTAGAAGTAGCGGATATAATGGAAATTTAGTCGTATATTTCCATTTGTGGTCCATCATCCACAATTTCTTGACTCCATTGATCGTTCGCACTTTTTAAAATGTATGTATGTATACATTAGTGAGACGAATAACCCATTTGTATTTCTGCTTATTATTTCTAGAGTTATAGCCATTGTGGACATGTTTTGTTGCCTGGCAAACTTTTTTAATCACAGAAATGAAATAAAGGGAACAAAAATGGACTTTATGCTGTAATGTAATCTTTTTCAGAGTCAGATAGGAACAGAGTATTTGGCAAAGGAGAACACATCTGAAGCCATTGCTCTGATAAAAGAGGCTAATGTACCTCGTAAGATGCTACCACTCATTATTTCAAGACTTATGATAGATGTACTAGAAAAAGAAGGTAAGAACATTTATTTTTTCATCTTTCATACAAATAAAATATACAAATTGAGGGCTCAAAATCATGTTTGTAACTATTATGTGACCAGGTCCCTTAGTTGAGATATGGCACAAAACGGGTGCGAACAGCATAGTTGTCTTTTAATAGTTGACTATTGCATGGTTTGAATCATCGATGCATATTTTGCTGCTTGTCTCATTTTGTCAGTACCAATCACATTGAATTTTATTTCATCCAAATTCCTGTGTGTGATGATGCCCTTGTAAATATTCTTAATTTGATTATTTCAGACGATGACCGTGAATATGTGATGAAATTTATAACTGCTATGAAAGAAGAAAATATGATCAACTCAGAACATTTTATGGAGGTAATTAGTCTAATGCATGTAAAAGTCTGCTGAATGTTGGTTGCTGTCAAAAGATGCATTTTGGTCTGTTGCTGTGATGAGAGCGCAGGGGTCCCGAAGGCAACCATCCATGTGGGTTGTAGACTAGTCATATCCTGCATGTGGCAGGAAAATGACTAGTTTGATTCTGCCAATCTGAGACAACTTGGAAATGTGTACAAAAGACAGCTTTTATAACAACTTTCATGTGTTTAGATAATGTTAAGATAGATTTCTACACGTTATAATCTTTCAGGATAAAATTGCATTTTTAGTACGACATTAACCATTGAGTTCTATTTTCTGGCCATCACAAAGTAAATCCAGAATACTCAATACAGACTTACATTTGTATAACTATGACTAAAAGGTCTTCATTAATTCACTAATTACAAACTTCCTTTACAGTAGATAATTACAAAGTTTGAATTAAACTTATTTATAGGGTTTTAAATCTCTAATGGATCAACTACCAGAACTAGAGAAAGAAGTTCAACTCGTCAAATCATATACAGCTAGATTTGGTGCCATGGCTGTTACAAAAGGTCTAGTTAGTTTAGCTGAGTTGGCTGAACCTCTAGAAAATGGTGTACACTATCCATTATTTATGCTGTGTTTACAGCAGATATATAAGATAAAAGACAAGGATTGGTTACTTGTTACATTTACTAATAGTAAATTAGATCTACAGACAATGTTACCAGGTAATTTTTACAAGAATATTTACAACTGAATTCATTAATTTTATTAAAGATGCATTATGTAATATTTAAATAAAGAGATGACCATTCTCACTATGATAGTTTAAAAAATGATAATTAAAAATGAACATATTGAAAACTCTAAATTAAATTCTGTTTAAAGTTACGAATGTTTGAAGTTTTGACAGAATAGTGTAGTCTATATTATTGCTACGATATTAAAGACTCTTGATTGTCCATTTTAACGTTGATGGAGTAAATGGTGCAGATCTCGTGATCTAGTGTCAATTAAGGGCATGTAATGTGAATAGATTATATAACTATTTGAAGCCAGAAAAAAAGCAATAGATGTAACTCTTGCATATTATTCATCTTGAACTATTTGCTACAAACCATGTTGAGTTTCAAGTCAAGTGTCGTAAAAGTATGTATCAAGTCTGAAAGAAATGTACTTGAGTTCACAATGAAATAATTGTATTAATTCTCAACTTCATCAAACCAATTGTAACACAAAATGATACTAGTTTAAATCACGACATAATTTATTAGTATTAAATACAGATAAATGTATTCCAATCTGATGTTTGTTTGTGAAGAATTGTTAGAATGTTTATTTCTTGTAGAATTGGATCAAAAGAGAGAAAGGTTGTTAGAAACACTAGAAGATCGTGGATTAAGTTTCCTGTTTCCACTGATGAAAATTCAATCGGAACTAGGAAAACAGATCCAACTTGATCCTACAGCTAATTCTCTATTCAAATGGATTAAAGATAGAGTTGATAATAACATGCAGAAAGATCCACGCTTTATTAACATTTTGACAACTAGGTAAGTCAAATAATAGTATGACATACAGGTTTCCCTGAAAATAAACATAAGACACCATTCCTGGGATGTAGTATAAATTATAAATCTGAATTTGTTCGTTGGTTACCAGGGTTTGTCTTGATACTCGATTTGTTTTTACACACCCACATTGAAATGTGGTTGTATATTGACACAGTGTTTAAGGTTATGATACGAAGAAGCCTATTGATTTTAACAATTTCTGATAATTACTGCCAGAGTTATGGCCCTTGATGGCTTTGAAATATCTTGTGGACACTCTTAGAGGCTAATGTTAATATCTGATAGACTGTTTATACACACTGTTTAAGGTCATAAGACGTAGAAGCCTTTTGATTTTCAACTATAATTTGTAGAAGCTCTTGAGGCTAAAGTTAATATCTGATTGACTTGAAACTGATTTTCAACTATTTTTGATAATTACTGCCAGAGTTATAGCCCTTAACCTCTTTGAAAAATCTTGTAGAAGCTCTTGAGGCTAAAGTTAATATCTGATTGACTTTAAACTTATACAGTGTTTAAGGTCATGAGACAAAGAATCCTATACATTTTCAATGATTTCTAATAATTACTGCCAGATTTGAGGCCCATGTTCACTATGAAAAAGTGAAACAAATTCTAATATTTTCTGATAATTACTTCATGGGTTATTACTTGTAATCAGATTTTCATGTGTTGTAAATGTTCTCATTACTGACAAGAAAAAATATGCAACATCACTTGTTGACTGCCCGGACAACTTAGCTGATGTGGGTGTATCTTTGAGTTATGAAATAAGCAACCGGACAATGTTAGTATTAATTGCGAGATGAATGTCATCCAAGTTCTTACATGTATGTAGAAATCTTCTCGGTAAAAGAATTTATATTTCATATATACTGTAGTTAATTGTACCTTTTATTGATGTTTTTTTTCCCTGTTATATAGCGTTGTAAAATATGTTGCTGAAGAAACAACACTGTCTGATACAATCGATAAAACTCAAGTACCTGATAAAATGGTTATTGAGAAAGAAAAGGAATGTTTGGATAAACTCAAAGTGAGTACTAAATTAGATATTTCCTAACTTTCATAAACTTTTGTTTTACATGTATGTAGTAGGATTTTACGGGTTGCAGACTTTTTGAAGACAAAGAATGTTTATTTTGAACAGAGGCTCAATACAACTTTAAATGTTGCAGGCAAACTTTAGTTACCGCTAGAATATTGCCACATTGATTTAATAGGAATTGACATTAAAAATTTAATATTACATCAGTAATGACAAAGAATAGTGTCAAACACCGAGTGCCCTGCATTTGAAAAAAGCAAGGATCTGGAATTTGCACGCATCTACCGGAGAACATCCTAAATACTGTTTCTGTAATTAAACAAATGGATTAGAAATTGTTTTCCTGCTATATTTCATATTAATGAGAAAAACTTTGTTTCAGCTGGTTCTACAGATGTTTTTAAGGGATCATATGGATTTGAATATTGTGGCCTTGTATGCTGTACAGGTCTTCTGTCATCAAAATGGTTTCCCTAAAGGAATGTTGCTGCGATTTTTCATGAATTTTTATGATATGGAGATTGTGGAAGAAGAGGCCTTTTTGAAATGGAAAGAGGAGGTCAATGACCAATATCCAGGCAAAGGGAAAGCTCTCTTCCAGGTAAAATGAATATACTTTATTTTGCGTTGAATAAACATGATCTGTATACACTTAGCAAAAATAATTACCATTCTACTATATGGACCAGGAATTAAGGATGTCATCGTGGCCATCTTGGAATTGGGACATAACAAAAATCAGATCCTGTCAATGTGCAATTGTCCAAGGAACAACTCGCTAAGTTTCATGTTGATTGTATATCAATTGCAGCCTTTGGTTTTTTTTTAAGAGCATCTGCCACAAGAACAACAAAAAAATAAGATAGTACCTTGGGGACCTGTTCCAAAAAATATTTGTATGCCAGATTTAATAAATCAGAATATGGAATGGAAAAGGTACATTTTTTAACAGGTTTATCAATATAAAACTGTATATCATTATAGGTAAACCAATGGCTAACTTGGCTAGAACAAGCAGAAGAAGAATCTGAAGAGGAGTCAGAGGACGAATAAACAACACTACAAATAAACACACCAGATTGATCAGATGTTTTTGATGGAATTATTTTAGTGAATGCTTTAGAGGCAAATATTTCCGTGTAGATTGGACTTAATATTAACCACTACAAGAGTTGGACTTTAAAAATAAAATAGTGATGTTGTGACTTATTGTGTTATGTCTACATGGAATAAATATATCAGAGAAAAAAAAACTGTTTAAAAAAAATAAAGCACCAAATAACTGATGCTCTGAAATAACGATATTGTGGGTAACGGTGTGTGTGGTTTCGTATTTTCAATATTTTTTCGTCGTTGTCCTGAACTTAAACCAAATTATCTAGATATGTTTGCATGTGATGGATCTCTACTACTAGCCTTTCCTGTTACTAAAAGTACAGCTACTTATTCATGCATGGAATTGTTTTATATGTTCATATGTTTACTTTTCCAGCAGTGACTTATTATTTATAATGAATTTTTACCCTACCCTAACAAATAAAATGAAGACTAGTCATATTAATGGCGGTTAAAATTTTTGATTGTACATGTATATTGTCTTCATTTTAATAAATATTCCCAACATTTAGATTTGTCATTTTTTACATTAAATATGTAGATTATATATATATATATAGCATTCAAAATATACTCATAAAAAAAACCCTAATTTAATTTTATAAATGGATTAATTAATGATCAGAAATTTCATCTCTGCCGGTCAGATTTATTCCAAATCCATATTGTTTGTCCTGTACATAACATGTTTTTAAGACATATATTATTAGTATTTATATCATTAGTTTTGTACCATTTAAACTTTATTATTACCGTTTTGCTGTTACCAAATCAAAACTAAATATTTTATTTAAATTCAAATTGGCACTAACTAAATGATTAACTCTTTTCTAAATGGTCAAATAATGTAAATTCCAAATTTTGCTTTGTTTTTCTGTACATATTGTGGTGTAAATTATGGTTTTTGGACGATTTTTAATTGGTGATGGCCACTGATATTTTATTATTGACAATTCCCTATTGTTTAATTTTATCTGTATAATCACCATTTCTCATTATTTATCATATATATATGTTAGATTTAAATAAAAATGTAATGTGTAAATAATGATAATTGTTCGTATTGGTTTCTATAGAATCCTAGTGGTCTTAAACAATATATTTGAATAATAAGTTTAGTGACCTAAGGGTCATCATATCATTGTAGGCGGCTTGGCTATGTCAGTTGATAAGATTGTTGAGGCATATTGATTATCTTTATCTGTTCCTATTCCAAACCTAGGTTTGGCAGTTGTGGGACTGAAATGTGTGAAGTCATTCCATTTTTATACGCCCACATGGAAATGTGGTCGTATATTGCCGTTGGTTCAATCCATCGTCCACAATTTCTTGTGAACACTCTATAATGAGATGAAGAAGCCTATTTAATTTCAATAACTTCCGTTCATTTCTTCTGGAGTTATGGCCCTTGTTTCACTTTGTTGCACCTTGTGAATGCTCTGACGACAAAAGTTATCCGATCTGTATCAAATTTATATGTATCATTTAAATTAGTAAAACGAACAAGCCTATTGAATTTGAGCAATTTCCGTTAATTACATCTAGAGTTATGGCCCTTGTTTCACTTTGTTGAATCTTGTGAACGCTCGAATGACAACAGTTATCATCCGATCTGTTTGAAATTCATATGCATCATTTAAATTAGTGAAATGAAGAAGCCTATGGAATTTCAGCTTTTTCCGTTAAATTTTTCTTGAGTTATGGCCCTTGTTTCACTTTGTTGCACCTTGTGAACGCTCTAACGACAAAAGTTATCAACTGATCTGTATGAAATTTGTATGCATCATTTAAATTAGTAAAACAAAGAAGCCTATTGAATTTCGTTAATTTCCGTTAATTGCATCTAGAGTTATGGCCCTTGTTTCACTTTGTTGAATCTTGTGAACGCTCTAATGACAAGTTATCATCCGATCTGTTTGAAATTGATATGCATCATGGTGGGTTTTCCCCGGGTCCTCCGGTTTCCTCTCACTGCTAAAGACCCCTACGCGCAAGCGAATTATTGCAATAAAATTAAACCATGTGTTAGTCCTGAAATGACCTAGTTTGTGTTGAGTGGACGTTAAACCCCATTTCTCTCTCTTTTTAAATTAGTGAAATGAAGAAGCTTATTGAACTTCAGCAATTTCCGTTAATTAAGCCGTGAGTTATGGCCCTTGTTTCACTGTTGTACCTTGTGAATGCTCTGACGACAAAAGTTATTATCCGATCTGTATGAAATTTATATGTATCATTTAAATTAGTAAAACGAACAAGCCTATTGAGTTTCAGCAAATTTCCGTTTATTACATCTAGAGTTATGGCCCTTGATTTACTTTGTTGAACTTTGTGAACGTTCGAATGACAAGTTATCATCCGATCTGTATGAAATTTATACCCATTATTTGAATTAGTAAAACGAAGAAGCCTGTCAAATTTGAACAATTTCTGTAGATTACTTCCAGAGTTACAGCCCTTGTTTTAGTTTTTAGAACCTTGTGAACCCTCAAACGACGAAAATTATAATGTCATCTGTATGAAATTGTCTATTAAATTCCCCAAATTACCTACAAAAGAATAAATATGTGACAACCCTTGTCGACTGTTCGGACGATTTAGCTGCTGTGGGGGTATGTTTTGTTGCCTGGCAACCTATCTTAATGTTTTGCCGTTGACCGTCTGTATGTGTGGGTCGCCTACAGGCCGCAATTCTTAACTGATCGTCTTGAGACTTTACACACTTATTCCTTATATCCTAAGGATGATCCCTATTGTTTTTGGTGCATTCCCGACCCCCCAGAGGTAGAGCCACACCCATTTTTTCTCTGTGTGTTGTCTACAGGCCGCATTACTGAACAGATCCACTTGAAACTTTCCATACTTACGCCTTATACTTTAAGGATCATCAGTACTGTTTTTGGTGCATGCCCAACCGCCAGGGACAGCCACACCCATTTTCTCTTTGTGTGTCACCTACAGGCAACAGTTCTTAATGGATCGTCTTGAAAACTTTTCATACTTATTCCTAATACCCTAAGGATGACCTCTGTTATATTTGATGCATGCCCAAACCCCTGGGTCAGAACCACACCCAATTTTTGTGTCTCTGTCACGCCTATAGACCACATTTCTTAACAGATCCTTTCAAAACTTTGGATACTTATTCCTTATACCCTAAGGATGATCCTCATTGTGTTTGGTGAATGCCCAACCCCAGGGGCAGAGCCACACCCACCTTTCTTGTGTGTCTGTGTGCTGTCTACACAGGCAACAATTCTTAATGGATCGTCTTGGAACTTGGTATATCTATCCCTTATAGACTAAAGACGCCAATAACTATTGATTTTGTTGGTGCATGAGCCAACCCCCAGGGACAGCCACGCCCAATTTTGTTGTTGATCTTATAGAGGCCAAAATTCTGAATGGATCAGTCTCGCATAACAACTTGTCTTCAAAGGAATTATTAGTGAACAGAAATTTGCCCATGAATCTTATCACTCATCACTTTAGTCTACTATATAGAAGGTGACTTGTGTTTTCCTTTTGCTTTTGTCACTTCCATTCTTGAAATCTTCATTACGCATCTATGTTAGCAATGATCTCTGTGTTAAAATAATATTTGGAACATGTTTAACCAGTTTTATCATTATGTGATAGTGACACCAATATTGTCCTTTATTACAGAGAAGATTTCTGATAACTTTGAAGAGCTAAATTCCAATAATTTCTGATAATTAATCTTAAAGATGCATTATGTAAGAGCTAAATCTGCCTATTGCAGGTCTTGTTTCAAATATTTATTGACACGAGCCCACAATTAACTCTCTAGGACATCGGAATGACTTGGAAAATTTATTGATGAAATGAATAATTAAAACTATTATTATCGTAGCAGTGGTACTTGACAATTGAAACCATATTCTTAAAACATTCATAACTTGGCTCAGAATAAAGTACATTGTAATTTGACAGAAATTTTTATTATATTCATTTGTCATTATCTGTTTTTGAACTGTCATTATATGCTCAGCCAGCTCTTTATCTAAATCCTTACATGATGTATCTTAAATCAATTTTGTAATAAGTCTTGTAATTGCTTTCATTACTTACAAAAAAAAATAAATATGCAACAACACTTGTGGACTGCCGGGACGACTTAGCTGCTGTGGGGGGGTGTTTCATTGCCTGGCAAACTATGTTTATGGATGGATACATATTTTCAAAAATAGCCAGTCAAATACTCCCACACAGCAACTATAATGTCTCGACAGCAGATTATCCAATAGGAAAACTTGGCTGTTGACCAAATTTAATTAAGATCTAGCATCCTTCAAGAAATCTAATCTATATGGTGTTCATTAGCTTTTCTGAACAAATAATATATCTCTGTAACAGCAAATCTTGGATTGCTGGAATTCAGCACGGTTCATCCTGGTTGTGGCACACTGAATACCACTAGCGTGATAAGGTTCATCCTCCCATGACCCCAGGTCATCAAAACAAATTAGAATAAAAAAAAATGTTAAAAACTAGCCTCTGTCGCATTAACAAGCCAATTATTGTTGGTGGGCGGACATAGGTGACAGCATAATACGCTCACAATTATATGTGGGCTTATAAAAATAGGCATATTTTATTAAATCTGCCTAGCAATTAATCTTTGCATGCAAATGGATATCTTGAAATGATACAGTTCAAGATAATAAGTGCTAATCTATGGCAGCAGAATTTTTTTTATACGTCCACATTGAAATGTTATATATTGACAGGGATAAAATCTAATGATTCAGGTACAAGATTCCTTCAGTTGTATCGACTATGTTTTCACTATTCAATTTGATAATGCAGCTACATTAGAGACACAAAGGGAGTACTATCAGTTACTAAACCAATGTGGTGTGAGCAGAATCCTGATGTAATCAAACTTTTTTGTCCCCCGCCTTTCGAAGAAAGCAGGGGACTATTAAAATGGGTTCGTCCGTCTGTCTGTCCGTCTGTCTGTCCGTCACACTTTTTGGGACACAATAACTCTCTTCCTAATTGAGCTAGAATGTTCAAACTTGGTGTATGTGTTTATTAGGTCAATGCCTTGATGGAGTTCGAAGATGAGCATTTTCCGCTTAGGGTAAGCAGAGATAAGCAATTTGATTGGTTGATGCTTTGGGACACGATAACTCTCTTCCTAATTGGGCTAGAATGTTCAAACTTGGTGTATGTGTTGATTAGGTCAATGCCTTGATGGAGTTCGAAGATGAGCATTTTCCGCTTAGGGTAAGCAGAGATAAGCAATTTGATTGGTTGATGCTTTGGGACACGATAACTTTTAATTGAGCTAGAATGTTCAAACTTGGTGTATGTGTTTATTAGGTCAATGCCTTGTGGACACTAAAACCTAATTGAGCTAGAATGTTCAAACTTGGTCTAGGTGTTTATTAGGTCAATGCTTTTATTAGGTCAATGCTTTAATGCAGTTCGAAGATGAGCATTTTCTTTTTAGATTCATTATATCATTACCTTGACTAAGTTCGATGATGAGAATTTTCTGCTTAGGCTAAGGAGCGATAAGCAATTTGATTGGTCAAGAATTTGTAACATAACTCTGTTTTTATTGATGTAGAATGTTTAAACTTGATGTAGATGTTCATTATAATTATAAGTGAATGTCTTGACTGAGTTCAATGATTAACATTTCTCGCTAAAGCTAAGCAGAGCTAAGCAATTTCTTTGACTTTGATTCTATCTGATAAAGAGTGATGAAACTTAGTTTATAGTTGATAGTGAGTTTGATTGCTCAAAACTTTTGAAAAAGATAAATGTGCAATTAATCAACATGTGTCATCGATTTTTTTCCGGGATTTCGGCGGGGGACATCAGCCTCACTGTTGGCTTGTAGCTATGGTGATTGGTCTCGATGGTATTATATTCAGTTGGGTCATTCCTTGTTGCTCGAAATTCTCATGTTTACACCACTAAAACATTTTGGAGGGATTGAGAGAATTCTGGAATGTTTTCTATTCATGAGATCATGCAGATTACTACTTACTACACCAGAATGAATTGTATTTTTCAAGACATTTTTTCACATTTAGTAAATAACAAGATATATATAAACAACTTTAATTCAACCAATTAAGCCCTATATTTATTACTAACGAATCTATTTAATAAGAAGAAGCACTTAGTAAACATTTTTGTATGTAATGCGAATTAGTGTCATTATTAATTCTATTGGCCAGTCGAATATAACCTAACGATCTGATATTATTCTGTGATTTAGGAATAGATAAAGATTTATGACATGATGAAACAGGGTCATACATTGGTTGAAATTGTTCACTTTTATCATCATCTATTGTTTTGTTCACTTTTATGTCAATTTCAGAATTTGTTCTTTTAAACAAAATATCTTTTTCAGATTTATTTCCTTCTATTACATTTGTCAAGTTCACTTGTAATGTAGTAGGAGATTCTTCTTGGTAATTTTTCGTTGACAGATTTGGTGAACCTGGAACACTACGTACATGTCCGTCTTCCAAAGGTTGAGATTCCTGTTTATTATCACCATGGAAACTAGTGTTTCTGTCCTGGGCTTTCAGAATAAAAGCAGTTGTCATATTATATGTCGGTTCTTCCAATAATTCCTCAAGGTCTTGAGATTCTTCAATATTCTCTAATAGTTTAATGCGTCCAATATGGCCGACTTCCACAATTGTTGGTTTAGAATGTTTCATCACTGGCAGTGGGTAATCAATTTCTGGAGATAAAGATTTAGTACAAATTTTTGAAATTGGAATAAACAACGGTTTCATTTCTGCTGTAATTCTTTTATCAGACTTCCTTTGTGGACTTTTAAATGTTTTACTCTGCAAAACATCATTATTGTCAACTAAGTGAGATTCATTTTTCATGCTGCTACTTGATGAAGCACTGTCATTTAAATTACTGGACGTAATTGTACAATCATCTTCCTCTGGCTGCAGCTTCTCCTTATTGCTTTGACCTTTTTGTTCCTTCTGTTTTGGGGATGTCATGGTTTCAGAACATCTGGAGAAAGCCGGCGCTGTTCTAGGTCGGTATTTTGGTCGTCCTTTCAAAGCCACTATTGATTTTTTCATGTTATATCTGTAAATATAATTTTTTGAGTAACCATTGTCAACACCTGTTTGGAGCTGTTTAAGAAAATGTCCTTTCTGGCCTTCATTAAAAGAAGAATCTATCAAAACTTTATGTAGTCCTCTCTTATGTCCAGCATTATACCAGCCTCGATATCTGAAATAAGACAAAGTTTTATTTAATATTTTGGCTAATTCAAGGGCAATCACTTTGCAAATAATTCATGAATCCATTTTGATTTAAAATTCATCTGATATTTCAAGGATATAAGGCAACTAAAAAATTTCATTAAAATCAGATGAAAAATGTAGACCGACACTGACACTTGACTTATTAAGGCCAAGTCAATGACTCTGTGAATAATTCATAATCTCTGCTAAATTTCAACTCCCCCAAGACGTCATGATATAATGCAATATACTAATTAAAGTTTCATTCAAATATCATGTAAAAAATAAGACTCAAAGCCATTTTGACAAAGGCCAACAACTCCACAAATAGTTGATAAGTCAAGTTCAAATAAGAGTGAGATTTTGTTAAGATATTTGTCTACATTAAATTTGTGAGTAAAAAATCAATCATTAGTCTTAAAAAATAATTACATTTAAGTTTTTACAAGACTTCCATCTTACCTGGCATCACATGTTCTGAAATGGTGGACAGGATTGCTAGCTAAAGGATGAGCTAATTCTTCTACTATAGCTTGTTTATCTTTCTTCTTTTCTACAACTTTTACAGGTTCCTCCACTATCTCTTTCTCGACTGGAAAAACAAAACATTAAAGACATCATCTTCCCAGTTATTTAAATTGTGTAAAAAGAAATTTTCTATGCTGTGTAAATGTCATACAGTAGAATTTGTGTGAACAGCAACTCCTCAGCGATATCACCTTGTAAGCAGCCACGATAAATTCCTCTTGACGTGGCCAGCATTCTATTTTAGTTATAAATTTATCAAAATATTGCCTATTCAATGACCACTCTGGATATTTGATTTGCCATAATTTAATATTGCATACATACATATAGGGAATGGGTTTGTCTTAAAACCGTGAAGCCGCAGTTGCTCAGTAAGTAAGACACTGGATCACTAAGCAGGAGGTCTCAGGTTCGCTCCCGGGAATCCCACCATTGACCGAGAAAGTTCCTCTTGATTTTCTGGCATGGTTTCACCCTTTTCAGTTAATCAGGACAGAGGGCCTGATAAGGGACAACCTATTGTCATTTTGGTAGGACGAAAAACCAAGGTCCTGTATACACATTGGCATGCACGTAAATGAATCCTTTACAGATGGAATTCAAAATGCCTTGTTCGTGCAAAATTTCCCTCATTAGCCCAGTCAGTGCAGAAAAGTAGGATGATAGACCCCATTTTATTTCATTACTTTAAACCTCTTGTGAAGAATGGTATTGGTTTACTGTCAACAAATTAACAATCATTCGTCATGACTTTGAAAATCAAAGTATTTCATCTTACCAGGTTTTGAGTCTTTTTCCTTTTTTTCCCTATAACCAGGCAACATATAATCCATTTCTTCATGTAAACATTCTTCACTTCTTGTTTTCTGTGAAGTCAAATTTTCAGTATATAAAATGTACTTGATGTAGGATTCTACTAATGTAGTAGATGAATACTAAGCTTAAACATACATTATGCAAGAGCTAAATCGGTCTATTGCAGGTCTTTCTTTTGGCCTGAAATGTTATCTAAATTATTAATTAGACATTAAATAACCTATCCAGATCATAATCAACTCTAGATGGCATCGCTAGCCTGCGAACTTTAGTGGATTATGAGCCGATTTAGTGCATAACTTTCCTTCACGATTTAAAGATTAAATGTAAAATCGAGACTATGCTGTTTATCATACTGACTTTAGTAATGATGATCGAGGTTAGGTGGAAAATTCAATCGCTTAGTTGTTGGTTCATAGTGGATCAATTTGAATGAAATTTTTAGCAAATTGCCTTTACATTATCTAGTTTTTAACTATTATAGTGAGAACTGCCAACTCAAATCTCCCATAATGTATCTTTAACAATGGGACCACATTAAATAAAACTGAATTCAAATAATAACTAAACCTAATTATAGGATGCGTCTTTTTCTAATATGACAGGAAAATATTATTTCAGATCCTGTATTGTACCATGAGCGCTAACAACAAACAACTTAAATTTGATTAAAACCAGAGATTAGGTAAAGACAGTTTTATCGCCCTGAGCCAAAATACAATATTTTGTTTGTAAGACCAGGCAGAAAAATAATTGTGCTCTCATTTCATACTTTGTATAAGACAGGTCCAATAAAATTTTCATTAAATTATAGTTTGCGGTCGCCAAGTTTGAAATTCTGGATGTTTATTTTTATCTACTATGCCTGATATTTTTTAACTGTATTGAAAAGATATGGCAATGTTTTATTACTCTTTTTGAAAGATGATTGGGATATGAAATTAATCTCACTTCCTTAACATTTTTATCAATATATTTTTCACTCAATGTTACACAGTTTATGTAAATTATATGATAAATAATATTCGTACTATAAACTTACAACTGTAGTAATGGCAAATTGTAGTGAACCTAATTTATCTTGATATTGTTTAACTTGTAATGGTGTAACTATAGGTGGGGTCACTTCTCTATGGTACTCACTAGTTTTAGGTCTTTCTGGTAAAATTCTTGAGGCTGTCAATCAGTAAACAACAGAATATTTTCATATCAATAATTTCATTAACATAAAGATATTTCATCAACATAAAGATATTTATTCTTCGTAAAGATATTTCATCAAAATAAAGATATTTCATCAAAATAAAGATATTTCATCAACATAAAGATATTTCATCAACATAAATATATTTATTCAATGTAAACATATTTATTCAATGTAAAGACATTTATTCTACATAAAGACATTTATTCTACATGATAGCAGAATAAAAACATTTAGCAAGCAGTCAGGACCCTAATGTTTATAGGTTTCAGGACCACAAAGATCATCAGGTCCGTACATGATTAGGGATGGATAATCTTTGAAAATTCTGTCTAATTTTTGAAAATTCTGTCTAATTTTTGAAAATTCTGTCTAATTTTTGAAAATTCTGTCTAATTTTTGAAAATTCTGTCTAATTTTTGAAAATTCTGTCTAATTTTTGAAAATTCTGTCTAATTTTTGAAAATTCAGTTTAATTTTTGAAAATTCAGTTTAATTTTTGAAAATTCAGTTTAATTTTTGAAAATTCTGTGTAATTTTGGAAAATTCTGTCTAATTTTTGAAAATTATAATCTTAAGAAAGATACTCACATCTTGGTGGTGCCGATCTCAAACGTCTTTGAACCATTTTATACGCCTCACTAACACTTGTTTCTGTCATAGTCTGTTGGCTGAATTTACGATTATAGTGACTGAGTTGAGGTGCCGTGACAGGTCTTGGTCGGACAAAACCTGCTTTAGCTTGATAAACTTGTTTCTGTGAGTTGTTTATTTCACTTTTAAGTGGTTTATAATTAGCTTTATGATACTGGGTCTATAACAGATAATGATATCATCCATCATATTTATAACTGATCTCATATTATATCTCATGAAATAATGATTTTCTTATTTGTTATAAGACTCATGTAAAGACAATAATTATAGAGGTTATGGAAAACATGTACACACTTACTGGATTATTGAAAGAGCAAACCCTGTAAAAATTAAGAACAGAAATTTAAATTGGTGAGGCCAGAGTCAAATTCAAAAAATTAAATCAGTTGAGTCTTAAAGAGTGTCAACCACTGTGTCTGACTTTGCTATCTTCTGAAGTGCATTATTCACACATTTCTAGGTAATACCAACCCTCTACCAATGCAAGTGTAATATATAATATCAAATATGTTTAAATTTTGTTCGGATATGTTGTCCAATCTATGTATTGGGGATCTTGACTGTCATGGAAAAATATCTTGTCCAATCTATGTATTGGGGATCTTGACTGTCATGGAAAAATATCTATCCTGCTTCATAATTTATGTTCCTCAAATTCTAAAGAAATGTGGCAAACAAATTTCACCCATACTCCCGTTTACAAACTCCCACCATATTTCTTATCTAAGTTTTCTTACCAAGCCAAAAGAGGTGTGATTCCCTTATTCCTTGTCTATCCAGCAGAAATGTTACACAACTCTTAAAACCAATTTATTTATATAGAATGGTGTCTACATATATTTATACCATGTTGAATAAAATAGGTCGTTATAATATACATAAGTCAATAAAAGTGAAGTACAGGGACATAATAAATCATTATCTTTATTCTTATCATTTATCTCTATAAAATATTAAAGTGTATGCTTATTATTTCTAGAACAACTGGTACCACTTCTCATTAACCTAACTAACATCCTACAATTAATAAGCTATTAAGATGATATTTTCAACACAGGTGGCCAAGGTGGATTTCACACATCCACCCTCTTTATCCAAGTTTATAAACATCCAAATCTTTAAAAGAGACCATTTTGTTTATTAGAATTGGAAGTGCCAGTAGATATCATAGGTTGGTAACTAAGCTAAACTGGGATTTGACATGGCCTCTTAAAGAGACATAAGTGCTTTGGAGGTCTGGTCTGATTTGTAAAATGATGCTATTTTATTTGATGTGATTGGAGAGAGAGAGAAATGAGTTTTAATGTCCACTGACACAAACTAGGTCATTTCAGGAATAATATATGGTTCAATTTTATTTCAATAATACGCTTGTGCGTATGTGTCTTTAGCAGTGGGAGGAAACAGGAGAATCAAAACCACGCCAGTTGACTAAATGACAGACCTAATGATACAACGCGCTCGAGCTAACCATTTGACCATCTAACCCCCCTGATGTGATTGGACTATACAGATATATTGAATATTATATTATTCAAATTTAATTACATTTATTGTCTTGGACAGACTGATAATTAAATGCTTCATTAAAACTGTGCTCCTGATAATCATTCCAAATTTCATTCCATTATCATACTTTAACAAAAGCTGTAGCCATTTTTATGGCCACTAATCACCTAGAACAATACAGCTTAATGGACACATACACCCCCACCCCTCTAAAGATTTTCTTTATTATGTAGCTAATAACAACAAATTATCTAATAATTTTTTCCTTTGATATATGCACAGGGCACAGACATTTCCCAAATCTGGGTAGTTAGTTATTCCTATATAAAATTATAAAGAATGTGATAATTTCTAATCTATTTCACTTATTTAATTGCATAATTAGGTGAACTGCTATACATAGCTTATTGAATTCACTCTTATAGAATTATACTTGGGTAGGTCAAGAGTATAATGTTGTAAGTGTCTATATAAGGTGATTACAAGTGATTTATGATTATTGATTACAAGTTGAAATCAAAGACAATAAATACTTAAACAATCACTTGACTCTAAAGGACACATTTATTGATCTTACATTCCTACTTAAAGTCATAGAGTAAAAAGATATTATTAAAGGGGAATCTTTAGTGTAAAAAGATTTTATTAGTTAAACAGGAAATCTTTAGTGTAAAAAAGAGGAATCTTTAGTGTAATAAAGAGGAATCTTTAGTGTAAAAAGATTTTATTGATGGGGAATCTTTTGTGTAAAAAGATTTTTATTAAAGGGGAATCTTTTGTGTAAAAAGATTTTTTTAAAGGGGAATCTTTAGTGTTAAAAGAGGTATCTTTAGTGTAACAAGCGGTTGCTATGCAAGATACACCCATATTTTGCAAGAGATAAACAAAGAACAAGCTAAAAATAGCAGTTTTTCGAACAATCAGAGGCCATAATCCAGGATGTCACCGCTCTACATGGGTCAGTATCGAAAAGAACTAAGATCTTTGGGATATAAACATATCTTTTAAGTTTCATCAAAATTGGATTAAAATTGTGCTGTCTACAGGGTTCACAAGCTAAAGACGATATTTTTTTCGCATGATCAGGGGCCATAATCCATGATGGTACAGTCCGATACATGCCAGTATGGAAAAGAACCGGGATCTTTGGGATATAAACCTATATTTCAATTTTCATCAAAATCGGCTGAAAGCTTTGGTCTCTAGCGACATTTCAAATTGATCACGGAAATCAAAAGGCTTCTTCGTCTCATGACCTTAAACACTTTATGAATTAAAAGTCAATATGTTGAGAACTTTTGTTTCTAGAGCGTCCACAATTTTTTGGGAATGGACGGATACAAGGATGGAAAGGGGCAACGACAATATACATCCACATGAAAATGTGGGTGTATAGAAATATTTTATATATTAAAGAGGAATCTTTAGTGCAAAAAGATTTTTTACTAAAGGGGTGTCTTTAGTGTCAAAAGATTTTACATTAACTTGATTTGATTTTGTTGTTTAAATATTTCAATGTCTGTATAGTTTGTAATGTCAGCAGGTTTGTCTTATCAGTTTTGTTTTGCCTGTAGTACGGTCCTCCTGGCACTTACTAATTTTGTTGTAAATAGATCTTTTATTAAAGGGGAATCTTTACCTACAATTCTTATTGTCTACTTTTATATTAGTTTGCATCATAAAATATTAAAATGCAGATTATACACAACCAAATACAAAAGTTGACTTCCTAGATATTTTGCCAATAAAACATGCCTCATTTTGGTATAGGGATCCCCTTGCAATGTTGTCCTTTAATAACTCTAATAAATTCCTTTAAGGGAATACAACTTTCCTCATTCAAATGTAATAACTATAATAAATTCCTCTAAAGGAATATAACTTTCCTCATTCAAACGTAATAATACCAGACCTACTTCCAGAAGGAATATATAAAATGTTAAACTTACTCTTCTAATTCTATCTTCTGTAAGAACTGTTGGATCTTTAAAGTTTCGTTTACTTCCAAGATTTCCATGGCCAAAATCCATTTCCTCTTCAATATACTTTTGATTAAGTAACCCTGCAATTTTCTCATCATGGTGGCTCAGCAGATTCTCAAAATCAACAAGCTGCAATAATTAAATTTGATTAAAACTAAGAATGAATAAATGGAATGTGTACATCCGTAATAAACCACATGACTTTTTTTTAAGAGTTGCATCCCTTTCACTTAGCCCCTTATCATGGTCAACCTATTTTTGTATTCTAACAATAGATAAAAACACTTTTTAAAAACTTTTAGATGCATCCTTTTACATAACTAAGGATTTGATGATGTTGTTGGCAGAGTGAGAACTAGAAATTGCCAATTACTAAAAACAACACCATTTTTATACGTGTGGGTGTATCCGCCCGTCAAACTATCAACAAGTGACTTGTTAAGACAATAGAGGGCTAAAGTTTTTAAAGAAATCGTTGTGAAGTTATCCCTCCTTTGCAAATATCCTTATAAATGCGACAGACACAACAGTTTTTCTTCAGATTTGGTGTAAAGCATTAGGTTAAGTTAGTGAGAGGACAAACCCTATCCGCGACCTTTTGTTCTGCAGTTACCTCCCCTCTTCCAAAATCCTTGTTAACGAGAACGTGCTTGCTCCAATGTTACAAGGATCTCACCACAATTAGCAGATTTTTTGTATATGTAGGGGAGGTACTGAGCCTCATCGATTAGTTCCAATCTAGCAGCCAAAGAAGAAACATCAAGAAAACTCAAGACGATTGGTTGCATTTGCACATAGCGGGAGCGTGGCCCTGCTCATAGTATGAATTTGATCGGAGCTCGTTGGGTGCTATGGCTACTTGGTGAGATCATGGTGGAAGTAGAATGGGTGCATGGTCACTTTCTTGTGGATTGGGCTCTACACTGTCCCCACTCTCAGTAGACTTCTCTTACGTATGCTCTCGCCATGCTTTCTTTTCCACCAAGGCTTCTTACTACACACACACCATGCTCAATACATTATCGCTACGCTCTTGTCATTCTCAACCACATCCCTACAGACCTCAAACATGTTGACGTTACGCTCAAGAATACCATGCTGCACTGGCACAATGCTTCTGCTACACTAAGCGGGTATGGTGATTGTTTCATAACCGCATAATGAGGTCATGGCCTGTTGCGCTCTCCATGCCACTCTCAACCACAGTCTGGCTGAATTATTAGGTCACGGTGAGACGATAGTCTATGTTTGAGGGCACTATTAATTAAGAGTATTGCTTGAAGGGGGGCACCTAGCATGTTTGTTTGATTAAAACAGAGATACACTAGATTGTATGTTTTTCTTTCAAAATGAGGATATATAACCATATTAGGCTTTAATCATTGGCCCCAGAATAGTCTCAACACAAATAGAAATACAGGCTATAATTGCACAAATTAAATTTCCCTATATAACATACAGTCAAACCGGTACTAGTCTTTTCCTTCATTTTGTACAGCACCAACTGTATGAGTCCTATATATACAAGTTAATTATGTCCGATATCCATGTACTTCCACACAGCTCTCTCTAGTTATACTTCTATAACAAAGCTTTGTCTACTAACTATATTACCAGATTATAATATAATCTATTACATAATCATAATAATCAAAGATATTAGGCCACACAAATTAAATGATAGTTACTGAGAATACCAAGACATAATAAGTATCCACAACACAAATTACACTGTTAATCCAGATGATCTTTATATGTATCAAAGTTTGTAGTTATTTTCGATTCTATGTAATCAAATTACTTATAAATCATGTTATCTCAGCTTGTGACACTCATGATGTATGCATGCCTTTTTGGCACAACTTTCCCTAGTGGGTGCTGTATTTGAGTGAAACTGTAGTATACCAGATGGGAAATACAAGTTTTTATGAATACAGATTGTTACATTTGTAACTTAAAATGATTAGACCAATAAACAATGGTCATTTGTCAAGAATAATACAAGTACTGGATCTTAAACTGTCAGAATTTCTAAATTAACATACATATTCAACATTTAGTAAGACTAAAGTCTGATTAATGACAACAATTTATCCTGCCATAGATTTATTTAAATCATATGTGATATACTCTATCTAAAAGAGACATATGGGTTAAAAATTCAAAACATAACTATGCATAAATTTAAATGTTAAATTAGTCAAACTTGTTTACATATATATAAGCAATGTTGTTGTTGTTTTGTCCTAATGCTAATGCATTGTGTTATTGCTTTAAGTCAATCTGAAAACATTAAGCTAGTACATTATTATCATTTGGTGAGAATTTGTCCTGCCAATATCTATAACTATTTGATATAGACATGCACAGCCTGGATTAACATAATCTACTTATTTAAAGGAAGAATAATTGTCAGTGAGTCATTATATATTTATTGTGGATTTGTGGATATTAACCTTTCAATCACATTAATTTTATAGTCTTCACCATTTGGATGTTCAAGTGGTCTGACACATGCACTTTACATCACAAGGTCTGTTATTGATTCAAATCGCATATTTACGATCCTCCACTTGTATGTGACGAGGAGTAGGATTACCTTACCAACCTTGTTGATTTTCTCCGGGTCCTCCAGTTTCCTCCCACTAGCTACGCACCAGTGATTTATTGATATGAAATTGTAACATATGTTAGTCCCGAAGTAACGTAGAGAGAGAGAGAAATGGGGTTTAACGTCCACTCGACACAAACTAGGTCATTTTGGGACTAACATATGATTTAATTTTATTTCATGTAGGGGTCTTTAGCAGTGGGAGGAAACCGGAGGACCCGGAGAAAACCAACTAGGCTGGACAGGCGACCCTACTCCTTGTCACGTACAATCGGGGATTCGAAACCACGCCATTTGACTCAATGACAGGCCTTATGCATAGGCGTACGTGGCCGAACTTGTTTGGGGGGGCCAGCATATTTTACTGACAAATATATTTCTTTAGGTTCCGCGGAGCTGTGGGCGGCGAAGCCGTCTGCTCGCGAGCGCCGGAGGCGCGAAGCGTCTGACAGCGGGTCTGGGGGGCCCCCTCCAGAAAATTTCGAAAACCAGACGGCCGTAGACGCGATTTCCAAGCATTTCGAATACTTTCTAGTAATTTGTAGTGGGTAGTAAATTATGTCAGTTGCAGCATAAAAACTGGTAAAAAGTCATCTTTAAAATACAAGCTCTATTACTACGAAAACAAGAACAAGTCGAACGATTTACTTTTGCCACATTTTTCATTTTATGAGACTTCACATTTTTTATCCAGATCTCAGATGTATAGAAGACTTGTATATACTTTATTTTATACTGCTTTTCAGCTGCTCACTTCTATCACTGGGCTCGTCCGGTGCATGGAGTTGGATGCCAGTATACAGGAACACAGTACTCAAGAACTGAGAAAAGCCATGTGTACGTGCTAGTTCTATTCAGATGGCGTAGGTGTTCGTCATTGACTGGACTGCTTTCTTTCCGCTTCCATATTATTAAAAATATTCAAAACCCGACAGACGGCGCGACGCTTCCCGACAAACTGAGCATTCATTCCTGACAAGACTATAGCTTTCCCCGACAAGGCCATACCCCTACCCCCACCCCATTTTCAAAAATTCCTCGGCTAATGACATGTCTCACAATTCTGAGCTCTTTTCAGATTTCTATTTTTGTTCATGAAAATATTGGGGGGGGGGGGCAACTGACTATATGAGCTGTAGTCGAGCTGTCAGGGCACTGGATTCTAAACTAGAAGGTGGAACGATTAGAACCAAGGGTCGCACAGGGCTGACAAGGAAAGTGTGCCTAGTAGTTTGGATGGAACAAAAAAAATGAGGTCAGTCTGTGTTTAGTTTGGTGAACATGTAAAAGTATTTGGAAGTAGGAATTCAAGAGTAGATGGAAATGCTGCTGTCTAAGGTCAGATTCATCCACTCACATTGCAAACATAACCATAGAAATTCAAATCACCATTAGTATGGTGTTGAAAAGACATTATTCCATTCACTGAGATACAAGGTTTAGATATTTGGGCCAGTAATAAGACGTCCTATTTTTCTGCACAGACTGGGCTAACAAAAATGGGTATACATACAGTGTTCTATGAGAGATATTTTTCCCAGACAGTGGCACTACAGCCTGTCAGGGTTCTTTCACATGCCCGCCAATGTGTACACGGGGGTCTTAATTTCTTATCCCATCCGAATGACTAAACACTGGTCCTTGTCAGGCCCTCTGTCCCTGCACCACTGATAAGGGGAAACAATGTCAGAAAATCCCTAGGAACTTTCTCGGCCAACATTGGGAGTGAACCTGAAACTTCTTGGATAGCCGGCCAGTGTCTTAATCACTGAGTCACTGTGGCTCCATCCAATGTGACAACATAGTTAGATGTAATCATAGCTCTAATATTTAGTTATATAACTAGATAAATAAAAAGAAATATGCTAATAATTACCTTAAAAAGTTTATTTTCTTTATCAGGAGATAAATGATCGTGATAAGGTTGAAAACTTTGATACAGATCACACCTATAAAAAATGTCAAATACATTCACAACTATTAATAATATATTGATAGCATTATCTCATATCACTTCCTATTTGTTTGGTTTAAACAATATTTTCCTTCCTGTATGATATGAGTATATGAAATACTGATAGAATAGATCTGAAAACAAGACAAAGCTTATATAAATTAATCTCCTATTTCTATGACAAATTTTCCTTCACATAACTAAGAATTGTACTTTTGTATTCTTGACTGAGAACAAAAGGTTGATATTATCTCTACTCCATTTAAACAATGACAGAATTTAAATATCTTACCATAAAATAAGATCTAAAAACTCATATAATTGAATTCTTGCCTTTTCTTCAAAATCATCTTTCATATGTTTTATTCTGTGCATAAGTTTCATTGGAGCAATCATTCTACCACACATCTGTAGAAATAAAATAAATTTTGACCATAAATTAGTTACATCACTAAGCATTTACTCCAAGAATTAGTTACAGCTCCGATTGTTTACACTGAGAACTAGATACAGCATCGATTGTTTACACCGATAACTAGTTACAGCACGAAACATTTACACTGAGAATTAGTTACAGCTCTGATTGTTTACACTGAGAACTAGATACAGCATCGATTGTTTACACCGATAACTAGTTACAGCACGAAACATTTACACTGAGAATTAGTTACATGACAAAACAGATTCACAGAGAATTATTTACCAGTGAAGTACCAAGCATTTAAACTGAGAATAACCTACAGCACTGAGTGTATACACCGAGAATTAATTACATCAGTGAGTTTTTTCAATAAGAATTAGTTACAGAATCTAGTGAATACACTGAAAATAAGTAACAACACAAGCAGGTCTACCGAGAATTAGTTACAGCACCTAGTGTATGTATCACCAAATATTAGCTACAGCACCTAGTGTATACATCCACTGAGAATTAGTTACAGCACTGGGTGTATACATCGAGAATTAGTTACAGCACTGAGTGTAATCCATACTAAACAAAAAGCACATTAAAGGGGAACAACTCTTCAGTTCAGCAAGAGTAACTATTCATTGCTTACTTCACATAAACAGATCAACACCAGGCAGTGTGCTATGAGGGAAATTTTGTTCAGACAGCCATGCTACAGATAAACAACTGACCAGCAATAAAACAGTATTTAGCTACAAACTTGACATAATTTATAATATCAATAAAGTATACTTTTACTAACACCAATAATACTTTTACCTACATTAAGTTATTTATTACCTACTTATAGTACAAATAAAACACTAAATAAAAGTCTATATTGTTTAAATTTATGACCACAAAGATGTGATTATAATAATACTATGTTTTACCTTGAGAGCACGAAGTAAGATATGTTGATTAATTATCATTCCCTTCATATCTACAGCTTCATATGTTTCATAGCCTATTCTAATATTGTGGAGTTCTTCAAACCTAGAAAAATAAAATATTAATATTTCAGATTAATACTTGTACTTAACTCCCACTGAATCTGGCCTCAACTTCACAGAGCATTCTCAGATTTAAGGAACTACATGCAAATTTTGTGTTTCTGGATCAAAGACATTTCTTATAAACAGAGATTTTAAGTTGAGTAAATTCTTAACTTAAGTCTGAGAAAGCTTTGTGAACTTGATGTCAGGTCCTCTACAGTAATGTATTTACATACTCAAATAAAATATAATGATTCCGTAATTCAGCATTCCAAAATAGGGTGAGTAGCCCACTTCACTTTCTAATATCCAGTACAGTCTGTATCTTAATGAAAACTGAAGAGTGGAAGATTAATGTAAGTACTGTTCTTATCAAGGATTCCACTTAAAAATTTGTCAGGCAGTCATTTTTTAATGTACTACGGATTAGCAAGATAATTTCTCCGAAGAATATGACAATATTTTTTTAGCAAAATAGCCTTCCAACCCAACGTTTTTAGATAGGCTAATTTTAGATGTTATTACATATAAAAACTGTAAAGTAGCCTATTTAATTTGATTTGTTGTTTAGGATTAAATTATGTTAAGCTCTAATTTTGTGAGATGTAACTTGACTGATAGGCAAGTTCTCCTGTTGGTCAATTTTACTGCCAGTCAGTCAAATCAGAGTCTAGCAAATATGACTGAAACTAAAGCCCTGCTCCTAGCATTCCCAGACACACATTTCCTCACACTAATAGCAATACCTTACATTCTTGCACTTTTTATGGTGAGATATGAGACACATTGACCCTTATAACTAGGTCACATGATGATCAAACAAGAGATTGATTTACAAATGCAGTCTGGGAGCGATTAAATATTAAAATTTCTAAATTTGTCATTCCAACTCAAATCTTTCAGTTCTCAGCACTATTGCTACACCACCAGTTATATAATACTTACATTAATGCTTTATGATTGAGTAAATGTAGACATTTACTAATTACACACATATTCCAATCAGCTGTATGCATATTAAATGTTTGGTGTAATACAGTTTGTAATATTTTATAGTCCATCATTTTCATCATCTCCTGGAAAATATAAATAATATAAATAAATTTGACATTAAAAAGACCGGGTTTGACCCACCACATTCTAGATGGGAGTTCAGGTGGGTGTTCTATAAGTTCTTTTAAATACATTATTTTTTTACATTATAATGCACATTTTTAAATCAAAACATCCATTACAGTATATTTTTAAATTACAGTACATGATGACAGTACATTTTTAAATTACAGTACATTTTTAAATTACAGTACATTTTTAAATTACAATTACAGTACATTTTTAAATTACAGTACATTTTTAAATTACCAATCGTGGCAATTGTCCAATTTTATGAAGAATATCATAAGTCTCACAACTACACCATGTATAAATTTCTTCTTTTTATAACAGAATTGTAATTTTCTCAAGTAATTATCTCAGTGTAATGTGATAGATTTATTGTAACCTAATCTGAGGCCTATTGAGAAGTCATCTTACTCTTGTTTAATAATTCATTTTCAGAGTGGTTGCAAAAGTCAAGTGTCTCTATAAAATCATAATACACAAGTCACAATTCTATGGAATACAATTACTGTTCATTACTGAGTGATGTTTCAACTAGGCTTCTATAGTCTTTATCAAGCTATGATAAAATATAAATGTTGTTGTTGTTTATAACAATTTTAATATCCAATACAGTAAAAGGGTTTAAGTCCACTCGACACAAACTAGGTCATTTCGGGACTAACATATGGTTCAATTCTATTTCAATAATTCGCTTGTGCGTAGGGTCCTTTAGCAGTGGGAGGAAACGGGAGTACCCAGAGAAAACCCATGAGGTTGGACAGGCAATCCTACTCTTTGTCACATACAACTGGGGTATCAAAACTGCGCCAGTTTACTCAATAACAGACCTTATGATGCAGCGCACACACGCTAAACATTCGGCCATCCAACCCCCCAAGAGTTTTAGATTTTAGATGTTAAGTCATCATCATATGGTCATAGTTGTATATACAATTTCTGAGGAGGGGAGGGGCAGAAATTTTGAATCCACTTTAACTTATCGCCTCCACAGGTTTTGGGGCACAGCCTTCTATAAACATACATCTGAAGTCAAATTTCACCAAAGAAATAAAATTATCAGGTAAATATTAAATTACCTTTAAAGTGACACCTTCTGTTGTAGAATAAATCTCATCTGTAATATTAACTTGAAATATTTCTACCCGATACTGAAAAATGCAAATACATAACATCTTATACAAGCAACATTTTATCAATTAAATAAGATTCATCTACTTTTACAGTATCATTTTCTTAATACTTTACAATAAAACAGATATTTTTCGTATCCGTTTTTTTAAACTATACTGAAGATGTGAAAAATCTGGTACTATATTATTAAAATTCATAGATAATTGTATTACTTTGAAATTTTCCTAGGGGAGATTATATAGCAATTCCCAAATGTGGTGTATGAATTTTTGTACATGAGAATGAGTCAAGCAGATCTAGCACATTACAAATGGACATTTATTACTATTATTATCATGAGGTACTGAGGAAAGTGACACAATATACCAGGAAAAGGCTAAAACACGGTATTTGTGTCTCATCAGGGTGAAAAAATTAATTGCTTCGCAGTTTTAAGTATTATTAGTTCAATATTTTGGTCATTAAAATTTATCCTTTTTTCGCTTCAGCAGCTGTTGCAAATACACTTTTGTGAAGCTTTTTAAGTATGGGTCACTATAATGGTCACTTTATGGTTACGGACACTACGTAACCTTTAAATAGTGAAAAAAAATTCAAATTCAAATGAATAAAAAACATTTTAGATTTTAAAATTTCACATATATTGAAAAATATAATATTACTGAAGATCACATTTTTATTGTAAGTCTTCATTGTTTTTCAAGCACATCACTGTGATGCTGAAAATTTGACAGAAACACATGTTTTTGTAATTTAGTCATAACTCCCTTAATACACTGTCCATTTGTATAATTCAACTACCAAAATGTATTCTAGGAAATGTTCTATAGTGTGTTTATATCCTTTTCAAAACATATATTAATTTGAGTTTCAAAATAGAATTTATTGAAGTGAGACAGTTTAACGCAAAAAATGGCTATTTTTGGGACATGTTTATTGCCGTAACTCAACAACGAAGATATATATTGACTTGAAATTTGGTGGTCATTAGGAGAGGTCATTATTACAAATGTTGAATATAAGAAATGGACTGTAAATTCTGGAAGTTGTTTCCAAATTGTATATACCATCAAAAAATTGATAACTGGACAAATATTGTGTTTTAGCCGAAATCAAACCTGTTGTACAAGTCCAAGGGACCTCATTTTGGCTAGTTCCACTGACATTCCCCTCTACCCCATTTGGAATTTTGTTCTTATGGGCGTGCAGAAATCTCTTATCTTCATGCATTTTGAAACCTTTATCTGTTTTAATTATCATTTAATTTTTGTTCTATATTACACGTGTGATAAATTCTATTGATAGGGTTTGAAAGTGTTTAGGAACTGTACTTTATTGGCTAATAAAGCCTAATATCTTGCAATAATTTGCAAGTATGTTTTCATAGTGTTTAGCTTAAAAATTGTCTCGGGGATAAGCCCCATGAGCCCTATTTTGGGCCAATTACACTGATAGCCTCCACCCCCAAATACTGATTTTATTACCATAATCATTTAGAGATACATGTATTTTAAAATTAAAATAACTGGATAGAGTAATAAACTATAACACATAAGTATAGAAAACAGTTACTATTATATTGGGTCATCATTTCAAAGAGTAAGATCACTTGTACTATTATTTCAATATAAAGATGAGAGAATACAAAGAATTCAATTTTTCAGGTTGACACAGTTAATATATAGGTACAATATGATTATAATACAATAGGTATCATATCATATAATCAACATGTCATAACATACAATACAGGTAACCCACTTTCTATTTATATCAAATCTAATATATCAGTGGTGTCTTTATTAACAGATTATCTTTTATAAATAGGATTAACAGTTTATTTGGGGGGATTATCTATCCATATACATCCGTATATATTTACTTTAAACATATGTTTCTATGTAAATATATATTTTGTATTAAATGAATAAGGTCTACACGATCATACAGCTATTTACATTTGAATAGAAAACGAAATTCTTCACCCCTTTATAGCACTTAGCAACCCAAGTCTCTGTCTTGGCTGACAAATAAATGATTTTTTTTATGTCCACTACCATGAAATTGATTAATCCTTTATCTTATTAACTGTCATTTGGCTATTAAAATCCACTAGATAAATTGTCTATTACATTAAACCTATATATCAAGCATGTCTTAATATCTATTTATCAATATATGTACCATCATAATAAGTTGTATTTACATATACCATAATCTTTTACATTACATTAATTTACTTGCATGAGGTTATCAAAATACACCTCTCTACTTAGATAAGCTCAGGTACCCACATTTGTTTCTGGAAGGAATCATTTTTTTATGAATAAATGATTTTACACTTATTTTTTGTCCAATAATTACCATTAAAAACAGACATTTTAATTATAAAAGTCACAATAAGTCAGATTGTTCACATTCATCTCAAAAAGTAAAAAAAATCAACTTTTATTTACTATTGTTGTTTATATCATTTAGCTAATAAACAAGATAGTGGATCACCAACTTTGTAATGTTGTTTTCAAATATAATGAAACCTTTATATAGAATTATCTTTTACTTACCCCTAATGCTCGAGCCAAACACCTAAAAATAATATATAAAAAGTTTATGTTAATAAAACCAATTCTTAATCTAGATGATATATCAAGAACACTGGTAATCCACCACTACTACCTGGTGCTTTAACGTCTGCTTCCACAGAAGTGATATCGCAGACAAGACATAGGAGACCGAGGCTTCTTCCAGTTTTTAGAATATAATTTTGTAATCTTTCCATTTGACTGGTAATCCACATTATTGACTAATCCTTTATACTATAAATCAGTTTCACATTCACACCACACATCAATAGTTCAGAGTTACATTCACACCACACATCAATAGTTCAGAGTTACATTCACACCACACATCAATAGTTCAGTTTAACACTTACACCACACTTCATTAGTTCAGTATCACACCTTAGATCTCTTGCATGTCAATAGTTCAGTATCACACCATGCATCTGTTACATTTCAATAGTTCAGTACAACACCATACATTCATTACATTTCAATACTTCAGTATTACACCATATATTCATTACATTTCAGTAGTTCAGTATTACACCATACATAACATTTTACTACAACATTGTTACTCTACACATTACATTATTAATATTACAGACACACCACACATTACAGCTATTACACTATACATTATATTTCAACATTACAGTGACATACCATACATTACATATTAGTATTTCAGTATCACACCATACATTGCATTTCTGACCTAGCATCATATCACAGTGCCAAATTAACATTGGGTCAGGGTTAAAGTGGTGTAGTGTTTAGCACATCTTACACTGGTGTAGGACTGGTGTAACACCATGCTAACCATGCTATTTATTTCAAATCTAAGTTGAAGACTGTGGTATTGAGATTGTGACCTATTTATACCATTTGGACACAAGTGTATCAACTGTGCTACCCAAACACTAATTTATACCTGTTGGAGCTGTTTATTATGTCAATATTTTCATTACTCTTTTTTAGATTTCATTAGTTCATTTCACCATACATCTATAATTTCATATTTTGTAATTTACTTACTCTAGACCTAATTATCTACAATACAAACTTACCCCAGTTCGCCCCAAGTGAAGAAATTGGATTTCTTTGGATATTTCAAATGAAACATTTTGAAAATAGTCTGTAAATCTGCTTTAAGAAATCCTTCACGTCCACGAAGGTATAGTAATCCGTTATATAACCGAAAGCACCGATATAACACAACACACCCCTCATCAGCTTACAATATTCCTTTATATTCAGTATAAATTCATAAATTAATTAATCTCTAGAATTGTATCGGACTCGCAAAAAGAAACGATATTTCTATATAATAAAATGGATTCTAGCATAAAATCACGTACGGCCATATAAAGCGACCTTTCATGCTACTAAAAGCCAAATCATGTAAGAATGAAAACAAAACTGACGGTTGACACGGTGTGAATAAGAAAATTCAATATCCCCACTCATAAATACAATATCGTATTAACAGTCTTTTCATTGCAGTGCTCTTGTTATTTCAAGTAGATCTACATTTAGATATATTCACACTCACTGCTCAATACTGTAATTTACTGATAAGCTTTACCATTACTTTCATATTGGGTCTAGTCTATTATAGCCCACGGCCCATCCAACTGATCAGAAATTGGCGGGAAACGGTTTAAACACGCGGTCCAGATTAATAAGACGACACCGGTGTCGTGGCACTAATTATAACATTCTGTACACAGAGATCCACCTACTTCATACTTCGAGAATAGATCTCTACCCTGAATGACCGCCATATCCAAACATTTATTTTGTAATGCAGTTCTTCTCCGTTTCACATCTTTAATACACACTACGACTAAATACACGTTTTCAATTTTACTAAATGGAAGTGGAATAAATACATATAAGAATCACCCAAGAATTCTGGATTTATAAAAGATGTTACTGAAGATTATTACAACTATGAACTCCGTTGCACTATTCAGCGGAAAAGGGGCGATGTTGTTTGACTGCCTCCCCAAGAAAAAATTGTTTGTTTAAAATAAAATGAATTTCATACCTAGGTGGACCAGATGGGAAGGGGGGGGGGGGGCAGTGGGTGGCAGCTGCCACCCTAACTTCAAGACAAATTGACTTTTCGGGCAGACGGAAAGTGGAAAAAAAAATAAAAAAAAATAATAGATCATCCTGGTTGGCTAAATAACTGTCTTTTCGGGCACACCGGTAAAGTGAGAGAAAAAAAATTACCGTATCATCTTGTTGTCCGAAATCTAATAAAACACTAATTTTACCGCGAATTTGTACTGTATGGATTAAACATTTTGTTTAGAGCAACCCTGCTTTGAGCGACATTTTTCGGGCATCACGTATTATTTGTGAATGCAGCTGCAATAGTCTGATTGGATTGGATGATTGGTATTCGGGTCGGCATAGAACGGGATTTCGGTTGCAAAACCATTTTGACAACTTTGAAGTTGCTTAACTCACGGGCGGTTAATTTTCTAAATTTTATTGGGGAGGGCGAGGCCCCCATAACTCGCGGCTCCGTGGATTAAATTATTGATTGGCTGTTGGAACACATTTTAGTAACTGTATTCCTGGCTGAAATATAGCAGGAAAACGCGTTAAATTTTCAAAATTTTCTTCCGACGATTGAAGGGTGGAATGTAATTCGCGTCAGCTACCTTTGAAGTTGCTGTGTTCACGAGCTGGAATAGCAAGAACAAGCGATTATGCGGCCGTCAAATTTTCATTGGGAGGCCACTACAAGGCAAACTCCGCGCTGGCAGCGCTTGCTGATGACCGGCCCGGGAGTCTGTAAATGGGAACTGTTTGGGGCATTTCAGGTCTGCCCCACTAACGTTCATCGGGCCCGTACTTCTATGCGACTTCCAGCAATGTGATGTGTGGTAACTAGTCCTTGTACTGAGATCTTATATGATGCTGCAGTGTGCAAAAGTTTGTCTGCCTGAATATGTTGGAGTTTAAAAACTCTTCTTAAGACAAATTATTTCTGCGTTGACGTTGAACGTATCAAGTCACCAAAAATCACAAATATTAAAAGACGCCTGATGACTTGGATGGAACTGCATCTATTTCGTTCCTGGTCTTGGAATGCATGGGACATTTTTTTGAACAGCTAAGAATTGATTTTGGATGTTTATCCCCCCCCTCTCCCCCATTGTTTTTATGTAGGTCCCACCCACTGCTAGATAATCCCCCCCCCCCTACAGTTTACCATTAACCTCAATCTTTGATTTGGTGCTGTATTTCTTAATATATACACATTTTGTTTTTTATTTATTATCATTATGTCGGCAGGGAGCCACAGTAGCTCACTGATCTAGGGCACTTCTCACTAACCAGGTGCTTCCGGCCTTATGGGTTCTATCCCGCTGTTGACACTGGTGAAACCTTCAAAGGTGTGCATTCTGAAGATTAGATCAACATTTATGTTTCACTAAAAGCTGATATGTGGTGTAAAATGTGTATTCTGAAGAATAGATCAAAATTTGTGGCACAACTTTCGATAATTTTTTAACTTGTATTGCTCCATCCATAGCCCCAAAATGAGGAACATCATACCATCTCATTATCTGTATATTATGACATTGAATGCCCACCATTTTAATGCTTAAAAACAAATTAAGGCACCAAATCAAACCTCACAAGTTTTATTGTTCATTTGTTGACTTTCCAAACCAGTCAAAAGGAGGAACCATAAACGAGTTCTGCATTAATTATTTTTGCAGGATTATTGACTTGTATGACTGAAACCTGGTCAAAATCCTATGAGGAGCATTGATACTTTTTTTGTAATTTATTGCCCTTCATACACAGCAAGAAACCCAATGACTTGTCTGGATTATTTTTCATAGTTATTGCCCAGGTCATCAAAATTTGCTATAATATATGGCCCATAAACTTTTTAAAAGCATACTGTACCTTCAAACATTTCAAGGGAAGCTGATATGAGCAAATTGGCACTCAACTTATTTGTTTATTACCGGCAAACACTATTTTTGTATATGAAATTAATTCCATATAAAGAAAAAATAAAACATATAATTTCCTTGTACTTATCATTTATTTCATCCTAAATGGTTGATAATGTGGATGTGAGGCTGTTCTAGACATCTGCTAAATAACAGCCAATATAAAAAAATATGTCACAGTCAAGTGGTCCAAATAATAGGACCTTAACATGCCAGTACACAATGTAAAAATGGAGGAAAAACATAACAAAACGCACAAGATCTGATGACAGCTACTTGTTGAGATGGTACACCCTGAGTAGGCAAACATTCTCTACACTCTATTAATACAAACATAATAGAAAGGTGCTCAACTTATATATCTCTCAAAGTAAAATACAGATACTGATGGTTTCCGAGGGATGATGCATGCTAACAAGGTAAGAAAACACACAAAGATTTCTCCTCTACAAGTTGCTGCCCCCTTTAAGAAGTCTAGCCTAGGGCCCCAGCCCCTGTATTTAATTATCAATGTTATTATAATTCTTTGACACAGTAGTATGTATAATCATATCAATCAAAAGTTTAGTTGTGAGCCATCAGTTATTATTATTATTATTATATATGTACACATGAACATTATTTAGGTACATACATACATGCATTTTTTATTATTAAACATTAACATAATTATATAATTACAAGATGGCGTTTATTTTTAAAACAGCACCAAGCTTTCCGTCTGCTTTTAAACACAATAAACTGCTAACTTCACAGAAATCTTGCAATTTGTTTGTACTGAGAATGGATGGTATCGTTCCAGGAATATTTAAATCCATGGAACAATTCCTTAATACCGATCATTATGCTTAATTTGCGTACTCAACTGGCAACTATACTTTTGACAGACACAAGCCAAGCTCACTCCTGATAAAATGATGTTATTGCAAGGCCACAGCATATTTTGTGTATGTGATAAGGATTTGATTAACTAGGAAATAACATTGATATGTTCAAGTATAATACATAATGTACAATATTATAATATATGTTATATATACTACAGTACTTTAACAACATAAGGTGATAACTTCCTAGGTATCATCATGCATACATTGAGATTTCACAACATAACAATATCGTTTAATGTAGTAGAAATGGGGTGGGGGTGGGGGGTATGTAGAGAGAAGAGAAGAGGGAGATTACCATGATTTGGAGACTAATTACACAGATATTACGCACTCTAAGTATACATTATAATATGGCACAATACAATATTTTCTGATTTTCCTATTTGAATATATTATCTGAAGTAGTTATATTATGATATACACACAGTTTCTATATAGCCTTACAATATTCTATACATTATGAAATGTTCAACTGCATGCATAATGACCTAAGAAATACACAATGAGGTCCAAATATTTTTAACTATTAATATTACTACATAATGATCAATGATCGACTGGAGCACAAAAATGATGTGAACATTCTGAAAAGCCTTTTATACTTGATTTAAGATATTATAAGTTTACGCTTTAACAAAGAATTAAATTAATTCCCTTCTGATCTTTTTATCTCATATTTTAAATAATTTTTTCCCGCTTAATGTCATTATGTAATATATGTCTAGGAAAGTTCAAGGGAATATAAGATTGAATGAATTTCAACATGATTATCTAAAGAGACAGTAAATTGAACTATATAATAATTTGGTATATTATGCCATAATAATAACTAATAATAAATGATATAGTTCATTATTATAATAATAATAATAATATGTTGAACTTGAGAATAATTCAAGTTGAGTACATGTATATAACATACCGTTAACTTGAGGTTCCCTGTGGTATATAATATTTAATTAAGAGGTAAATTGTTATGAAGGCATCTTAAAATGAGTTCATTTCAAAAAGCTCCATGAATGCCAAAGGCCTTAACAATTCTTTTGACAATTTAATATCAAAGCCATATGTAAGCATAAACCACTGGATGTTTAATCAAATTAATTTTTCAAAGATATTATTATACAATTTCTTATGAAATTATACAGAAATTTTTTTATGCAGATTTATATTAAAGAGATCTATTTAATTGGATAAAATCAGCAAAAAACCTGTAACAAAGATAAAAAGAATGGGCATAATTTAATATAATAACAAAATTTGGATTTGTTTTCCAATAGTAGCAATAGATTTAATATAAAATATTCAGAATAGTTGTATATAAATTAATTGTATAAGATTGTATAATGAACTATATAATGATATTGTATATTATTCATAGTATAAGGTTAAAACTATTGACTCTGATAATACATACATAATATAAACAAATATAATACAATTTAAATACAAAAGTGTGAATTCATTTTTCGTGGTGAATTATGTATGAAACATAATATTTTAACATAATAATAACATGAAATATTATGTTACTACACCCAAAAATGAATATGGAATTTTATTTTTTACAAAAAAATATAATACAGTAACAAATTGCTTAGTATAGTTTGTGTATGGATACACATCATCATTTCTTTCATAGTTTTTGCACCTTATGATACATTAATAATGTGTATCTTTAGATATAAACATTATGTTATATATCATTGTTTGCCCAGTAAACAAAATAACATTAAAATACTAGCATACCAAAATGTAGATCTCTCCACATGAAACATTGATTATAAAAATTAAAGATCTAGTGATAGAGATGAAGAAAACAATTTAGAAATATTAAAAAAAACAAAAACACAGCAAACTCAATATTGCACTTGGACAGAGTAGAACATTCAGATAAACACAAATCATAGTAAATGACAAATCAAAAGTTAATTTGAAAAATTTATGAGATATCACTCAATGTAGAAAAATATCCCTTAAGAATACAAAACTTCTTATTTGTACACAAGGTTTTCAATTAATTTGTATGCGAGTATTACATCTTCAAAAGAAATATACTCATTTGTTTATACGAGTTCAAAAAAATGTTCCTTAAAAAACTTACCCTTGAAATTTGCTTAATTTTGACTTCATGTATATATACATAAGTTAAAAGCAAAGATTACCTTGTTATCAAGAGGTAGAAATATTTTCTGTCTGAATAAACATATCTGATGAAAGAAATGTAACAGCAATTGAAACTGATTTTTGGAAGAGTTAAAAACCTACATGCACATAAACTGTTCAGATCTTGGAATAAATAACAGACACAATTAAAGGAGCAGTCCCCGATTTCACATGTGATGAAATAGCCTAAGTTACCTGTCTCAAAAATTCAAATCAAAATATTAAGCCGATTGGAAAATTCTGCTTAATTTTTTCAATTGCATGAATGACTTTAAAATTGTGACGATCATATTTCACTATAACTATGTAAGTATCAACAAGGCACTTACAGCCAAAGGACTTCCGGCCAACCTAACTTGGAAACTAAAAGAATGTGTTACACAGGAATTGTATAAAGGTTTGCAAAATTCTTTTTACCCCAACTTAACCAGTTCTATTAAGTAAAATATATCTTGAACTGCTCCTTTAACCATAATTTAATGATTTTGCTGTAAAGTTGCACATAAGCAAATGAAAAAATACACTCTAAGAAATGAATAAAAATCAAAACAGAAAAATGATAAAATGGACAGAACCGTGTAAGACACACAATCTTGGTATCTAAATAAATTGTCACAACCAAGCGCTGGCCATTGTAAAGCTCAGACAATTGATATTGTTCTCTTCTGGTATTGGGGAGGGGCAATATTTTGGGAGACGGGAGAGAAGCTGTTACAGGGATCAAGGGTGAGATTATATACTGTCATTTACATCACATTTCAGCACATTCACTCAATAAGTTAATAACATTACAAGTTTATATTACACCACACTGAAACGCTATATATTTTGATTTTTAAATTATTTTTTTTTTAAGTAGGATTTGGAATGTTCTTCCATAATTATTCTCTCTCAGAAATTTATTGTCACATGGATTAGATTTTTAAGATATTGAAACTGAGAGTGTTTGTTTGGTCTGCATTTAGTTCTTCAACATTCTGGAAGGAAAAATTAAGACAACTAATCAGAAAATAGTTTCCACATCAATAAGCTTTTGGCTTGGATATGTTCAATGTAAATTCCACTTTAATACTTCATTGACTTTTTTGTGGAGAATTCGGTTCTTTTATAAAGGAATATATTTCTAACGAAAGCACTCCATCACAGAAACATTACAAAAGAAAGTATCACCAGGTCAACACTATTTAAAATCATAATTAATAGTAGTTTGGAAATCGTAAAAAATCATACAATAACAAATACGAAATCTTTCATTCTATTCATCATTTGCATAATAATAATGTTACTACATTGTATTTCTACTAAATGTACTTAAAACAGAATCTAAGTCCGCTTGTTTTCATATGTCCATAGCTTATACCATCATCTTTGCTAGAATTGTATTTAGCACTACATAAACCAACATTTGGCAGGTGATTTTAAAATAGGCACTTAGAGCAAGATTCTATAGACAAGTACCGTTTCATGGTTTAATTTTTTATCAAAAAAACCCCAAAACACCCCTGTGCTTTATTTTAATCTTTAAAGTTATAGATACACTGTTCTAATACATATTCTGCATAGCACTGGCCTTAATTTTAAATAAATTATATGCATGTCATCAAGAGGTTAGTGTGATCACAATCAAAACAGATTGATACACAAACTAGACCTAATGTTACAATTATTTATAATCACCAACTGATAACATTAGGCCGAATTGTTAAATGCACAGGCGATTCACGATGTAACTGTATCTGTGCCATAAACAGCACATTGCGTTTAACATCAGATTGTGGTAGACAGGCAATATAAAAACTGTTATGATTGACTGTCACGTTATATATAGATCGCTTCCTTTTTACTGTACCAAGATGCCCTGCACAAGACCATATTTTATTCAATATGGCTGTGAGATTAATTGAAATTAGTACTCCAAATAAAGTGATATTATTATTATTAATAATACATATTTTGGGCGGGGATTAACTGGTGTCAGCTAGATTTTGTCACAAGAATTAACCGGTTCCATTTTTTTTAACTGTTGCAAGACTAATTAAAAGTGCACTACATGGCTTTTCGCTGTAACATGGGTGTACTTTTTAGTCTGAAAATTTGCCTATTAAACCAAAATGAACTGATATAAACCAATGGACACTGAATTTAATTCTACTACTTAGGCCAAACCAATTTGCTTATCTGTTCTTCAGGGTCTTGATAAATAAATAGCCCCTTATGTACTATTGGTTTTTAGATTAGTGTTATTCCTGAAGAAATAAGAAGCAAAATTTTAACAGGTATTCCTGAAGAACAAAAAATCAAATTCGTGTGGCCTTATTGTGAATAATAGGCCTTCTATTATAAATTACAATGCGAGTCATAGGTAGAGTTCAAATTAACACAATCTTTACTACCTATATCATTATACTATTTAAATAAAACAAACAGAACAATAATGTTAATGATATACCTATATACAATGGAGTTTAATTAAGTAATGGACACATTCACTGGTACAATGTATATGAGATTACTACAGTACTTATATTCTTTAAGTAAAGGTGAAGTTAAAAGACAAAATTGACAAGTGTTGAAATTGACAATGAGTTGATCGGTCATTAAGTAGAAAAAACATTCATTTAAAACAGAGCTAAATGGAATGAATTGAATGAAGAAAGAGAAGAAAACAGATAGTAAACAGCAGTAATTATTCATCATAGTTTTGGCATCTGAACACACTGTTTGACTCGCTGTTGAAGTATTATCTCCCTTTCTTCCCAGATCTGCTTGTCTTTTAATTGAGTAGCAGATATTCAACAGTCAATGGCTGTCCTTGAATTCCTTTCTTCATATACATTTAATACACAATTCACTTTCCTTATTTCAAAGCCAATTTCAACCTTGCAATTTGAATCTAACCTTGCGTAATTTGTGACCGAACACACATTTTGATCCCTTTGACATAATATACACGATTATAACACACGGTAGTCAATAAATAACTAATATTCCTACACAATAAGTTAATATCAGTAATTTGGTTCCGTTGTTGCCGTTCTACTACGTGACATTGAGGAATCAGTCCCACTACGCCGTATATGTTGGGGTGATTGTTTTCCAACTTCCCCTGTAGTATCACCACCCTCCTCCCCACCTTCACGACTTTTGCCATCCTTTGTCCTAAATTTTTTGCGCCAGGATGGCGCACGTCTAAACTTGCCACCTTCACCCTAAAACAAAGACAGAATATAGTTTGAAAACATGTAATATTAGATGCTGCAGAATATTATAAAATACAATGACCATTAGCTTTGACTTTTCAATCTGAGATCAACATGATGTGGCTTGTAATGATGCACGACTTTACTGAACTTCAGTTTGTGATGGTAAATAGAAGTTTACATAGCTTTACGTTCATTCTGCTGAACATAAGATAGATGTTGTAGAAGTTTAAGTGATTTATGAAATGAATGCTTTATGTTTTGAAATTTTACAATAAAAAAGTTAAATCCTAGTATTTTATTTGTTTTAATCGTACAAATACCCGAAATACATATCGATCTTCATGTATGGCCATTGCATTTTATAACATTTAAAAATTGTATTTTTGCTGGAAAAATTTTGCATCTGCTAACTGACAATAAGACAAAAATAATCATGTCAATGTGAAATATAATATTTCTTTGGCAACAAAAACAAGTATATGATAAATTATAATGTGATCAGTTTGAAATCATCTCTAGCCTGCTGTTCTGCCATTATTACTTACACATTATTCATTTCAATCTCATACTCAGACACTCACATGTTTAAATTCTTTGTTTATTACATATAATATCAACTACCGTCCAAATAATCCTCATCATTACATATTGTAAAAATATTATCACCACTTGTGTAGATACTAGAATTAGGTCCTATAATACAGGTCAACCCTTTAGTGTCTGGGAAACTAATCCACCACCAATAATTTTTTCTGACCCCCAAACTCACGTGTGTTCAAGTTCTTCCTGGGACCATGTTGAAGATCCTATGTTCAGCTGTAGGTAATTAAATTGATAAACATACTCCCAATTTACCCTGTTTATGCATCTGCGTAAGTACCATTTTGTTTGTCAAGCAGCAAGCACAAATTATCTTTGCTCTACTGGTAATCATGATTCAAACTTATCCATTTATTTATTTAATAATTCAAAGTTTGGTTTTAAAAAAAAAACTTTCAAATTTAGAGTGAATAATATCAGATCATATTTTGTTCATCTATAAGAGAGTTAGATTAATTGCATTTGAAATTATATTTTCAGCAAGTTCACTTCATAGTAGGCCTCCAGTCCAGTATAGTTATTTTATTTGTTTTACACAGCCTGATCAAGGCCCAGAAAATGATGTCCACGAAATATGATCTTTTAGAGGCATTTAGTAACTGGACAGAGCAATAAACTATAACAAATACTTATGGAAGAACAATTACTGATTTATTTAGGCGACGTTTCGAAGAGTTTTCTCTCAATGTTGTCAAGCAAGTACAGTAACAAATGTGTAGGGCAATTATATATAGACAAGCAATAACAACAAATCAGAAACCATGCATGACAACAACAAGATCCTTCATATGCACCTTGCCTTTGATCATGTTGTTTTCATGCCTTTGGTCTTGTTGTTGTCATGCCTTTGGTCTTGTTGTTGTCATGCATGGTTTCTGATTTGTTGTTATTGCTTGTCTATATATAAATGCACTACACATTTGTTACTGTACTTGCTTGAAAACATTGAGAGAACACTCTTTTCGAAAAGTCGCCTAAATAAATCAGTAATTGTTCTTCCATAAGTACGTGTTATAGTTTATTCCACGAAATATGGTTTAAAACTTTTGATTCAATTGGTACATTTTATTTTATTTACCAAACCATAGCTACCTTATCTTTAAACAGATTTTAAAACAAATAATTTTGTTTTTAGCCAAGGAGAACCATACAAAATAGATATTCCCCCATGCATTTAATGTATACGTTCTTATTATTTTTTTTGTTGAAAAACACCCTTAAAAACCTACCAATGCCTTTATTTAAAATAACAAAAATATAAGTAAAGCTAAAAATAAACAACCAGAATCTATTAATTTTTTAAATAAAATGAAAACCCTAACCACATTCCATAAAATTCTATGATTATAAAAAGTCATTCTTTCACCAAACTTTGAAAAAAAAATTGAGTAGTGTATATCTACCGTTTTTCTGGTTATATTAGTCACTGACAATAGAATATAATTTGAATAATAAAACTAAATCAAATCATGATATACAAAAAATATTTACATTCAGATTAATTTTACAACATTTATTTATCAGTTAAAGCATGTTTCATTCACGACCTTTTTTCAAACTAAAAATTAATTGTAAATAAATAATAATGGCAAAATCAACATTTAAGCTAAAAATCATCATTTAATTAATTAATGTTTATTAATTACAGATAATTAAAACTGATCACCATATTGAAATATTTCTATCAACAATATCATCAGGCTGATACATGAAATTTAAGTAGGACAAATTTTTTTAACAACTACAATTCATTTTCAGCCAAATATCTACCAAGAATCTATTGATAAAAAGAAGCTCTTCAAGATGTATTTTGTTGAATAAAACTGCTTAACAAGACTCTAAAATATGTTTATCCAATGAAAACCGCATGCAACCCACAGTGATATTTTTCGCAAATGACTCAATATTTTGAGCTTGAAACTATCAGGCACGTAAAAGATGCTATTTCTTTGTAATTTGGCATTAAAAATTTGCATATCGGTACACAAGTATTACAGATATCCTGTAAAATCAGGGTTGTCTCCTTTAAAAGTGCTATCATAGTAATTTCTCTTGAATGTATTGTAATTATTCACTATAATCTCTTCGAGCAGATGCACATTGTATAGTCTGTATTTATTTATTTATCAAAAATCATGTATATCGACAAAATTCATTTGTCACTTTACTTATTGATGGCCAGAAATGAATCTGTTCAGTAGCCATTTTTCTAAGAAAGTTAATATGAACACAAATTTTGATAAATAAACAAACTCTGCATGTAAGAGCCAGAAGAACTGTAATTTGTAAATGGACTGGTGGAGACAAATGACAATCAAAGCCTGTCAATACTTGTTGATAGATTATATTTCTCATTTATATCATATAAACAAAAATAATCATTCAAAAATGTTACTAAAAGTAATTAGGAGTGGATGGGAGTAAAAGCAGATACATGCAGCTATATATTGACACTTTCAAGCAATTTATGAATTGCAAAATATTAATAATGAAATATGAATAATACATATTACTGCTGAGGAATATTAAATGATGAAAATATGATGTGATAATTATAGAAAAAAGTTAGCCCCTCCATTTTTTTCTAAGGGTACTTATTTCAAATTACTTATAGTGGCTACTTCCAAACATACTTCATCAAGTGTTTTTTTGGGATTAGGTTTCCAATAGTAAGTGAAGAAGGAGTATTAATTCAGTTCAGCTTATATTTCTTTTTACTTTTGGCTTACATAATCAACGGCCATCAGAAACTATCTTAATAAACTTCAAGACTGCGACAAATATCTAATTTACTTATTTTGTTCTTATTAAGACATAAATTATAATTTTTAGCATTCATTTGCTTAAATTTGATCTAGCACAGATTTATACATTGTTTTTAATCAAATATAAATGGAAGACTGTTGTACAATACAACAACATTTACTACAATGACAACAACCATGCTGCTACCATATGCATTAATAAAATATAAAGAATACTGGCAATTGTTTTTTGTCTGTTTATTCTCTGGTAAGCCTACCAAAATACTTATATTAAATCTTAAAAATAAACTGAAAGTGCAATTGTGTCCAAAATACACAATGTAACACATCACCTGATTGGCTAATATACCACAGTACCAAGCTGTAAGAAGGAATCTGGAGAAAGGATACAAATGTGAGGAGTGATTTCTATATTTGGCAGCAGGCTAAAGATAAAAATTGGATAACTGACCTACCTCGTCCAATCGGCGGTCCGTGCCGATGGCCAACAAGTTGTTGAATTCTCTTTCTAATATTTGACGTGCCTGTAAATAAGATTAAGATGAACCTTAACAAGTATAAAAACAAGCAGGCAAATATCAAATTATTATTACCAAAATTCAAAGACATAAGACTCGGTGAAATATAAATGTTAGTGTTCCAGTTGAATGATACATGAATTGCTACAAAACAGAGTTGAGTCATTATTTTCTGAATTAGTTTTTAAATAAGGTCCCTGTGCCTACAATTTCTTTTACAAATTTACTTACCTGTTGATTTTGTGTAGGTATTTGTAAGGCTAATGCCATAGAATTATGGTCAAAACTTTCATCTAAAGCTACTAAGGAACCATGTACACCTGATTCATGTAAATTAAGCGCATACTCTTTTAAATTAATATTCTGTAACCATCTTATAACTCGTTCATTAGACCATACTAATACATCTGAAAAACAGTAATATATATATACATGTATATACATATACAGTGGACCCTGTCAATTCCGACATCGTAAGGTATCGATACAATATGTCGGATTACTTAATTGCCTTAATACCGGAAGCATTATACTGGAAGTAGTATTGTACCTTCCAATACCAGAAGTATTATTATAATGCACCCTTGAATACCCGGAATATTCAGAATCTGGACTACTCAAAATTTTTGGGTTACGTAATAACAAAATAAATCGGGACACGAAAATGATGACGGATTTCACAGAATGCTGTAGTATTCAGATGTCAGAAGTAACACTGTACTCAGATCTCTATAACCAGCTTAAACCTAATTAAAAATATGGATTACCAGTAGAGTGCAGTCATGAATTGATACACATGTAATGCTAATAATTGAGATACAATTAAGACAAGGGTTATTTTAGTAACAGAAACCAGATTGAACATAATGATAAAATGAACATGGTTTATCAAGTTAATCATTGAGATATAAATTTCAAGGATTAATTATAAAGGTGATGATATATTATTAAGATACAATTATCAAAGTGAGAGATATGGGACAATCAGTAGAAGGTCAATATAAAGTTGATGGTGAATTCTGCACTACATTGTCCCAGTGTCAATGAACCAAATTCACAAACAAGATGAAATTGCTAAAACATTAATCTTTACTGGACACAACTTAGGTTATTTTTGGTCTAACATATGGTTCAATGTTATTTCAATAACTTGCTTGCGTGTAGGGGTCTTAGCAGTCGGAGAAAACAGGAAGACTAGGAAATAACCCACGAGACCGTACTCCTTGTCACATACAAGCTGGGATTCGAAATCACACCACTCGACTAAATGACAGACCTTATGATCTAAAGCACACATGCTAGACCATTTGGCCACAAAGCTCATATGCTTTGTAGGTGAGTATAAGGTGATGGTAAATCATCAAGATATAATTCTATTTCAAGATGGGGGATGAATGTTGTGAGGAGACGGTAAAATAATAATGACTCACACTAGTATTATTATACAATGTTTGGGAAATAATCCCTTTTAGTTAGTTAGTTGTTCATTCTGAGTGAAGTCTGTATAACTACAGACCCGGGACTGTACAGCACAGTGGATGTTTAAGGCTAGCCCCCAGATCCAATGTTGTCTTTCATTTCTGTATATTGTGTCTTGTCTGTAGATTTGTCTTTTGTAGTTGTTTGTGTGTGGTGCAGTCCCCCTTGCACTTACTATTAGACTACAATACTAATATCAAATTTTCAAAAACCCAATCCTACCTTTTAATTCATTTGCACTCTCCTCTCTTCTTCTTTCTAATTCTTTTTTATCATAATTTAGTTTCTTTAAAGAGTTTATACCATATTGTAAACTAGTTCTAATAAATAAATAAAGATTCAAAAATTTAATCAGCAACTTTTTTAAAGTCCCTATTTTGGAAAATAACCATGGAGCTAACATCTAAGCATTTGTCCCTTCAATAAAGGGACAAGCAAGCTTAGTGTTGTTACAGCCCAAAATCCATAGTTTCATTTTGTTGCTGCTATATATAGATTTCATCAGTTGACTTTGTTTTGAAATTACAGTCTTAATTGATCCAGTCCAAATTTTCTCAATTTTGACTGCAACCAATATTGGTTAGAACAAAATAATGGAAATTGTGTATAACTGGCTGTCTGATTGTTAACATTCACACAATGACTGTATCCTTCTGCCAATTAAAACATGGCATTCTACATACTTCCAACCCAAAGTGAAGGTCATTTTTTTCTTTCACCAATCATAATATGCATAGAAATCTTATATGACCATGGACACAGTATAGACAACTGATGCTATTTTGTCCTAACCAATATTTATTTGGACCAAAGTCAGGACAATTTGGGGTGTAACCACCAAAACTTAATATTTCTTTAATGAAAGTTGAGGAAACAAAGACAAGGATCATTTAAATATGCCCGATTACATAGCATGACAGAATACTCAATACCGAAAGTACTATTTTATCTTCGAATATCGGAAGTACAATCTTCTTCGGTTGTATCTATTTGGTGGCTAAAATTTAATATTTACGTTGCTATGGCCCTCACATTTTTATCTCACATTGATCAACACTTGTACTTTCGCTACTAACTTTAAAAGCTCATTCGACAAACCGTGACAGACTCCGGTACCCTAGATTTGTAGAATTGGCTGACGTGTGTCGAATGTTTAAAGGCTTTGATGTTGAAACCACTCATGCATCATTATGTTGATATCAAGGTAATCAACAAAGACCGACATGAGTATTAATCTCACTGATAATTGATTGGTGATTGCTTGTTAATCGTATGTAAGGGAACACTGACGATTGAAGGCGGGATTATACAATGTTAATTCAATGCAAATCGTGTGACGGGACTGCAGATTGGATGTCGTTATTTGTAATATTCTGAATACGGATTACTCAAAACTTTTTTGGTAGAAATAAATCGGGACATGAAAATGATTTCACAGAATGCCGTAGTATTGAGAAGCCGGATGTGAGAGAGTCCACTGTACTTACCTATGAAAACTATCAACCATTTTAAGTTGACCTCGTAAATCTTTTTTCGTAAGATGATCTAACATTCTAGCATCAACTAAACATTCCATAAAATGACTTCTATATTGAGGTAAACCTAGACTTGGTAACCAATCATTTCCTATCCATTCATGGTTCATATCACCGAATGCTAAAGTCTAAAAATATTCACAAAAACAATTAAACATCCAAATCAATCAATTTTAGGGTTTTTTTATTTAATGGGTTAAAATAGTTGTTTATCTCCTTATTTGGGTATCCATTATCAATGCAGAATAAATCAATCCACTGAGGTCAACATTCTTTAAAAATTCCAATCTAATAAATATTTCATCATTCTTTTTAAAATATTTTGGAGGTCTACAGTTTTCATTCATATAGTGTTAAAAGTGAAAAAAATATATTAAGTAATGAAATTCAAGAGAAAACCATACTCGATTATTTAAGGAGGCATTAGCGCTTTGGCGGTCTTTAAAAGTTGGTAAAAAAAAAAATTTGAATTGGACATGATTTGACCATGCAATTACATTGGGTATGATTTTATTTGATACAATGCAAAAACTGAGATACATCTGTCAGGCCAAAATTGAGAGATTTTCAAGGACTGCTCATGTAAAATGTCTTATTCAAAGCAGTTCAGTGTTGAGAGTAATGGGCCCTCTTTAGCATGGCTTTAAAAACAATAACAAAATTTGATACTTACAGTTCTGGAAGTTTTTGGAGCAGATGGACTGGTTAAACTGACCATTTCTTGTATAGCTAGACGTAACTTGAGCCGATGTAAAGGATTACTAATACCTATTTCTCGCTGTATTTCTGTATCTGATAGAGCGGACATAATGGCACCACTCTTAACATTTGCTCTACATGCTGCCACATACCATGGTGGCATGCCTACCCATAACTACAAAATAAATAAATTAAATAGATATCCAACCTAAAATAAGATTGTAAATAACCAATAGCACCTCATCCATCAATGTTACAGTATATATTGTCAAGTACTTGAAACTTAGTCATTTATTTTCTGTGTACAATACTGGGGGAGAATTTTGTTCGGAAAACATCCACCATTTTCATATCAATTTTTGAAAAAAATACAACCTATCAATAATAGTACACCTCCAATTTGCTCACATGACCTTGTTTAGGAGTTCCTGCAGGATGACTATAAAAATAGTTTCCTGATCAGCAATTACTCCTCAAAAATGGGGGAACATAAGACTTTTCAATGAATATCACAAACTACGAGATCCCAATGATTTCAGGTTAAGTCCTATAATAATTTATCTGTAACAAACCGATATGAATAGCAGGGGTTATGATAGGTCACATAGTAGACAAATATACCAGAATCAATGAAGATTAAAGGGAGGTAATAAGAATCAGTAACTTACTTCTAACCAAGCTACAACCGTAGGACCGTTCCATAATGCAAATGGTGTACTAGCTTTCATAGCTTCTTCCAATAATTCATGCCTACAAAAAAGATTCATATATTAATATAAGAAACAAGATAAGTAAAAATATTCAATAATGATATATACACCCAGTATGCAGGGTAAGAAACAGCTTGTGAATTAGGACTATTGTTGTCACTAGTTGGGTGTCAAAACCCTAGTAGAATAAATAACAGTTCTGCAGCAGTATGACCTCTCAGAGATTGTTATGGCCAAGGTGGTGACATGCAAGTCAGATCCAAGCAGAGCCAGTTGTATACATTAATTTGTTTTAAAGATTTTTGTTAATGAAAATGACTTACTTTTTCTTTTTTCTTCTATCAAATTCTGATTGACCTAAACCAACACTTAACGAATCACCGGAACCATCGGCCGATTCATAGGCTAAAATAATAAAATACTAATATTCACATACATTTAATGTAGTAATCTACGAATTATTGCTGCCTTTAAAATTTCTGGAGGGTTGGGAAAGCAAATTGATAAAATTGTTTGAAAATTAAGATTCTTTTGGTAGAGGGAGTCTAAAAAGAACATCTTGCAAAATTTGCATGTCATTTTCTGAAAAAACTCTATTTGTTGACAGAAATATATCTCATGGTGAGGGGGTCTACAAAAAAAGAACTACATCACCAAACCATGAGATCTTATATTTTAGAATGAACATTTTTGTAACGGTAATAACATTATCTGAAAATGTATTATTTCTGCAATAATGTATATAATTCCCATAATATGCTATTATATTATTGTATATTGTACATACCAGCAGCTAGTTCTCTCTGATGATCTTGTTTCATTTTGTTTTTTTCTTTTTTACTAAAGAATCTACCTAGAGAACCTTTTAAACCTTTCTTTTTGGGATGTTTATGTAAAGAATCTTGACTACTATGTATACTACCCAATGGACTGGCAGTGCCTTGAGTTAAATCGTGTAATTTACCAGAACTGAAAAATAAAGCAGCATGTAAACATTAATACAGGGTACTGTATTCAGTCGATTAAGCATTGATATGTTAATGTCCAGGAAGTTTTTAATTTATAATTTAATTATACGACAGAACAGATACAAAAACCTTGATTGCTGTTAAAGACGCATTATGTAAGATTTAGATAAAAAAGCTGGTCGTTCTAACTACTATAATAGTTTTAAAAAAGATAATGAAAAATGACTATATTGAAATTTTCAGTTTGAAATTTTGACAATAGTGTAGACTCAATTGTCATTGCTACAAAAATAAACAAAGTCTCGATTTTCCATTTTAACATAACCGATTAAATGGTGCATGTGGTCTAATGCACTTAATATCCAAGCCATCCAATAGTCTAGAGACTTGATTATGGGCTTGTCATGTGAATAAATGTCTAAATATAATTTATATAACATTTGAAGCTAGAAAAACAATTTAAATATCAGTAGAAATGAATAGTAGAACTATCAAACCATTCTGCTATATTACCTAGAAGAATCATCACTACTTTGTGCGAGGGCAGCAGCTACACGTTCTAATCGTAAAGAACGTGGTGTAGGTGGACTAGATTCACATTTGATTTGCCGACTTTCTTCTTGAGCACTAAGGGTACTATCATCTCTACTGTATTGAGGCTGAAATACAGACAATCTTAGTTTCTTATAACAAATCAGTAAATTTATTTAACTTCAAGTTTGCTAAAAAAAAAAATATTGCACTTAATATAGAAGTTTGTAACAGATAGAAGAAACCTTTGCATTCACAGTAAATTTATAAGTTAAGCAGTAAACCTTGTAATCTAAATTAATTTAATAAGTCTAGCAGTAAACACAGCTACCCTAGGATCATTCTAGTACCCAATGGTCAACACTGCATCCCAGTTTATTTTATCAGTTTAGTACTCATAGTAAACAGTGATATTCCAGATTATTTGATCTAAGTTATTCGTGAGAGTAGAAAACACTAATATCCAAGTTTATTTTATCAGTATGGTACTAGTAGTAAACACCGATATCCCAGTTTATTTTATTAGTTTAGTGCTAGTACTAAACAATGAAATCCAAGATCATTTGATCTTTTTGGTACCGGTACTAATAGTAAACACTAAAATCCTTTATTGTTGAATACAGTCATTAATATACACATGGTGATTTTTTTTTTTTTTCTATTTATCTAACCTACTGACTACGAAATTTTGTAAGTTTTCAAAAAGATATATTTTACCGGATTAGCAGAATTTTCCGCACTAGTAGCTAGTTGTGGACTAGATGTAGAATAAGTATACATTTGTGAAGCACTCATACCAGCTGGGGCCTGAAAATATACACATCCACAATATTCATACAAATCAAATAAAAAATTATTTGGCCCAAAAACAATGTAATTTTTACTTGAGAATTTTCTGATCTAATGTCATAAAAGGTTAGGCATTTTAAGGTTGAGTTTTACCCAAGGATTATTTTTTTTAAAAAGTGAAGGGGGGAGCACCAGAGTATTGCTAAGTTGCCAAAAATATATTAATAAACCTTCTGAGTAAGTGTAAAACTAGGCTGTTTTTCATCCCCAGCAAAAAAAATGACATCACTGTTAGTTAGGGTGTAAAAACGCCTTTGTAATTCTGAAGCATTATTTTTTTTTCATTTGAAACCAAATAATATATTATTTACACTATATATATGTAATTAGACGATGATATTGATCTTGCGTCTAAAGTTAGAACGAAAATGTAAAAAACAAGTGGGAATATCTGGAAAGTTTAGCTATCTAACTACTGTGATTAAAGTGAATTTGTGACCGGATCACAGATGGTGAAATTACAGGAATGGGTAGTTTTAAGCAAGTCGCATTAAGCCACAAGTATAGGAAATAACCTTACAAAACAGTACAGTAAAAAAAATTAAAATAAGTGTGAAGTAGAATCAGGTGTTCCAGAAGGACCAAACACACAATATAAATAGAGGATATTTGTCGTTTTAGAGTGAATAACATGTTTTATTTCATTGAGAAGCAAGAAAACTTATATTTTCACGAATGCGTAGCATGAGTGAAAATATAAACGTTTTCTTGCTTAGAGATGAAATAAAATATGTTATTCACGACAAAACGACAAATGTTCTATTTATTTTATGATTTTACAATCATTTTAGGTAAAAACAACATGGACTACTTTGTCCACTTGGAGCCAGTGGAATAACACTTTTATTTCGCTGTTAAAACGCGGTATTCCACTACTGATCATAAAATAAAGTAGTTTTACAGGCCCTATATTAATGAGTAAAGGGCAAATCTAGAGTTTCATACCATACACAGTTATACAGTTGTCTCACCAGAAAGTACATGAATTAAATTTTGTTAATTAAAATCAATTAATCCTGAAGGAAGTTATGGCCATGTAAATTTCAAATTAACTGGTGCATGAATTTCCTGTTAATTTCACAAGACCATCTTTATATTTGTCTTATAAACAATTACCAACTTCTACTCTAGCTTTAATTATCCTTTTAATAAATTTAAATATGAATATTATTGGCCTTTTGCTGCATTGTGCCTTTAATTAAATTGCAAGAGTAATACAATCCTGATGACTTTAGAGTACTTGTATTTTGTATGTTTACATGTTGTTTAGTTTAATCAATAGTAATTACTGCTCTAAGTAAAAACATCCTGAAAACAAGAAAACATGACTGTTTCTAACCAAAAGTCAATTAGCCTATGTCAAGACAAACTACAACAAGTAGCTACGTCTAAGTCTTTATTCTTATTATCTTTTCTTTTTTTGTTTCATTATAATATCATATGTAGTTCATGTATGTAATCTGTTTGACCTATGGGATCCGTAGCCCCAGACAAAATGTTTCAATTCTATCGGTTTTCTTTTTTTTTTATAACATATCCTTAATCAATACTGACATTACTACATAACTATTTCAAATTGTAGTAACAGGTTAAAAGTCAAATAAATTTATGCCGCAAATTGACTTGGCCTTTTGGGGAGCTTTGAAAACCATCTTTCCAAATGCAAAACAATTTTAGTTTGGCCATATTTATCTACATGACTAATAATTAGACTGCGAACTGAAAAGTCCTGCAGTATTTTAATCGATTATCATCTACAAAATTACTTGAGATCCACCCAGAAAACTTTACATTTCTAGTTATTCGCTAAAGAATTTGACCTGTGAGTAGTGACATGATTTAAAGGATACAATGTGATTTAACAAAATATGATGGAAATCAAATAGCACCATAAAATTGACAAGTTTCAAGTATATCAGTTACATTCAATCATTTTTTGAAAATACCAATTTAACATTCCTTTCCGATTACTATGTTTTCATAATAGCTTTGAAATAGAGTGCAGGAAAAGATTTGATGTATAGACATAGTTTGACGTAAAAAGTCTGCAAGAAGCTATGATATTTTCTAAGAAAAGATTATCAATACATAGTTTATAATAAGGAAAGCATGTCTTGATATGTTTTATGTTGAAGTCTACAGCTAATCAATTCTATTAACGCTCTTTAATACCTTTTACATCAGAATAGGTTTTTCACTAACTTTTCATACATAATGTCAAAAGATATTTCATTCTTTTAAATTTGAACAGCCTACATTGAATTTTCAGTCTGACATTTATTTTAAAAAACATCTATTATATCACTGCTTTTCTCAGAACCAAATATAATTTTCTTTACTGATCAATGCTGAGATCTTTAGAATCTTCCGACAATGGAAAGATAACTTATCCATTGATGTCATTAGAATTCATAGGTCTAATCAATCGCATTCCTAGTAGGGTATATAGTGAAAGAATGTTTGTAAATTAAAGTGAAAATGTCAAAGAGACAAAGTGTATTGCATGAGAATAAGAGGAGACATTTTACCTATCTAAATATACATTCTATACATTATATTGTACATTGATTAAACATTATATTACATACTGATAGAACATTTCTATTGTTTGTATTGGTTTTATCTTCTTAAACATAGTTTGTAGATATTGTTAGCTTTAAAGGAACACTTCCCGATTTCACCAGATATGGCTTTTTTGACTAAAAGTTATATCAGTTTTGACAAAAACTTTTTTTACAATTTGATCAAACTTTCAGGTCATTGCCACTATGAGCATTAGCTAAAATGTTTTGATAGGCTGTGATATTTATTATCTAGAAACATTTGACATTGTCTGAAAATGTAAACAAATGGCTTTAGCTTTTATTAGGTTGAAGATTGCTGTGAATTGATAATGTGTCAGCAGTTTATTAAATTTTTAAACAACAATGGGGTATAAAGGTACTATATTCCAGACCAAATTATGGTACTTTCTATTGATTCACCCGCCATCTTTATTGTTTTAGAACACCTAGTAGATAATTCCTTTCTATTGATTTCACAACAAATCTTTATTGTTACAGAACACCTAGTAGATAATTAATTTCTATTGATTCACACCTCCATCTTTAGTGTTACAGGTCGGAACACCCAGTAGATAATTCATTTTTTGGTTACATGCCAGCATCTTGTTAACGAACACCAAGTAGATAATTCCTTTCTCTTAATTTTTACGGAACACCTAATAGATAATTCATTTCTATTGTTTTTATGGCACCATCTTTATTGTTACTGAATGCCTAGTAGATAACACTACAACTCAGGTATCATGTAGTAGTGCAATTTGTTAGGAGTTTCTGTATTTAATGTTTAGTTTCAAACCATTATTGGCAAATTGTTAATTCAGTTCTTGGTTTAATGCTGTCAGCTTAAGTGTACGGAACACTTGGTAGATAATTAATTTCTACATATTGAGCTGGGCCCTTATTCACGAAAACTTAAACTAAGATACAATCGAGATTTTAAGAAATACTGCAATTCGGTTGGCTGACCAGTAAAATCAATTTGCATATATCCAATAAAGTTGCAGTATTTCTTTAAATTCCGGTTGTAACTTAGTTTAAGTTTTCGTGAATAAGGGCCCTGGATAGTATCTAAATAACTATCTCCATAACACTATTCAATCCTTATTTTTACGTACCAAAAGAGTGATTGTAAAAATTGAATTGGATAAATAAAACTTAATTTGCAAGTATTCTTTGTTGGGGATTACATTCTATTATGTTACACATTGGTGGCGTTAAAAAAAACTTATTAATAAAAAATATTTATATTAAAAGCTTTTCGATGTCTAATGGATATGACTTTTAAACAATATGAACAGATTTGTGGGCTTAACCTGTTCTATAATTCTTATTTCAAACATATTATAAATTACATGTACTTTAATATAAAAATAAACATTAACTTATACATGTATTAATACACCAAAATAAACCAAAAACCATGCCAAAAGACACTGAATGTTCAAATAGCGATATAGCGAACCCGCAACAACATGCAATGGAGGACAGTCGGAAGTACTGGGAAGAGATGCCACTTTACGCACGAACATAAAATACTAGAAAGTTAGGAAACCAAATCAAAATAGCCATTCTAAAAATTGAAACAAAAATAGAAAATAGCTAAATTTTTAACAAATTATCCTGGCACAAAGTTAATTAGAAATACCTAGAGTTATTTCATACACTAGAACTGTTATTATTATTTGCTAGCACTACTCCTAACAGAGAAAATGTTGGCAAGAAACAAATATTTAAGGTTAATGACGAGGGGTCTGGTTAGTTATATTAGAAATAAATGATATTTAAACTTTAAAAGAAAGATTAGTGATTTTATAAATAGTTATTACAAGCACACAGTTAGTTGTAGATAAATGTTAGAGAACAACAAATCAGAGGATTAGTAATTGGAATAACACAAGACTATTCAATATTCTCCATAAGTAGCAGTAAAAGATATATTTGAAGTAATTAACTACTTAACAAAAAGATTAATATTTTTCAAAATATAATAGAATTACAAAAAAAACCCTTTAATCATGCCTATTAAGAAGATGGAATTATTAATCAAGTTATTTTAGAACTGTTAAAGAATAGACTTTAAAAGTAAAGGCCGTTATCCAAAAAGTTTTTCACAAAAGAAAGAAGAATTAAGAAAGGTTGTATGATTTGTAAATAAACTTTGTGCCAGGGAAAGACAATATAGGTTTTGATTGGAAACAGTGATAAAAGAACACGAACACAACATAAATGTGTAATGGCAGTGATTATTGTCAGCAGTGGTGACACTTCCCAGACTTACTGTGGCATATTTTTGAAGTAAATCTCGTGACTGATATGTTCGGGGTGTAGGAGTGGACTGGCCACTGAGTGGCGGGGAGCGATCATAGCGCCATCTATTAGCAATTGCATCTAAGCTGCCACTGCCTACCCGGCTTTCCAGTTCTTCTGCTCTTTGCTCTGTACTTTCTTTTTCTTCTTGAATTAATCTGTGGGAAGAAAATCATTTAATATTTTCAGTTAACACTAATGTGAAGTTCAAATTTAATCATAAGATTATTACAATATTTCGACAAAATATTTGAAATTGGCACCAGACCTTACAGACCTAAATTCATCAGTGTAACCATTGACCTTATCATAGATTTTTTTTAATGAATTTATAATATTATAGGGTCCATGGTATAACATAGGAAAAACAATGATGAATTGATAATTAACAGAACTTATTTTTTAAGTTTAATTGCAGATTCCTTGTGAAGTCTTAATTGGATAAATATGTTGAAAGATGTGAACTTTTATAATATAGTTCAAACGAGTACAGCTGGATTAAAAATAAGGATGGAAATAATGGTACTTGTTAACTTTACTGAATTGTGGTAAGATGTTTAACATAGCTGGCCAAGTATATACTTATATCAACAATGACTAATATAAATGTTCTTTAATCAGAAGACATTACGTAAAACTATTAATTCTACCAGACGACTACTACTGATTGTAGATTGATTGGGGAAAAATATAGTAGGTACACGGCCAATCAATTATTGTCTAACTACAAATATTGACATAAAATCCTACCTAATTTCATTATTGATTGCATCAAGCTGTTCCTGCAGCATGTAGGCTAAGGTTTGGGCGTCTGTGTGGCCTGAGGGGGACAGAAGATCTACAGCTCCAAATATTGACTCATTGTCGTCTGTTCCTTCAGTATCACTAGTATCAAACGCATGTTGTACATTGGCAAGAACGTGGGCTTGTTGGATCTTCTCCCATTCCTGTTCATTTAATGTGTTAACCTGTAAAATACATCAAATTATCCATTAATGTCAAAAAATGATAAAAGGGTGGGGAATACTACTACTTAGATTTATTTGAATATCTAATGTGTTCTTGTAAGTATGTTTGGAGTATAACATTCAATTCTAGATGCCATTTGACCTTTGAAATTATTAGAAATTTAAGGTCTTTGATGAGGTGATTTGATCAATTTAATTAAGTTTGATGTGTTGATTTGCTTTATGAAGATAGAGCCAAGGTTGAGATGGAACTGATTTTGTTTAAAGTAGTCAACAATCAAATATGGAACTAAAATTAGTACAGAAACTGACTTTCACTTAATATTTTGAAACATCGAAATAACACATCAGATTCAGATAAACCAAATTCAACACTGTATTTTTTCCTTGATCAAAGAGGCTTACACAAGTACCGTACACAATCATTTCTTACATTGGTTATGGATACTTGAGAGTAATAACTGAGAAATCCCTGTTATGTCCAGGATTAATTAGAATTAACACATGGATCTAAATGTGGACACTAGAAAACCGGAAATACTATATACCGGAAAACACCATGTTATACTGAATACCGGAAAACACCGGAAAATCACTAAAAACCGGAAACACACTAAATACCGGAAAACACCCTAAACAGGTAACCCAGAGCCTTGTCCTCTGTTTGCAGGGAGTTGGGGTTAGGGTAAGGTTTTTCCGGTGTTTTCCAGAGGACCAGCGGTAGGTAAGGCTTAGGTTTTTCCGGTGTTTTCCAGAGGACCAGGCACCGAGTTCCCTATTTAGGGTGTTTTCCGGTATTTAGTGAGTTTCCCGGTATTTAGTGTTTTTCTGGCGATTTCCAGTCTTCAGTATAACATGATGTTTTCCGGTATATAGTATAGCCCCTAGAAAACTGTATGTTAAATTTGAGATCAGCATGAGAATTCGAGTATGAAGAAAACCCTATTTGTTTGTGCACCTACTAATAAATATATTCTTCACCATGTTGGTGGTTCAGTTGCAAGAACTAACAGCTTGAAGTTACTGATATTATATATTACATATTATATATTACATATTCATCTGAGATATTGGTTTAATTTTATTTTTAGCAATATTTGTGAACAGGACTGGGGAACAGGCTTAGCCTATGTAAAATCCCACTCCTTTAGTTTTATTATATAAAGGCAAAGATAACATTTTAACATCATTGCTAAAATAAAATCATCATTGGCACTTACATTTAACATGCTATTTCTAATGCTTTTCCATAAAGGTGAAAACTCTCTTAAACATTTGTTGCGTGTTTATTATGAACGATTGATCAGCTCCTATTGTTATTAATGCTTTTAGCGTGACCTACACACTTCTTAAAATAATAATTCTAAAAAAAAACCTAATGTTATTAAGTTCAAGTGTTCTATCTTTCAGAGCAAAAATAAAACATACAAAAATGCTTACGCCCCACAAAAAAGTTTAAATGGGCACAAGTACATGTAGATCAGTTTTACTGTCTGCTAATATTTTCAAGTATTTACTGTAGGCCTATAATATACAGACTTGTTCAGATTTGACACAATTATTGATAAATTCATTGTTTCCAACTTTCTAACAATATAATATCCATCTAATTTAGAAATCTTAAGGTATTAATCGATTCCAAGGTAAATCTCAATCATGAATTCCATACTCTATATTAATACCCCGAAGTCACTTACTGATTATAGTTTAATGAAGGCAAAATGAGAAGAATGATTAAGTTTTATTTAACATTATTGGTTGGCAGAGAAAAAATAAGCGGTCCATAAATAAGTCTTTAAAAGGTATGACGTAAAGAGCTTCTTTTCAACTATGTCACTGTGCCTTGTTTGGTAATGAACATAATATTGCCGTAAGGGCGTAATTACTTCATCTGTGTATTGACACAAATAAAATACATGGATCTATATATACAAACGTAGACCAAACATATTGATCTCCTACTGCCAGGAATATAATTTCTCCATTAAATGTTGAATTAATCAATGTTTACCTCATAGATATCATAATAATGGCACTTAGGCTAACAAAAAAACAATTTTAATATTTAAACAGTAACATTTATTTAAAATAGGCCTCATGTTTTAACAACATATGACAATAAGTTGTTTGCCATTCTTTTAATCTTTCCCCTGATCACCTCTGTTCTGAGGGGACCACTTGGCTTAGTGGGTAAGACGCTGGCTCGCTAGCCTGGAGGTCGGGTGTTCGATCCCTGCATTGGCCGAGAAAGTTCATCCAGATTTTCCGGCGTGGTTCCCCCTTGTCAGTGATGCAGCACAGAGGACCTGACAAGGACAGCTGTCTAGTCCTTTGGATGATACGAAAAACCGAGGTCCCGTGTATACATTGGAATGCACGTAAAAGATCCCTTGGCAGTTGGAATTCGATATAAGAGTAGGCGATAGTGCCGCTGCCCGGGCAAAATTTCCCTCATAGCACACTGTATGGCGTATGCCCGTCTTCATTAGCCCAGGTTAGGAGCAGAACAGTAGGACGTTAAAACCCATTTCATTTCATTTCATTTCACCTCTGTTCTGAGAAAAATTCTGGTTTAAAAATGACATAATGGTTGAGTATGTTAGTTGATATTGTTAAAAACAAGCAGATTGCATATATTGATACAGAAATTATGAAAAGGAGGGATATGGCCAATTGTTCAGGGAGAGGGAATTGCACTATGAAAAGTTACAAGAGATAATGGAAAGAAATGATGTTTAACGTCCTACTTTTCTGTACTTACTGCGCTAATGAAAACAGGCGTATGCCATACAGTGTGCTATAAATAGAAATTTTGCCTACTCTATTTCGAATTCCAACAGTCCATGCCACAGGACCTTGGTTTACCATCATATCTGGATGGTTAGACTATGTTCATCCTACATCACTGACAAGGGGAAAACATACTGGAAAATTCCTGGGAAATTTCTTGGCCAACACAGGGATCAAACCCTGGACCTCCTTGTTAGTGAGCCGTGATACAGAGTCTTACTCACCGAGTGACTCTGACAAGAAACAGTGAGGGATGGGTGGTAGAGCAATGAGCTCTACTCCTGAACTTGGGTTTAGTCTTCTTATCACTGTTTAGTAGTTATACACAACTTAGCTATACGGCAGTTCGTTATAAAGTGATTTGAATTTTCCTACCATGGTTAGATTCATTGTTGCATTATTTCCATGGGGCCATTTAAATAATTTTACAATCAAATTTTAATTGGTTCAAAAGCAGTTAATACAATGTTCAGGGCATAGAAAAAATGATTAAACTTAAGCACACAAAATGTGTGTGTGTGTGTGTGTATGTATTTTGCATTTCTTGGACTATGGCATTGAAATGTTTACATGGAAGTCTAAAAATAAAAGATATTTACCCTGCGAAATCAATAGCCACAGTTCATTGTACCTGTAATTTGTTTTTAACGGTCTCTAACTCAGACTAGTGATTACACAGCTTTTACCTGTCTCTAAGTTCCCGTCAGAAAATATAAAAGCAACATTTCTACAGGTTGGAAGGTACGTTATCTGATGAAGACTGTACACAATCAGATAAAATAATCATTAACTAATTACAAATGTCGCAATAAAAGAGATCCTAGATACAAAGACTAGATATATAATAACTTGTGAGAATGTCGCATATTGCCCATGTTGAAACATTCGCAGAATTTATGAATTCTTTATTTGCTTTTCTTGTCATGTTTCGTTTGTGTGTACCTATTTACCAAGCATCGATGTATTCAAATAGTGAGATAAGCATTTCTACGTAATAATTACGATCGATGTTACAATCATGTTGTAATTATTTTTAGAATAGAATCATTATTTGATATAAGATATGAGGATTATAGAATAATACAGTGATAAGAGAAAAAAAATGAGATTTTTATAGTGTTGATGACATTTCTTACCATGTCATTTGCAATCAGGGCATTAAGGTTATTCATTACCATTAGATACAGTTTCTATGACATAGTAAAGCCAGTATATGATACACACATTGATTATATCACAATTATGCATTTTTGAGAATGTTGTTATTGTTACCTTAGTAATAATCCAGGTAAAATCAGAAAAGCATTGTATTTTCAAACTAATGTTAGTGCTCTGTTCCATTTTAATCATTTAACAAAAAAACAAAACAAAACCAAACAAAATTGGTATAAAGCTAAAAATCTATAATAATGCAAGAGTGGAAGAAATGGGGTTTAATTTCTACTTGATACTTAAACTAAGTCATTTTGGAAATAGCATTTGATATATCTTTACTTCATTAATTTGCTTGGGTGCATAGTTCATTAGTGGTAGGACAAAACAAGACTATCATTGGAAACCCACCATTTTAGACAGGCAACCCTACTCCCTCTTACATACTTGGGATCTAACCCATGACTTGCATAGGTAACAGGTCTTATGATCTACAGTACACAGGCCCCTTTGACACCCACTCTCCTTTTTGCAACTAAGAATTTTTGAGTGTAATAAGTCCATACATTTTCTCATATTGATTATTGATTCACAAATCAATATTCCTGATGTATAATTCTCATGAAAAACATGCCCTAAGAACACCTTTTAAAACAAAATAAAACTTTTAATTATAGATGAGAATAAAACAAACAATGTTTAAATGATGTTTTCGTTATTAAGACTAATAATTGTTCAACAAGTTTACAAATTTATCTAAAATAAACATTTATCCAGCAAAAATCAACAAATTATTTACAAATTTAGCAGCAACAAAGATATCTTTCAAGAGGAACTATGGTAACTCCAGAAGCTCTCAGATTACATTCCATTAAAATTGTTTAAATTGCACTCAATTAATATTTCCTGAAGCCGCAGCATGTAAAAAGTGTTTTTCAATAGGGCCATTTACTGCATAGACGAGAAATGACTGATGCCTCGAACTATGTGATGTATAATCTATGATTTGGTATTTGAATCAGTATTAATATTTCATAATATAGAATTTAACATGTCAAAGGAATAAATCTAGCTAGGATTTTTCAAAATTAAAAAAAAAAAGAATTTCATTGTGAAATTTGTTATTGTGCAATAATCAAAATTACGAAATATAGTGTCTAAAAACAGGAAAAGGGCATATAACTCAAAATGTACCTAGCCTGTAATTATTAAATAGCTTTTGTTACAATAACAGATAGACCATCTCCTTGAAAAGGGATCTTGTGTTAGTGTTATGAACACATTTACAAAATATGGAGAGAACAAAAAAAAAAAAACAAAAAAAAATTGACCTCAGATTGAATTGTGTGTTTCGTTTCAGAACTTATCAATTTAAAGTAAGCTAAATTTGGGGAAGATGCGAAAAAAAAAAAAAAAATATTAATACCCTTTAATACTTTATAATTTCCTAAGATCCTACCTTTAAATATGATATTATCTATAAAGATAAAAAGCAAAGAGTTGCAGTCTATATAAATAAGATGAAAGTAAATATTAATCAACTATTAACTGTTAATAGAAGAGAACATAACATACAGATGTGATTATACAAAGCTACTTTTGATGAATTATTAATTGAATATTAATAAATGTGCCCACATGACATTTAAATATCTTTATCCTTAATAAAGTATGACGAACACAATATTTGAATTTGTTTTTGTATGATTATCATTCAATAATTTAAGTTCTAACAGATTTTCAATTTATGAGAATCAGCACAAAGTTTAACATATTGGTTTTAATTTCAAATGAACAATATATGATTGGTTGAAATCATTTTTTCCAATGACATGGCATCTCATCATTGAATTACTTTAATACAAACTACTTGATGTTGTTAGATCAAATACACAAAATCAACAAAAGTATGGCTTGTTTTCAACTAAAAACAGATTCTGTAAATTAGATATTTAATTGAAAATGAAATGAAAGAGTAACGACTAACAATGATTAATATGTATAATGAAGACTTAATATTATGACATTACCTTAGCTGGATCATCTAGGAGAGCCTGCTCCCGTCCTCGTTGATGTCGTCTAGCTACACTCTCTTCTAATGCAAAACCAGTTCTATTAAACAGAAATCATATCAAAGTTAAGAAAAGGTTGTAAAACTTGTTAAATTTATTAACATCTAGTACAAAATATATATTCCAGTACAAAAAATGACCTTGGCCCTAATTTCAATTCTCGATATTTATTGAACTTATGAATATTGAAATGTATTCATAAATCTCAAAATAATATATCATTAAAAAAGAAAACCGAATCTAATGGAGGTAAATAGGTGTAAGAAAGACAAACATGACCTTTTTCCTTGTCTTTTATATAAAGGTCATATATGTATTAGAACTCCCTACAGATTTACAGATAATTTTGAATGGTCTATTATACACAATCAAAATCAATCATATGGTCTTACCTCATAAAGTGATCCATTTGCATTCGTAATGTTTCTATTTCATTACGATATTGATTTAAATCATCATTAATCCTTTCCTGTAGCAGAAAAATAAATAAATCTTTAATTAGAATTCTAACAGTAACACATTATACAATTCACTAATTCATTTATCTATCTAAACCATATAATAACATTTAATATATTTATATGCCCTGTAAAAAAACATGTGTCTCTTTCTATTATACACCATTTTACAAGTTAATGATTTTTAATGGCCATTATTCACTTAAAAAAATACACACCATAATGAAATGAAATTGAGGTGAGTGTCCTACTTTTATGTACCAAATGGGTAAATGAAGACATATGCCATACAGTGTGCTATGAGAGAAATTTGCCAAGATAGCAGGGTTTCCTCTTTGTTTTCATTGAATTCCATCGGTCAATGGTTCTTTTATGCACACACCAACCAGTACATATGCAAATGACAATCAGAGACTCTAAATTCAAACAATGAATACAGTAGAATCTGTACGAGCAGCCACTCCTATTCAGCGACATCTCCTTGTAAGCGGTCACGAGAAATTCCCCCCCCCGTAGAAATTCTATTGTTCCATCTCTTTAATCAACGGTCACTCCTCTAACAGCAGCCAGCGGTCACTATTTTAGTAATAAAAATAGCCCTTATTCAACGGCCATTGTTGAATGATACCATCTTGTTGTACTTCGTAGTACCTCCGCTGATCCCGTGATTAATAGTTAATTATCTACTCCCTCACCGATCAGGTAAAACGAACTGTGAAAATAACAATAAACCCGGGATTATCTGGTAATTAATCTTTTGTTTTATTAAATGACAAAACCCTGATCATTGTTTTCACACGTAATGAAACACTATTTGATACTGATTAAATGAACTAAGAGTACCGTCAAAGCCGAGTTTTGTCATGATCATTTAGTATCCATTTTCCATTGCCACTTTGTTGCTAAACAGAAGTTTTAGCACCCCCTGAAAATCGGTGACAAATTCAGCGATGGTTTTTTGTACATGTGCGTTTTTGATAAAATAAAATTAATTCATGGATTGTCTTCACAAAAATGGTTAAATATTATCGAATACATCACAATGGTAGACAGTAGTATCAATGTTGGTACAAAATGACACGTTTACAGAAGATATATCAGAGATTTTGAGTCAAAGAATTTTCATTCTAAGCAAGTTTCAGTGACGGCCAAATATTGATGTTTGCTCCCAATAATGCACCCAAGCGTAAAATTTACTTGACGTCAGCAATAACAAACACTGAGATTTTATTATGAGGTCACTCCTGTTAAGCGGCCAGTCATAAAATTTCCCTTGAGTGGCTGCTTAATACAGATTCTACTGTATACAATGCCTAATTGTTGGCTTACTGCTGGAATGTGGCTTTTTAAAATCATATTCAATTAGGATCTATTCTGTTCTCAGAACAAATTACACTAAAAACCAGAAGACTATTTTTGTATCCAAGAAAGGTCACCTTGTTTAATTAATCTCTCTTCTCCATGTCGACAAAATCGCATGTCTAAAAACAGGTTTTTATTGATAAATCATTAGGTTTAGCATTTTGTAGTGTTTGTGAGATAATGATAAGATCATTTATAAATTGTTGATTAATTTGTTTTATTTTGTTGATTCACCTGTATTAATCAGTTTATCAAGGTAAACAAATTAGGTAGAGTAGGTAGATAGACTGTTATTAATAGAATCACCTGTACCAAAACACACACACACACCCACCACCCAGTTTTAATTAAATACAAATTTCTCTTTGATACAGATAAAACTAGCTGGACAGGCTTTTCAAATCTTACAAATATAGAAATACATTTAACATATTTACAGGTCTAATATACTAAACAGCAAAAATCTTTCTAGAAAACGACTTACTAAATGGATCAAAGCAATTTTTTGTGAACAGTATGTTGACACATTAGTGATTAATTCATCACAATTCCAAGACATTACGAGAAGGTTTAGAGTCTGTACACAGTCTATACATCAATATCTGGTGTGTCCACCTAGAGTGTCAATAACTGCTGCGCAGCGTCTCTACACTGAGTGGAACAGACGATTGATGAACGCCATTGGCACCTGGAACCACACTCTCAGAAAAGTCTGGCGCAATCCATCGGCTGTGTTTGGTCTCGGTACAACGTTAATAAGTCTTCCTCTGAATTTCATCCTAAAGATGTTCAATCAGGTTTATGTCCGGACTAAGGGCTGGCCAGTGCATAACGTTGACACCGTTCTGCTGTGTGGGCACGGGCATTGTCATGCTGGAAAACTTTGTTTCGATGACATGCGAAATGTGGTATGACGTGGGGTCTGAGAGCTTGATCGATGTAGCGCACTGCTGTGATGGGCTGGTCCCAGTGAACACATTACCATCTCAGAAGTCAGGTTGCGTTTTTGAGAACATTTCCTGGGTTCAATTCTGTGTTTGAAAAGGAGCCTTATTGCTCAGGTAAAGTTGGAAATGTGGTCACAAATATACAATAAAAACATTTGGCAAGTTTTATGCAATGTGTCTATTCAGAGTAACATAACAACCAGATGTTTCTTTTGCTCCTTAGTATAGTAAGTGCAAGAGAACCATACCACACACAACAACCAAATAGAAACCCAGAGAACAAACCCAGGGACAAGACATCACTCAAACCTTCAAGGGAACAGATCTAGGGGCCAGTTATAAGCATCCACTGTGCTGTAGTCTGTTGTGATATAAACTTCACTTGAAATGAAGACTCACACAGTAGCCAACCCAGAAATGCAAAACATGACAAAGAGGGCATTTCAAAGGGTATACTTTATGCTTTCTTAATTAATAATTATGTTTACCAAACAACTCTGCCTAGTGTAAAATTATCATTACTTATTCTTAAACTCAAGAGTATTGATCAGATTGTTTGATTTTACCTTTTCTTGCATTGTTTCTTCTAACAATTTACATGTTCGTTCTAATTCCTGAGTTAATTTATTCTTTTCTTCTAAAGCTTGCATTCTTTCTTTCAGATGGAGTTGTAAACGTTCATTGGATTCAGTTAATAATTTATCAACAGTTGCTGACAATCTAGAATTATGCTCTTCATTCATTTTTTCTCTCTGTCTAGCCTGAAAACAAAAATAGTGTCAAATATCTTAACAAACAGGAAGCATTTTTTGTCATGAATTGTTTATCAACAAATAAGAATCCAATTTCTAAAAATCTAAATTGAAGCTTCAATTAATACAGAGATCTTGTTGTATAACTTTAAATCAATACTACTAAAATCATCATTTTCTTTCTTAAAAGCATTTAAAAAATAGATCCCTGGGAATTTATTCATGAATATTTAATCTCTTAAAACATGTACAATACAGTGTTCTACACAATTGTTTATTTGTTTTTGCATAACTTATTGGACCAACTAAATAAATGCAACCACAAACAAAACTACTGCCTTATTAATAATTCCTACATTTACAACCTTTCTACAAGTTCTAGTATAACCCCCGAGGACAAACACTTCTTTATTCAGATCTTGTTACTTATAAATAATGAAAAGAAAATATTTACCCTTTGTAATTCTGATTCTTTATCACCTAATTTTTGTTCTAATGACTCAATTCTTTCTTCTGTTGATTCATGTCGTTCTTCAGCCTTCAAAATAATAACATAAAGCAAGTGTAAACAAGCCAACAGTGAGGCTGATCCCCCCGCTGCAATCCCAAAATAAATAGATGGCACATATTAATTATTTGCACTTTATCTTTTTGAAAAGTATCGATCGATCAAGCTGACTATCTATACTTATCCATACTAATGAACATCTACACCAAGTTTAAACCTCAAATACAAGTAATGTTCCAAGGTCTTGACCAATCAAACTGCTTATCGCTACTTGACCTAAGCAGAAAATTATCATCATCAAACTTAGTCAAGGTATTGAAATAATGAATCTATCTCTGAGTTTCATCACTCTCACCCAATTAGAACCAATGTTATCGTGTTCCAAAGTTTAATCCAATCAAATTGCTTATATCTGCTTAGCCTTAGTGGAAAATGTGCATGATCAAACGTTGTCAAGGCATTCACCTAATAAACACATAGACCAAGTTTGAACATTCTACCTCAATGAGCAAAGTTATTGTATTCTTCTAAAGTCTCAACCAATTAAACTGATCGAACTCAGTCAAGGTATTGATATAATGAAACTATACACCAAGTTTCATCACTCTCATCAAAGTTATCATGCCCCAAAGCATCAACCAATCAAAATTTATGGCTATCTCTGCTTAGCCTAAGCAGAAAACGCTCATCTTCAAACTCCAACAAGGCATTCACCTAATACACACCTACAGCAAGTTTAAACATTCTAGCTCAATTAGGACGGTTATTGTGTCCCAAAAAGTGTGACGAACAGACAGATAGACCCATTTTAATAGTCCTCTATTTTCTTCGAAAGGTGTTGGACAATTAGGTAAAATAACAAAGTGCAAATACGGTAAAGGAGACCATAAAATAACATACAGTAAGTGTAGATAAGGTAAAATATAACATAAAATAACATAAAGTAAGTGTAGATAAGGTAAAATATAACATAAAATAACATAAAGTAAGTGCATGTAAATTAAAGATATACAATAAAGTCTAAATAAAGTAGAACATGAAATAACATAAAGTGCAGATGGCTAATATTTGGGACCTAGAGAAATGGACACAAATGGGTTGCAACGCATATAATAATGGAATATGAATGTATATAAACTGATTTACATTCAATCGTTTCCATTTTTACTCTAATTATCAGTTATGTTCCGCAAAACATAAGGCTCAATCGAATGGCAATCTCGAGTGCCTGGTTATTTCAGTCTACACCGACAGTATTTATTGCGCATGCTCTCCAGATAAGAATATGATGTCACCGTATGATATGACTTGTCGAATATGTCTAGCCTTGTTCTTCGAATCGCTTGTTACCAATGGCACTGAAACACATTATGGTAAACGATTTGTGTACCAATGGTAAGATGTTTATCTTGAATATTGGATATCAGAAGCCCATCTTTTCCTGGTCAGATCACAACATCAATGTTGATTTAAATTGACAAATAATGCGTGTTTTCAATGTCGAGGACTTTGGATGATACTGAGTTAGAAACTTAGCTACTTTAAAGTAGAACATGAAATAACATCAAGTAAGTTAAGTAGACCATAAATTACACAGGATAAATTAACAGAAAGTGTAAGTAAGTTAATGTATAGGATAAACTAACATAAAGTAAGTTAATATAGAGGATAAAATAATACAAAATTTGCAAAAACTAAACCAAACAAACAAAAAATCTGTTATGTTCTTTTTAAGAAACAATTCTACATTTTTTCAAGGTCAATGCTACAACTTCTCTGGGAATGTGTATCTAAATCTATCATACATGTGTGTTCTATCGTCTTTTTTTGTGCAGTTACTCTGCATTCTTAATTAAGTAATGTGAGATTACCTACTAAATTAAACTCTGAATTCTCCCCTGTGATGTTTGGCCAACTGAATTCTTTTAATTTCTTACATTCGAGGTATTTGTAAGATAAATGGGGTCACTAGGTCTGAAAGAAACACTAGCTTGCAATACGAATGAACCATCCCCCCATAGTTATATCTATGATTACTATAATTACCTGACTTAAAGCATCCATCCTCTGTTGTAATTCAGCCTCTATAGTAGGTAAAGCATTAGCTTTCTTCTGATATTGAGATAATTTTTGTTCGGCTAATTCAAACTTTTCTACTAATGCCCTATATTTTTCTTCACTCTGTAATAGAATTTAAAGTTTTCTAAGATAATTAAATATGTACACAAATAAGGCGGACTGAAGCATGTCAAAGACATGATTTCAAAAACATGATAATGCATTGGTTTAACTATGTGAATACATATACATGTACATATTCTGAACATTAGCATTCACAAGATATTGCTACGCTTTTCACTTACTGGTGAAAGTTTTTTTTTTTATTTACTACAGACAACCAATTAATAACGTTTTGAGTTAACCAATATGGTGTGACTGGCTTCAATTGTCATAATGGTAAAATGATGTCATGCAGTCTCCAGTTCATTCAAGTTTCTTGTTGAGCACTCTTCAACTTTCCTCTTGGATCATATAGAACATATTTATGACTATGAGTGAACTATTTTGATAATCTATTCTGCCCCCCACCTCTTTTTTTATAAATAATATTTACAGACACACTTATTCATTTTCTGTATTAACATGTATTTTTTATTTTGATGCTACTTGTTTATTATAGTGTTTTCAAGGTGTTTCTTGTGCTAGGGTATTACCAGACAAACGTTTAACAACCTACGCTGCAATTTCATATTTACGCAACTACAGAGGGTATACGATTAATGTCAACATATCTGTTTCAAAGTTGGTTGGAAATAGATAAAGAAGGAATTAAAAAAATAAATGATGAATTATCAAAATACTTACAGCTTTAAATTGTGCTTCTTTAGAGGCTAGATCCGATTCTAATTTATCATTTAGATCCATGACAGTTGTTGATTCACGCTGAGCATTCAAGTAACGTTTTTCTAATGTAGCTATTCTTTCTTCCTGATCTTCTTTTTGACACTGGGACTGAAAAACATAACACAAACATTTATTCATTTTTAATCTTTACTCATTAGAAACCACATTCTTTTTTATCAAATAATTTTAATACAAACTGTCTTGCTAATAAATAGTTCAAGTAGACTTCATAACAAATAAGCCAACAGTGTGTTTCACACAAAAACAATTCATAATAATTCATTTATGCTCAATTATATTAAAAAAAAAATTTCATTTTTAAAAAGTCTTGATTGTGAATCCAATTAGGATACCCTAAAACAATCTTGTGTATATGTAGCAGATCCTTAATTAATGGTGTTGCCATGATATTGAATAGGAGGATCCATTAAAAAAATCTTAATCTCCCAAATTCAATGTTTTCTCTAGGTGACATATCCCTTTAGTGAGCTGGATTGGGCCTAGTAATTTTACTGCCAATCAGTGAGTACAGGCAAATAGGATCGAAATGAGAATCTTGGTTTTCTAAACCACAAGTTGCATGCCCCCATACAACTATGCTAATGTGGTAAATCTAACTGAATACAAGAAAGAATGAAAATTATACATAAATGATTAATATTCAAGTGGAATCAGGGTTACTCACCTCTCTCAGATCTCGTGCTAATTTAACAACTTGTTCCTGAGCTTTAATCAACTCTTTCTGGGTTGTTGAAAAATTTTCTTCCAGTTCCGTGAATTTGTTATTTATTTCTAACATTTTTGTACGAGCAGACGTGAGTTCGGAGTTCTGTTTTTCCACTGTCTCTTGCAATTCTATGACCCGATTCACATCAGAATCAGGATCTATGGAACCATTGGATAATCTCTGAAAAGACATGATTATAAAATGAATATTATTTATTCTTAGTAAATGATTAAATGTTTGAGTTACCATTAAGATATCCTTCAATAATTAACATCACTCTATTTTTCAAGTGTAAGTCATTATTGAACAGAATTTAGGCAACACTAAAAATTATGCTTAAAGGAAAGATTTGGGGTTTAACATTCACTTGTCATAACTAGATCTTTTGGGGACTGACACATGGTAAATCTTTTTATCATAATAAATCACTTGCATTGTGGATAATATCAGTGGGAGGACACAGCAGAGTCCAGTGAAAACCTTATACACAGAAACTCCCTCCTGGAAATGAAACTACAAACAGATTTGTGACACCCCTAAAATCTGAAATGCATTGCTTTAAAACTAAATGTTACACATTGAGAAAATTGGATGTAAGTTGTAAATTATAATGTAAACAGACAAGGACTACACAAATTAAAGCAATTAACGGTTGTTGTTATTTGATGCTACTATTTCAACCATAAAAAAGATTTTAATACAATCAAGATCAAAACTGAAAACAACATAACAGATTTGGACATAATTTTTATCAGTAACAGTAAAAGAATAAACCATTACAATTTCTAACTTGGCCTTATTGTCAAACTATGAAATATTAACCTCCTTCAAACGGTTATAATTATAAACTGAACACATATCTTGTTACTAAAAATGCATTTTTATTTGCTGAATTGTCACCATAATTGGCATAATATAGAACAGAAGACCCTTTAATCAATTTTCTATAATTCTGTAATCAAATTTTTTTTTTTAATGAAGGTAAAGCCATTACACAACTTGATAATGACAAATTATGATGGATTGGTTATAGTGTTGAGTGTATTTTACCAAGAAAACTAAGAAAAATTCTAAATACTATATATCATTTCCCGTTATTATTTGAGGAGTTAGGTGGTCAAATGGTTTAATGTGTTTGCTTTAGATCATAAAGTCAAGTAACGTGGTTTTGATTTCCCATTTGTATGTGACAAAGAGTAGGATCGCCTGTCTAACCTCATGGGATTTTCTCCAGGTTCCCCGATTTCCTTCCACTGCTAAAGGCCCCTACGCACAAGCAAATTATTGAAATAAAATTGAACATGTTAGTCCTGAAATAGTTGTCAAGCAGACAATAAACCCCATTTCTCTCTCTTTATTATGTGACATTAAACTTATTGTTGGTCTACTTTTGAATTTATTTGCTCATCCCTATTCAGAACATAATTTATATTACCATTATCTTTGGAGAAATTTACTTATTGTATGAAGAAAGATCAATGACCTCATTGTCTATATAAAAAATAATGGTGTTTTTAAAACGTCCATAAATCATCATTTGTATCTTATTCTGAATAGTGAAAAATTCTAATACTGAAATATTTTAAATGGAAGCATTAAAATAATCACTAAAAGATATCATCATTTATCTTAACAGGAAACTCGAATACAGTTCACAATGTTAATTCTGATGACAAATTGAAAGTAAATGTCATTGACATATTATATTGGTAAAAAGACAAAAACAAAACATTTTACAGCAGTTATCATGCCCATCAAACCATCTATTTTTAATCAATGCTGAGCATGAGAGAAATAAGAGATAAATCTAAGACTCAATATACTGTCTTAAAGATAGATCATCTACAGCACCCCAAAATATTAATTTTAACTGATAATACAGTTTTTCTAATGAAGAGGAAAAATAAAATATACTGTCTTAAAGATAGATCATCTACAGCTCCCCAAGATATTAATTTTAACTGATAATACAGTTTTTCTAATGTAGAGGAAAAATAAAATATACTGTCTTAAAGATAGATCATCTACAGCTCCCCAAGATATTAATTTTAACTGATAATACAGTTTTTCTAATGTAGAGGAAAAATAAAATATACTGTCTTAAAGATAGATCATCTACAGCTCCCCAAGATATTAATTTTAACTGATAATACAGTTTTTCTAATGAAGAGGAAAAATAAAGTCACATACAACTAGGATGTTTATTTGTCTTATCAAATATTACATGAAATAGAAATTATCATATTCTAAATTGTTAAATTGCAAATCCCTACACATGAGCAAGCAATTATGTCAAATACAGCATGTCCTAGCTTTGATATAGCCGTGATGGCATCTTATCATCTATTTTAACAAGTACGATGGGTCAGGAACCATATTGCACTTGTGACATATCAAAAATCGAAATCCGTCAATCGATGCAAAATTGTCAAAGGAACAAGCATACCAAGTTCCTCGACGATCTACTTAAATTGGCCGAGCCATAGGCTTTTTCAAAGAGTGTCATCCTCAAAAAGAAGAACAAGATGAGTAGTGATTGTGGACCAGTTCCTGGTTGAAAAACATTCTAATGAATCAGTAAACCTTCATTAAAAATCAGCTCATGAATTTTCCAATGTATTCTATCATTACATACTGTACACATAGACAGGGGCTACCTAACTACAATCAATGTTCACAAATCCGATTAACAAGTTTTAAAACAATCCAACTGGGTTTATCTATAACAAGCGGTTGAAAGCTATATATATGCCCACATTTTGAAAGAGAGATGGAAAGAGAAGCATTTTTTTGTACAATCAGGGGCCATAATCCAGGAAGTTACGGTCCAATATGCGTGATTATCTACAGGAACCTAGATCTTCGGGATATTAACATATTTTAAGTTTCATCAAAATCTGATAAGGTAACCAAGATATTTGGGTTATAAACAATAGACATGCATTTCAAGTTTCATCAAAATCAGATGAAAATTGTGACTTCTAGAGTGTCCACAAGCTAAAAATGTGATTTTCTGTACAATCAGGGGCCATAATTGATAATTCTTGAAGTTATGGTCTGATACATGCCAATATCGAAAGGAACGGAGATTCATCAAAATCGAATAAAAATGGTGACCTGTAGAGTGTCCACAAACAAATTGTGGACGGACACTGACGGACAGGGGCACCAGCATAATGCGATCACATGAAAATGTGGGCGTCTAAAAAACTAAATCAGTCAGGTATCCCATGTACAATATAAATGTAAGGATAACTCAAATCTCACTGGGCAATAAACTCTTTGACTAAAATGTCATGACTTAAAAAATATTGTACAACATGGTACCTCAAACTGAAGATTAACCAATGCCAATCGGTTGTACACAACCATATGTAGCAATGTACGTCAATATGTACGACAGAGGAGACAACTCTTCTTGATTGGTAATGATGTACAAAAATGTAGAAGACTAATTGTATGCCTATTAAAATTATGTAACTTTAAGTCTGGATGAGCTGAATACATGCAGACATTTTATACATGGCTAATAATGCTCATTTGACTGTAACCATGTATCAATATCCCAGTTTTATTCTAATTAATAAAATAACAAGTCTAATTAATATTTCATATCCAATAACAAATTATAATTGACACGTTCGAAAATAGCAAGATAAATACCTAGCATTTTTTTTTAGTCATGATATATACAAGTCGTTAAAATTTACACTAACTTATTCCTGTTTGTTTGTTCATTGCTAAGGTAACTATTCTTGTAACTAATTGGAATAAAATTTTCAATATGTATAGCTATCAAATTTTATCCTCCAGAGAAACCATTTCACCATAATACATATTAATACAACTAGTTTTACTTCTTGTTCTTGGCAGTCAACGCTCTAGAATACAATAGATCTATAATTTTTGTCAATTTACCCTCAAATAATTAAATTATATGGTGATTAGGATAAATTTGGTTGAATCTATGTAATCATGTCTAAACTTATTTAAGGATAGGTTGCCAGGCAAAACAACATATGGCCACAGCAGCTGAAACGCATTATGTTACACAATTTGTGTACAAATGGTAAAATGTTTATTTTGTCAGTAATTGTAATGCCACTGGTATTAGATACACACATTGGTATAGTATAAAAGAATTATTTAAAGTAGCTTAGTCTCTAACTCAATATCATCCAAAGTCTTCGACTTTGATAACACAAATTATTTGTCAATTCAAATCAACATTGATGTTGTGATCTTACAGGGAAAAGATGGGCTTCTGATCAATATTTAAGACAAAATAAACATTTTACCAATTTTACATGAATTCTGTAACATAATGCGTTTCAGCGTCATTTGTAACAAGGGACTCGAAGAACGAGACTGCACATATTTAACAAGTCATGTCAAACGGTGATGTCATATTATCTGGAGAGCATGCACAATAAATACTATCGTTGTAGACTGGAATAACCAGATGCTAGACATTGCTAATCGATTGAGACTTCTGGCATATTTCGCCAAGCATAACTGATCTGAATTAGAGTAAAAACGGACACGATTGAATGTTACTCAGTTTTTACATTCATATTACATTATTATTGCGTTGTGACCCATTTGTATCAATTTCTAGGTCCCAAATATTTGCGATTTAGCTCCTTTAAGTTGGTGCTGTATGACACCAAAATATTCATTTATGCTACTATAGATATTTTAATAATACATTAGTTTGGTATTGTTGTTATAATCATTAAGAGCAATTCATCAATAATAATAAAGATGATAAAAAGGTGAACGTCCTGACATTTCTATTTAATGAACACATTCGCAATTCAATAAAACTAAAAATAATTTACTTCAAGCAGTCGCTGTTATGAGTAAGCATGACAGAGTACCATAATATATAGTTGATCATTTATTTCATGGATCAAAGTAAATGGTCAATGAGACTCCTAAAGCAGATCATGAATATTAATTCAAATAACCATAAAACATTACATAATTAAAATGATATCAATCTACATAATTTGTGAGTGTGGCATAATCAACTTGCTTGAACAAATTCACAAAATCATCACCAATAAATGAAAACTTATGTAGTTTGTAGATACGTGTTTGCACATTTCATGAAAATTCTATTATGGAATTATTGAGAGTTGTTGTAGACAGTGGTGGCAGTGTTATGAACGTATCTTTAGACCGTCAATATTAACAATGATCGATACAAAATAACATAGGTAATTTGAAACATTTTGTCCCATCATGTGTCTTAATATATCTTTACCTTCGTGTTATTTAGGGGAATGTTTTCTTTCCAATTTAGTTTGATTTCAAATGCCATCATGTGTTAAACATTGCGGAAATGTATTACATACTGTGTCACCCCAATTAAAATCAAATATGTGGGCGCACATAAGAATAGTTCCTATACAAATTATGGAAGAACAGTGAACAGAGTAATTTATAATGGCATTGTCAGATCATTCTTATTTCACATTATTTGAGAAAGCAAATCAATCACAAAGGTTATTTTCACACAATTTACAACTGTAGTCAATTGGTATGGTAAGAAATATTTGTACAATTAATCACATTGAAAAACATTCCACAAATATACACATAGAAAAAAAATTAAGCACCCCCCCCCCTCCCCGTCCTGCACCACTAAAACGGGGAAACCATGTCGGAAAATCCTCAGGGAGCGAAAACCCTATTAATTTATGTATTTATCTACTGTAAACAAAGATGTACTTGTATTTTCTCTACTTTAATATATATATATTTTCTGTATTTGTTTTGTTGAACATTTCTCCTGTATTGTCAGTCAAGTAACATACCTTTGGGTGGGACTGCTCTTTGTTTTCATTATTAGCTGCTGTTTCTGCAGGTTGACTGGCTTCAATGGCTGCCACTTTCGTAAGTTTGCCGCCATCATCAATACTACCACTGGAGTGTCGTGATTTAGTTTGCTGTTCTCGCAACGTAAATAACTGAAATGAAAGATAGGGGGAATAAATATTTGGAATTCAAAATCATATATTATGTACAAATGTCATTTAGATTAGGGAACGAATGTTATGGAGTTTTAAGTCCAAATCATACAATATTTTGGTCATGGTTTTTTTAAAACAAATTATTACTCTAACTTGAGTGTGTTTTATTTCATACTAGTTTCATCTGAGGTGTTGATCTGTATTACTTTTTGTTTCAGGGATGACATTTTTTTTTATAAGTTTTTTGTATTTAGAGTTCCAGCTATCTATTAGAGGATAACACTAGATTTAAAAGATTCAGGGATGACATTCTTTTTTTTTTTTAAGTTTTGATTCTAGTTATTTAGTTTTCCAGCTGTTTTTTTTAGTTGTAAATCAGAGAAAAACAGAAATTTAACAAAAGATTCAGGGATGATACTCTATTTCAAAGTATTTGTATTTAGTTTTCCCGCACTCTTTTAGTTGTAAAATTAAAGAATAACACAAATTTTAAAAAAAAGATTCCGGGATACTCTTTTTTAAAGTTTTTGTATTTAGTTATTTAGTTTTCCAGTATTCTTTTAGCTGTAAATTTAGAGAATAACTCAAGATTTAACACAAGATTGAAGTAGATAAGTTAAAACTGCTTTTTATGCCAAACCCAATTAAGTTTAAATGTTGATAATGGCTGGACTTCTTGGACGTAAAGAATCTATTAAAAGTCCTACATGTGTTGTAATTTGCACTGTATTATTATTGCATCACAACAGGTGGTTAAATTTAGGAAAGTTAAGAATCAATAGTGCAACAGGTTTGAAATAGAGAAGCCATTTTTTTAATCATTGAAAAAACTGTCTCTGATTTCCATCATCATGGCATTTTGGTTAACAAGCTCTTCACTTAATCTATGTTTCTTCTCTCTTCAACATTTACGCAACTATTTTTTTTCTAGTCTTCTTCATACACCAAGCTATCATTTGTTCATCAGTTGCCTAGAGATGATATGCTTCCAATGACGAGACTGATTATTCGTGTCCAAGACGCAAACAGTTCTCCGAAAAACTTCAGCCCAGAAGGCATGTATGAGAGCCTGAGCGATTTTACACATTATCTAAATGTGTTGACAGAAGGGGAATGTGTAAATCAGGCAGATTAGAGAGGTAAAGACTGATATTTGGTTGTTCAATCAACTTGATCAAATGCTTTGCTTCGGTCAATACTTTTAACACGACCCTCTTATACAACATCTCCATGTCATCACGTCTAAATGAATTATAACAAGCGCTAGTATTGTGACAATTTGGTTTCTACTATTAGCTAGTCTCACATACTTCATTATTATTATTCAGATGACTGAGTAGCGAGAACAACTTCTTTCAAACATTATGCCATGTTTTGGAAATCCTCAAGACCTCTCCAAATCTTGCATTAAACAGGATCCCAAATTGAAGGATATTGAGACTCAAGTACAATTTATTATGCATCACCCATATGTCAATGTGTAAGATGTTGTCTCAAATCTCCATTATCTGATTGAAATAACTATAATTCAACTTCTTTAGGATATTCAAACACTTCCGCTCACAGAAAGAAAACAATGTCAACATCATCTGCCAATCTTCCAGCCATCACACAAAAAGAGCTTAACAATGATATTTTGTTTTCCCTCTTCATCATTTTGAGAAAATGAAATTGAATCTTCTTTTTCTGCAACAACTGGGCTAATGAAGATGGGCATAAGCCATGCAGTGTGCAATGAGGGAAATTTTGTCCAGACAGCGGCTATATGGCTTGTTCTTATTCGATTTTAGTACCTGTTTTTCTTCGCATCCCCTAATTAAACGACTAGATGCTATTCCTAGCCAAGCCCTCCATCCAGCATCACTGACAAGAGGAAACATGAGAAATATATTTAATACATTTGGTATCAAACATAGTCAAGATTTGACCACAATAAACAGACCACTGACTTCATGGTCATTTTACAAAGATCAAGTTAAGTTGAGCTTATAATGAGAGCTTATAATAAAGCTTTTATCTTTTAATGTGTGTGTAGGCAAAGTTTGAAGGTTAAAAAATATGTCATCATGTTATGGTTAAACTAAACAGTTCTGAAAAGTTACACATCCATCTTAACCATTCTCGATCAGATTGCTGGAGTCACAAAGGATCAATCTAAAGGTGACCAATAATCCAATTTTCCTGTTTATTTTGTGAAAATCACATTATGCTAAAAAGAAAAATGACATTTTTATGCCAAAATGCTTATATATTATGCTATTTAAAAGTGCAAGGGGTTTTGCCATGTCAGTGAACTCCGGAGGACACAAATTTTGCAGCATTGCCTTTTAAACATACAATATGCAAAAGCTAAATCTGACTATTGCAGGTCTTTCTTTAGGCCTGAAATGTTATCTAAATTATTAATTAGACATGAATTAACTTATCCAGACAATAATCAACTCTTGATGTCATCGCTAGCTTGCGATATTTACTGGATTAGGATCTGATTTGCTGCTCAACTTTCATTTATGATTTAATCATGAAATGGAAAATCTAGACTATGTTTTTTATTGTACCGACTTTAGTAATGATGATCGAGGCTAGGCCGAAAATTCAATTGTTAAAATCTCGGTTCAGAGTGAATCAATTGACAGAGATTTTCGGCAAATTCCCTTTACATTATCTAGTTTTTAACTATTTTAGTGAGAACTGCCAGCTCTTTATCTAATCTCCCATAATGTATCTTTAAGTTACTAGATAACCGTCTACACACAAACATATAATCTAAAATGGGGCAGTTAAGGGGCTATCAATATTCAATATTGACAATAATAAAAGGGGAAAAAATCATGGTTTATAATAACCTTTTGGCATACATCTCTTTTAAAAGTCTAGGTTTTTCCTAGGTGAGATGGAGACACCTGTATGTAATCGAAACAGATATACAGAGATCTAGCCGTCTTACTTTTGAGTTTTTCAAAACCTTACATGTGAATTAGCCTAATCATGCATAAATCCAATCAATAGAATAATGCACTTTTACATTTAATATTTCAGGAACCTTCTTTCATTCCTGTGTCCTTATCACTGGCACCAGATCATCATGACCTTAATTTCCTTAAAAGATTTGATATCATATCAACATATTGAATACAGGATGTAAATCTACATCTAGTTTAATTAACTCTTCACAAAAGCAATATCCATTTCCATACCTTTCCCTCTGTTTTCCAGTAAGTTGGCAATATTGCGATAAAAGAAATTAAGTCCAATCAATAAGCGAGCAGGGCCTAATCAATTTTACAACAGTAATAGGTCCACAGTGACCTTTGACATTCTCAATGTGTGTTGATCTTGTTTTAATTGCATAGAAATCAGCCCAACACAATTGCAGATCGATAGCCTAAACAACCATTACATGGACTATTTCAACATTAATTAATAACTCAAGTTCATTCAAAATGGTTTCTTAGGTAAATTTAAACAACTACATTAGTTTGAGAATTGGAAGATACAATTATGTGATTTTTAAATAGAAATAAAACAAAAGCAGAAAACAAAACAGTAAAAATTAATTTATACGTGAGTGCCGAAATGTTACAGCACTCTGTCCAGTCTTTTTAGGTTATTTGAGACTAACGAGACAAGATTTGTCATGAAATATGAGAGAACGAGAAGCATGAGATCATGTGTTTGTCGATAATCAATGTTATCGCCAAACTAGCATGAAAACCAATACGCTTAATTTATCTCTTCCTCTGTTAGTTTCACAAGCATGCCTCTTGGCATGAATATGAATATTCAGTTACTTTAATAATTTACTCTATCAAACATGATATACAGCTTTTCTCATTTCATTTAGTCATTTTTTATGCAAGTCTCTGATTCATCAACCGTAAGCTTTTAATTCTAAATTTATCGAAGGCAAATAGTACACATTAAGATTACAAGCATAATGCATTTGATAATAATGGTTAATGGAATTGGCAACTTTGCACATCAGATTCTGTAACTTTAAACTTTTTTTAGGCAAATACTTTCTATTTGTTATTGCATTTGGCTATTGTTTGCAATATCTTAGATTTCTTCAAAATGTGGGAAAATCACAATAAATAAATTGGTTATAATTGAGTTATTAGCTTTTTTATAGGAGATGTAAAATTACAGTATTATTTTCAACAGATTCATAACATCCGATTAAAATATGATGTAAATTATTAGCTAGAGTGTCTTCTGAAAAAGGGTCCAAACTTTTCTTTCTTGTGCTGTAGTATTAACTATCAATCATTTCTATCATTTTTAGAAGAATATGTTTAGTTTGTAAAGTATGTTATACTCTGAAATTAAAATAATTATCATCGTTCTTTGAGATTTTCTTTTATGTTTCTATTTTTATTAATAATTTTCATTTTTGCCAAGACAAAATCAAAATAGGAAACAATTTTCTGGTCAGGATTTTAATTGTATGTTATCTGATTAAAAGACAGATAATAATAATAACTAGACCGGTATTCAGGAATCAGACAGCAAGAGTGTCATGCAATTGGCCATTCATCAACCTACCCAACGATACTTTTGTTGTTTTGACCCAGTGATACCCGACGAAGAAATCGCGTCTTTCCCAAGAGTACCTTTTACTGCTTTTTTTTTTCAACATATCAGATATTTTTGTGACTACTTCTGGTTTACAGGTCATTGATGGGATAGATTTAACAAGTAGTATGGGAACTTAACTTCCTATACCAGAAGTTTCAGAAACATCCACTGAGCAGTTTAAAAAAAAAAAAAAAAAAAGTAGAAGAGAATTTTCAGTAATAACAATTTTTCGACTTTTTTCAAAGATTGAGGACCTTTTTGAACCCTTTATATCATACTGATTCTTTTAGATAAATTTGGATTCACACCCTAGACCACCGATAGGACTCTAAGTAACAGAAGTTTAAGAAAAGAAATAAGAGAAGATTTCAAGATAAAAGGCTAGAAAAAGGAAAATACTAGATTTTCAGCATCCCATAATCTATTGTCAAACCTGGGAATTTGTATCATTTGGATGTCATAAGATCGTTCATTATTCGGGCTATCCAATGACACTTTAGTTGTTTTGATCCGGTGAAATTTGGTGTAGTAATCACTTTTATTGCAAGAGCACTATTTTTTTCTTCAAAAAATCTGATATTTTTTCAACTACTTTTGGATCTTTGTCGGGATAGTTTTAACAAGTTGTTTGGATACTTAACTCTCTGTACCAGAAGTTTCAAAAACATTCATTGAGCTGTTTTTTTTAAAAAAAAGCAAAATAAAAGAGCATTTTCATTAATTTAACAATTTTTCAAAGATTGAGGCCCTTTTTGGACCACTTATATTATTTCAATGCTTTTAGTTTTGGATTCACACCCTTAGATCACCTGTAGGACTCTGAGTAAGAAAAATTGTAGGCGTTTTTTTTTTTGGAGAAAAAAGGTGCCTTCCTCACAAGGCGCCAAAATAGTAAATACTACATTTTCGGGGTACCATAACTTATTTCCTAACCATCGAGATGTCATATGATAGTCCATTAATGGGACAATCCAACGACACTTTAGTTGTTTTGGTCCGCTAATATCTGACAGTTTATAATATTTTCTATCTTTTAGTGAGTACTGGATGTAGTGCCTTTGAATCAGATAGCTGGTGATATGCCTGTTAATCAGATAGCTGGTGTTATGTCTATTAATCAGATAGTTTGTGATCTGTGTTGATTTTAATCAAATAGTTTGTGATCTGTATTTTAATTAAATAGTTGGCAAACGGTCTCTTAATCGGCTGGTTTGTGATCTGTCTTCGTTGATTGCATAAGTACATTAACTCTGGACTTACCTCTTGGTTAGCTGTGGCTAGTTCTTCTTCTAACTGGGCAACCCTTTCTAATGCTACTCTTAATCTCTCTCGTACCTAAAAATAACAAGACAAAACAAAAGTTAAGTATAACTAGTAAGAAGAACCCCCTATACATAAAAATGATATATATTTCTATTTTTGACAAAGCCATTTCAATTCACTCCTTTCAAAATCATAATTAACTTAACATAGATGGTGTCATGTATTTAATCATACATAAATCCATTCCTGCCTACCGTCTGCAAGAAAATATCAAGGTAAATAAATTGGTGTCAGCTACATTGGTGTCACAATACATTTATGTCATTATTTTGAACTATTTTCGGCTTTTCTACTACATTATTGTAAGTAAAACCAAATGGTCAACAGCCAGTCACAGTCTTTTTTAAGTATATAACTAGTTTGGAATTCAAGTCATTGGTTTAAAATGCTGTTATAATTCCCGCCATCTTTATGATTTTGAAGGATATGTTTCTATTTTTTTTTAAATTTTATCCTTTATTAGAATGATGTACTTATTCTTTTCAATATTACAGAACAAAAAAGCAGCCCTTGCCCTCCATAAAACTTGTGATTTCTGCTGGAAAGAGGGCCTCAATGACATATCTGGCCAAAAAGAAAATTACTTTTAAAAAAGAATTTGATTAGCAACTTTATTTGTCCACAAAACTCGGTACGGAATATTATCAACTACTTCCGATAACGGCACCGATTGAAAGCCGTGTCTTATTATTTCTTGACCAATAAAAAAGTTTGTCTTATTTTTTAAGTTTTCAAATATTCTTGCCTGACATGAACCAAGATGGCGATCCCCATGTAAACCAAATTTGACAGGAAAACCCTCTTAGATACTAAATTTATTAATATAGTTGTATTGTGATGTGTTAAAAAAAGAACATGACAGCTATGAAGATTTGTTAAAAACATTGGTCTATGGTTTGTGTTTTGTCACGTACTTCTTCAACGCCTTTCATTTGCCATTGCAAACTCATTTTTCTCATATTAAATTACTAACTTCTTGGAAATGCACTTATAACAATAAATGAAACTGAACTCTTTATTTTGACTCACAATTATTCAAAGTTAATTCTTTAATTCATTTGTGTACAGAGCCCCTTGAGTCCACCTTGTCAGACAGTCAACCCTACCCAACTAGGTTCACCACAGCAGAAAAAACAACAACTGACAATTGAAGATCTGCTAAAAACTCATAAAGTGTAAAAGCAAACCAAAATTATAAATATTGATTAATCGACCAAAGATGTTTTCATCAAATATTTTTCTTTCAGAAGTTTTATCTTCTTAGAGTATATGTATCGATTGCTTCGACAATATTCAATTAGCTCAGTTTTATTGCTGTCTATAAATAAGTATAACCAATCACAACAAACCATTCTTGTAAAGAAAAAAAAAAATCAACAAAACAGTATACATGTACATCTTTTAGTAAAAGTTCCACGAAGCAGAAGTAAGCGTGTAATAATATAGACCATGATGAAGTGCATACGTCACTGTATAATATATTTTATTAATAGAACGTTTTATGCATGGTTCATCTTATCACCATTACAGCTTATGTAAAATTCATGATTCTCCACTTCTACAAAATGTCATTAATTGACAGAAACAGGTCAACAAAATAAGTAAAGAAAAATATACACACACAGAAAAAAGAAAATATTGGCAATTCTATACTACATTAAGTACAGCTCGTTCAATTTATACAAATTTATAATTTGCTATGTCATTTGTCTACTCCCGATGTCCTGTAGGTGTGGTAGGGTATTATAAATTTGGTGCATTTACATCCGATTTAAAATTACAATTTAAAATAAAATAGGTTGACAGGCAACGAAACACACTCACAGTATCAAACTAGTCTGAGCAATCCACAAAGGTTTACTCTCTTTTTTTGGGTAATAGGATCATTGACAAGACACCCAAATCTGATCAAGATTAACAACCCACAAATTAATTATCAGAAAAATGAAAAAATTTGATTGGCTTCTAGTTCTTACATTTATCATACCAAAAAAAGTACCTGTTATAATTTGATAGGCTTCTTTATCTCATGAATATAACGAAAATAAACCTTTTGTATATATTTCAAATCAATCGCATTCGCATTATAACTTTATTCATTAGAGGGTTCACAAGACACTAAAAGTGATAAAGGACAACAATTCCAAAAGTAATTATCACATTAAACATAAACACTGCATATAAATTTTAAAGTAATCATAAGATTTATGTAGTAATCTAGTATGCAGTTCTTTACTTGTCAGAAAAATAATACATTTACTTTATGGTTCGATCAAAAACATCTCATATCTGTACATGCATGTGATTTTTTTTCCAATGTGTTCCATTTGTTTTGGATACAAAAATTTAAATACTACATATAGTATATAGTTAGTTAATCATAAAGCGTCTGTCAGGTAACATTACACAATAGTGTCCGAGAACTAAAGTTGATCACAGAGAAGTTTTGACAATTAGTAAATGTATTTATAATTTGGTTTAACCAATATGTTTACAGTTTAAGTTTTGTTACTGATACTATTCATCCAAACGTCAGGGCTCCACTTTATTTTATTACAGTAAGATACATGTAACATATGTACAAGTATATCAAAATCCGAACAATCTACATTACCCACATCAGATGAACATCAAGTTTGTATGACAGTTAGTTACAAACCATAGAAGGATACATCTTTATATGAAATATCTTGTTTTTGAACAATCGTTTGATAAAACATCTTCCTCCTACATACCTAAAGTAATCAGGCAGTAATTTGTAATGTAGATAAATCAAAATTGCTTTAAAGCTAAAAGACACACTACTATGTTGTATTATACTGCAGTCCCTGGAGAGAAGGGTTTACAGTCTTAGTCTTACGCAAAAAAAAACTCTTGTAACGATATTGGTTTTCTTTATAAGGCTTCATCACAGTTTAAGATATGGTGATATTATGAAAGATTAGCCAATGTGTCCTTCGAGACTTTCTGTCATGACTGTCAGGTCTCCATCACCTTAGCACTGTTATTTACAGTGTACCTACACGATATGATGACAAACTAGCGCGCACATTAAATAACTGATCAACTAATTTGATGACGACAAAAGTAAATGACTCAGACTTCGATGAATCCGATGACAACATAAATTTTTTCTACTGGAAAGAAATGCAGACAATTTGTTTGATTTATTGATAAGGTGGCGACGACGTAATTTTGAAAAAATAAATACCGGAAATTAAAATGTAAAAGTGTTTCCTATCTTTTATCTTTGTACAATTAGATATCATTATGGCAATCTTGTTAATGATGCGAGTTAAAAAAAAATATTATGCAAAATTATGAATAAAGCTAGACATGTAACACTGCTATGGTGGTTTCATTAGTGCTCTTTTTACTTTGGTGGTTTCATTAGTGCCCTTTTTACCTTAAAACAATGTTACCACTCCCCCCTCCCCCACCTTACCAATGAAACTTGTTGACAGTAATACAGAAATATTGATTAAAATGTTGAAATCTTTACAGACAGAGGCCAGTAATGGTGTCCAGTGAAAAAGACAACTTCTGTTGCTTCCTTTATTTATACAATGCTATCAGCAAAATATTAAAATTGTATTATAGAACATACAGTTTTTGGCAAAATGGTGTCACTTCCTATGGCAATGTTTAATTGTAATCTATTTGATGTAAAGGGTATTTGCATTAGGCATCAAACAGTGAAGACTATGAAAATTCAATACTACTTAAACTGTTTTACAGGCAATATAATCTGAACAAAAATAATAAGGTAAAATTCAATATTATGTAACTGTTTTGCAGGCAATATAATCTGAACAAAAATAATAGGGTTTCACACCAACGCCCATTCACGGTGCCCGTCTCTTTCCTGATTCTTTTGGGCCCAACCAACTATAGTTTATCAATTCTAATTATGCATCACCCAGAAACATACTTATTTTAACCATTTTGCTTGAAATCCATTGCACAATCAGTGAAAGAGAAAAAGCAACAGTTGGGGTAAATTAATGTCTTATAAAATTCCAGGAATAAACTACTTCTGAAAGATAATTAATAGTCTAGAAATAAGGTAAGTTGTAACAGTATACATTTGACATTTTTTTTTTCTTAGACGCAAGCTAAATAGGCATTCATCTGATGTTTAAAGAAAACCTAAAATCAATATAAAAAAGAGAAAAGTACATCGCTGTGGTTTGTGTAAACCTATAACAGTAATTACCCTCTATTTTAAAATATATATATTTACATTATTCAAAAAAAAAAAGGTACTTTAAAATTCATACAGGCAAAATAAAGTGTGACAATTGACCAGTTTGAACTCTAAACTTTACAAAATAATTGTAGTAAATAAGTTTGACATTATACCTACTGTAGTATTATTGCCATCATAATGAAGCTAATAAAACATCTGATAGATAACATAAATAATTTATTGCTCTACATACATTTTTAAAAGGTTGAATTGATCTGTCTATAAATTTTGTACCAATATTTGCACACTTAGCAAAGATTTCAGGCCCACACCTTGATTTGATCTGGCAAAAAGTTTGTACCTATCATAGATGTACATGTACTTGTACCAGACCTGTCAACCCCTCAGAGCTGCAATGCAGTAGGGTAGTGTAAAAAAAAATGCAGTAGAAACCATGATTTGGTAGTAATAGATATAAAATATACACAAGCAATGGTAACCATATAAAATTTATGTAATTAATCAAAATTGAATATGTAGCCTACAGAAAGACATAATGTCAAAAAAAATTAAAATTTCCACTTAAATTTAACTTTTAAAAATATCTTTGTGTTCCCCATTCTGAAAGTTTTTTGTCAATATCATTTCATATAAGATAATTGGTGTGCTTATCATGCTTATCAGATTTTATAGTATTTTTACATTAGGAATTGGGGGGTGGGGGGCATGCGGTAAAAAATAAGTTTTGCATAACGACTAATACTAATAGGCTATCGGCATCGATTTTATCATGCTCCCCATGGCAATTATCCTCTCACAATGT